GGGCGCGCAAAGCACTGAATTAAACGGTGCAAAATAGGGACGCTTAGGTGGCGCTAGGTGCGACTGAGTTGGTTGTGGATTAGATAAAAATAACACACGTTGCAAGAAATTCCCATCAACTATACAATTTTCTCGTGCAAACAAGAAAATTGTTCAGTTCGGTTGTCGGTTTACTATGGCTTAATACATATGTACGATAAAATGGCGAGTCTTAAAAAAAGACTAAAAAAGTTTTTGGACTTGAGTGCGTGTTTTGACGGTTTCTTCTATTTTTTGGCTATTTTCATCGTTTCAAAGGTATGTAAAGTTTATTGTTTCTAGAGGGTCCCCCGGTGCGCGGAACTTCGGCTGAAATCCCTGGTGGTTTTTTCCTGTTCAGTATTCTCCAAATTCTCGTGCCTTTGTGTTCGGTTTTAGTTTATACCGTTCAGGTTTTCCATTAGGGATTTTTTATTTCGGTTAAGTCTTCAAAAAAAACAGTGACCTTGGTGTGAGACTAAACTTGTACTACTTCATATTATAAACAACCATGGAACCAAAAATTCAATTCGAAGTTTATATATTCTTAGCTTAGAGTCTATAATATACGTTTACAGCCGTTTTCACATTCCGTAAAACACCAGCGTCATGTGTAAGCACTTACGCTTTTTTAGCAGTTAAATGTTGAACCGGCAGTATAAAAAAGCTGACAATTGTTTATTGTTTGTGACAATAAATTGTGAAGTGTATTTGAACGACAAGGCTTTTGACCAGTTTTTTTCTATTACGAAGCAATAACTTGCCAACTTTGAGCCTAAAAATTCTACAAAGATCAAATTTTGAAACTATATAAAATCCAAAATATATTCAATAGCCAGAATTTTCTGAACTATCTGAAAAAACAGCCCGGTTCGGTTATCTTTAAAGAGCGGTACAGTTCAGTCTTTGGGTTCGATTCCCAATGCACTGTTATCAACATCATATATAACATTAAGTACTTTCCCATTGTTGCACGTGCAAGAGATTGAATTTTTGTTATGGAGATCCATTACATCTTTCTTCTTTGCTAGCTGCATTAAAGTGACAAACATCTGAATGTGTACACTTGTGTAATATAGAAACGCGCATTTAGGACTAAATATATATAAAATAATTTTATTTTAAAGATGTAAATTTTATGACAAATGCGAGTTATCCGCTTTGAGCATTAATATCTTCAACATTAATTTACTCAGAAAAAGTATTTAACATTTTGGCGAATGTCTCATGAATTTTTTTTTTTATAAATATGTTGAAAGAATCTGATGGAGTGGCTTTTAATTAGTGTACGATATGAATTACAACCTATATATTTTTTGTAAATATGACATAAAATTATCCAGGAATGCTTCATTAAATTTTTGTTTTTCAAAGAGTTTATAGAATTGACTATTAATAATTTCCTAAAAGTGTTCACGACAAGAAATTTTGTAATAATTTATTTTCAATTGCATTGGGAAGAGCATGTAAAATAACTTGATAACCTCTTTAGAAAAATTAAATTATTGTACTTTTTTCAAGGGATATTCCTTTTTTATGCAAATGACATTGTTATGACATCACAGAGTATAATGAAAATTTAAAAATCATCAATTTTTATATCCTTAAAATGTTTTATTAAGCCCTTAATGACCGATCGCGAGGTCTTTACGAAGAAATAACGGACCGAGGTGTTTTTGTGCAGACCGAGCCTGTAGGACGAGGTTTGTACACAGACAGAGGTCCGATATTTCTCAGTAAAGACCGAGAAAGCGGAGATTATAAAAGGTTTATTATATGGCATCTTTCTCGTCCTTGCTGTTTTTACGGGTTGGCTTTTACTTTTCTAGTTTTCGTCCATAAAATATAAATCGTTTCAAATTTTATCGTCTGGATAGTTTAACTGTTTTCCAAGTGTTTTACCTTCGAATCACATTCGTAAATGTTTTTTTGTTTTGTTTACTTTGGGTTTTGCTGTTTACTTTAAACAGTTTGATTACATTTCACTGTAAAATTACGCGTTTTGGACCATAATCGATAACGGGAAAATAATTGACCGGCAAAAATGTTTCTGAGCCAATCAAAGCGCATCATTTAGCCGGAAGTGACGCTTGCCATATAAACAACACGTGTACGTAATTATTTGTAAAGACGCCAAAAATAAATAGTTTGATGCTTAATGTCAGAAAAATTCTCTATTCTAATGCCAAATATGCAATGTGATGTCATAACGATGTCCTTTGCATATTGAAAAAAATTTACATATCTCTAAAAAAGTTCTTTTAAAGAAGTAATCAAGTTATATTAAATTGCCTTTAAAATTCAATCAAAACATATTATGGTAAAATTTGGTGTCATAAATACCAATCACAGTAAGACAAAAATTTAAACGAACCAATTACACGATAGCAAGTGGACTCCCTTATAGGTCCGGCCACCCCGCTTATCGGTCGAGATTATTCCAGATCGTCCACTGATCTGCCCATTGACCAATAAAATAGCGTTTCTGGCGTTCATAGACTCCTTTATCAGTCGAACCAGTCAAGCCACCCCGCATATCAGTCGGTTATTCCAGGTCAATTAAAATTAAACTGATCTGGTTACCAAGGAGATATTCATTGCATTAGTCATTAGTTTTCAATAATAAATAATGCGGGATTTTTATCACGAAGTAAATGCGATAAGAAAATAAGAATAATTAATGAATTTTTAATTAATATGAATAGATAATTTTTGAATTTCAAACATCAGTCGCGCGACGGATTTGACATACTCTAGTTCCGCCCCTGTTTAGTTTGCAGTGATGATTAGCATTTTAAGGCCTTATGGGACTAAAGTTAAAAGAAAAAATTGCAATTCCGATTGGCAGAAAATTGTGAATTTTATTAACTTTATCTAGAAGAAATACTCCTCATTTTGCAACTGAAAGATTCGTACAACATGTCATTTGAAAGATAAATAAATTAACATATGATAACAAAGGTGATAAAACCAAACGACATTGTCAAATGTATTCTGCGTCGTTGAACCCAAAATTTCAATTCGAATTTTTTTGATACACCCTGTTGTTATGACTTGCGGTGTATGACTTGACTTGCTGTCAGGGAGATTGATCCCAAGAGAGGTTAACCGTTGTTGCTCGTATTGTGTAAATGCACTCGAACAAATCTGTCTGCCAGCAAAACGTAAACATGGCAAGACATCTAGAGATGTACGTCATGTTGATTGTGCTTTATTATCAACAGAGATTGAGAGCAGAGCCTGTACTAAAAGAGTCTGGACGGCGGAAGTAAAACTGCGTAGCGTCCGCCATTAATGTTCCAAAAGCAAGCATATATAGAGCATTTAACGGTGGAAAGACAAATTTTCTGTTGTGTTTTCTTATTCATAAATAGACAGCGATCCCTAACTTTGGAACTCAGTTGCTTATAGATGTCATAATGATAGAAAAGCATTTATTTAATGCAGTGGATCTAATTTATACGGGCTTTAACATTGTTTTTTGCCACAAGGGAGCGCTTATGTTTCTATTCGTCATCGCTTTGATTGGCACAATTAAAACGTAACATAAAACCATTCGAAACATTTTTTAATAATTTATCTCCTTCGTAAAAAATGCTTAGTATCATTGAGTTCTACTAAATTACCTGGAGGGGAAAAGGGGCCTGGAAAAACATGGCGGCGAATAGGAAATTTTGGATGAAAATCTTCCACTTTGAAATTTTTTTCGCCATTCACTCCCTCCTGATTTCTAACAAACTTATCAAATTCTACCAGTGTTTAAAACTCAAGAACTATTATGCTTTCGATGCCAAGATATGCTTTAGCGTTTTATAGAACACACGCAATTATACGAAGAAAATCTTCGGTAAAGAAACCTCAACTATACTCGAATAACAATTTCGATTAAAAATAACAGTAGAAGGATTTCCTTAGTGGGACCATAAATATAAAATATCTTAAAGTTTATATACAAACTTCGCTCTCTGCATATCAGTATATGTATTCGTAAAGAGCTTGATAAAAATATATTTATCAATTAGATCTACAAGTGTTAGAAAGTATGCACACAATGACCTGAGAAAAACCCCGACGTCTTGTTAAAACTTTATTCTCGAATCTTGGCAACAGTCAACAAAGTTTTTAAGTATGGCCTATGGCTATCGATAAATTTTGGGTTAATTTTATCAATACTGGCTTATGTCTATTCAGATATTCTGGCAGTTCTACAGAGTACGTGTAAAGAAAATACCTTGAACTTGGTGAACCACAAAAAGAACAGAATTCAACTTAAATCTGTGTGATATAATGCTGTTTTAAGTTGGAAACTTTTCAACCAAGATATTACAATAGGATAGTTAACTATTTAGTACAATCCTTGAAAAGCTGCAGAGTAGACCTACATGAATCGAAATTATTCTTTATTATAATTACAACTTTTGAAATCGAAGAGTTTTTGCTTCTCTGTCATAACACTGTGTATTGCTGCAACGAAATAAAACATTTAAACAGTGTCAAGATGTTTTGCAAGACTTATAAATATTGTTGTGAATTAAAGAAAAAGTAATTGGTATTAAATAATGTTTAAAGAATCAAGTTGGGCAAAATAAGAATTCGTACAAAGAGACTAATAATCTTGGGAGGAACTACTTGTTTTAGCAAGGTCCATTTGAACTCTTTGCAATTTAAAACTGATTATAATTTCAAATTTATTTCAGTTATCGATTTTATTTAAATTCTAGTTCTCCAATGCACTCCAGGCACTTCTCTCTTCTCTCTTCTGATTGTTTGTTTTTTATAAACGATATCTTGCTTGAAAATTTTTGATTTTCAATTGGCTATGCTTTAAATATAATGCTAGAAAATTGTCTTTTTAATACGAATTTTTTTCCCACCCGCAGTAAATCATTGGCCATTATTCCTGAAGACAATTGTCCCTCCCCCGTTTCTACAGCAAGCGCTAGTTGGAATGACGGGTCAAAATGAAATGTTCACTTCACCTCTTAATATGATTCAATAATTGAATCCAATACAATGTAATTTTACTAAATTGGATTGTGACGTAGAAAACTCATTTTAACTAATGGACAAGTTACCTAAAGAAGTGCCACGTTGGGTGGTGATTAAAATGGACTGGGGATAGTGTCAATGACTATCCATCCAAACCATTTATTGCAACCAACGCGGGATATGCAATAAATAAATAAATATAAATAGACTATATTTACTTTCTAACAATGTCAGTTTGAAATGTGGATGGGCAGTCAGCGTTCAACTCGCTCGTCATGTGTGGTGATCATTTATATTTATATTTATATGACGTATTTGTACAAGTGAATTGAAGTAAGTTATTGACATGTCTCTATACGAGTCATTCCGCTGAGATTGGAATTATCGACCACCACCATACCTAAAAGGAAAACGAGAAAGTTTTTAAAATTTTTTTTACTCAAACAGTGTCACAGAATGTCTACTAGAGACATTTTTTGTCCCTGACAAATTCCTTTTATGGGGGGGGGTACATGGCTCTTTTCATACCCATAGCTCTCTTCAGCAATTTAAGACACCGCATTCCGCCGTGAGCCGGGAAAAAATCGTCTCTTTTGCCTGCACCACCTCCCCTAATAGACATGGCTTTACAATTTGAAGTCGATATTCGGAATAATAATATACACAAATGTATTTCAATAAGCACATTCTATAACAAGGTTTTATCCATTTAACTATAATGTAAACAAAGGGAAAAAAATGAGTTACTTTAGACTCCAGTCTGTTCGACCATGTACTGCGCCGCCAACTTTTCCAGGCTTGGCTGCACCAGGTGGCTGGTACACAGGTCCGCTTGGTTGTCGACCTAAAGACGGTTTCCAATAGCCTCCCACCCCTACAACGATAGAAAAATGTTAGTCATTAAAGGATAATTCCGTTCACCTTGGAGTCTTTGAACCCAATTTTGGAGTTTAACCGACGACGTAGTTGTTGAAAAGATGATGCAAGTGAATTTTGAACAAGACCAATTGTGATATAAGAATTTTTGCGCACACCCAAACTAAACTCGTCAAGAAAAATGACGAGTTGATGTTAGTTTGAGAAGGAGTACGCATTCACAATAATGTAGAAAAGGAAAAGAAAGTGATTCTAATTAATCTTAAACATTTCTAATGTTCGATATTTTACAGAATTTCACGATGATGTTAGCAGACACTTTCACGGAAATGACGTACCTACAGAAGTACCGGAAGTTCCAGCAAGTGAGATGCCGCCACCAAGTCTCGACTGATTATGAAACTGTGAAAGGTAGGATGGACTTAAACCCATTCCGATTGAAGATCGTTTAGTTACCGGCAATTTGCTCCCGGCAGCTGAGGCCGGACTTTGACCGGGGAAGTATCTCGCTTGCCTCATGTAATGCTCTTTAGCGCTGGGGAGATTTCGGCGGTGTGATTCGGTTTCTTTGAGCGAAGTACCACCAAAAACACTGAAAGTCAACAAAGTTTGTTTACTTTCACACGGAAATACGGAAGGAAAAAATACGGCGAAAAATACTTACTTTTCGAAGTGACTATCGCGACGTTTTTTTGCTTGACTCTGCAAAAATATAGAACTCTAAGAGCACAACGCAGTAAGCGGAGATTGTGTGGTAGGGACTCGGGGGAGGAGAGAATTTGTAAACCAAAATTATTCCAAAACAGAAGAGAAACATTAAAATAACACACAGCAACACAACATAAAAATAACACAAAGCAAAAAACATGAAAACAACAGAAGACCACCCAAACTGTTCCAAAGTGACAATAACACAAAGCAAAACACATGAAAACAACAGAAGACCACCCAAACTGTTCCAAAGTGACAATAACACAAAGCAAAACACATGAAAACAACAGAAGACCACCCAAACTGTTCCAAAGTGACAATAACACAAAGCAAAACACATGAAAACAACAGAGACCACCCAAACTGTTCCAAAGTGACAATAACACAAAGCAAACACATGAAAACAACAGAAGACCACCCAAACTGTTCCAAAGTGACAATAACACAAAGCAAAACACATGAAAACAACAGAAGACCACCCAAACTGTTCCAAAGTGACAATAACACAAAGCAAAACAACATGAAAACAACAGAAGACCACCCAAACTGTTCCAAAGTGACAATAACACAAAACAAAACACATGAAAACAACAGAGACCACCCAAACTGTTCCAAAGTGACAATAACACAAAGCAAAACAACATGAAAACAACAGAAGACCACCCAAACTGTTCCAAAGTGACAATAACACAAAGCAAAACAACATGAAAACAACAGAAGACCACCCAAACTGTTCCAAAGTGACAATAACACAAAGCAAAAACATGAAACAACAGAAGACCACCCAAACTGTTCCAAAGTGACAATAAAGCAAAGCAAAACAACATGAAAACAACAGAAGACCACCCAAACTGTTCCAAAGTGACAATAACACAAAGCAAAAAACATGAAAACAACTGAAGACCACCCAAACTGTTCCAAAGTGACAATAACACAAAGCAAAACAACATGAAAACAACAGAAGACCACCCAAACTGTTCCGAAGTGACAATAACACTAGGCAAACAACATGAAAACAACAGAAGACCACCCAAACTGTTCCAAAGTGACAATAACACAAAGCAAAACAACATGAAAACAATACAGAGTAAAACAACATGAAACAAAACAACATGAATTTAACACAAACGAAAACAACACCAAAATAACACAACACAAATGAACTTCAGTCGGGCACATGCTTTAACTGAACATCAATGTATAAACAAAATTTTCCTACCTTTGACGGTGTCTTATAATTGGTATTTACAATATCGTCCATAAAATCGTCAAAGACGTTTTCGTTACTCGACCATTTTGACGATGTCTGCCATTTTCTTCTTTCATTACCAAAAACAGTGCTTCCGTTCTGTTGTGTCGCTTTGGTCAAACTATTACTGGCAATATTACTGTGAAAGTTTTCACGTCCAAAGTTTCTGTTCGAAATCGTGGGTTCGTGATTTCCTTTGAGATTATTTTGTTTATTGGAATTTCCAGGAACGTTTTCCAAGAAGGAAAGTTTCGAATCTTTGGGTTTCATTACTTTTTTTACATCCTCGTCATCTGCTAGTCCGCTTATCCGTTTACTGCTATCGCGGCGAGATTTGCTAAAGTTCTTAACTCCATAATCTAAAAAGCTATCGGATTCAACGTTCTTGATCGGAATACTCCGATCTTTGTCCGATTGTCTTTTCGTAGCAATCGTTTTCTTGCTACGGATATCATCTTTGATCATATCAAGATCAAAATCGTCAAAAATTGAACTCGTTTTTTTCTGAACTGCATTCACCGGTTTCCCGGAATCGGTGATGCGTCGTATAGAACCGTCATTCATCGGTCGTTGTCGATTCGACTCGGCATCAAAATCATAATTCTCAATTAAAGCATTTGCTTTTTTTGGGATTGGTTTAGCAGGTTTTCCTGTTTCGCTCATTCGTCGGATATCATCGATTTTTATTCCGGAGGCAGGTTTTGGGTTTGGTTTATTCTGTGGTAAATCTACACCAACCATGAAATATGGATAACGAAGACTCTGGGCAGCGTTTGGTCGTTTTTGTGGGTTCCAAAGTAACATGTCTTTAATTAAATGAATTCCTTCAGTGGTCGCATGTGGAATGATTTGACGTAAGGGGGTACTGACCTACAAATAGGGATAACAGAGAACAATAATAACTTACATACAAATCTTTATTGCTGTCTTTAATAAACATTCTTTGCAGTAATGAAAGATCATCCTTGCAGTGATGAAAGATGTTCGTAGCACTAATCAAAGGTCTACATAACATTATTTGAAGACTTTCCTAGCAGTTATTGAATCTTCTTACGATTTTTTGAAACATGTATGCTTACCATTGTAGGAAATTTGAAGTTCATCGAAGAAGCCAGTTTATATCCTTCTGGCCAGTTTTCCTACATTGTATAAGTTAAGCAGTTAGTACTTTCTCTGGTAAGATTTTATAGAACTCAGATTTCTCAAAACTCAATCCCTAATCCTGGTTCTAAACATATGATCTGGTTGCTCACATCAATCAATTCAACGCTCTACATATGAAGCATGCAATGCAAAAATGATGAAATTTTGGATGAAGATTTGAATTAAGGCTAACAGTGAAAGGATTATAATTGGTGTTTTCATTAAAGTTTCCATAAGGACTATAATCTAAACCAAATGAAGCGTTGTATTAGTACTGATCTTAGGGTTAATGTTGTCATCAAAGGGCCATCACCTAAACCAATTCAATCGGTATAATCGACGGTTCTCAAAACATTTGAAATATTTTGAAATTGATTTCAAACGCTATCAAAGAAACTTCAAACTATGTATCCTTGTGCACCTTGGAGGGCGTTCCTAAAACCGAACAGATCTTGTATATTTCATCAATTTCGCTGTTGCCAGGAAACAGCGGTCGTAAGGTGTAGATTTCCGCCATGATGCAACCGCATGCCCATATATCGATAGGCGAGCTGTAATTGGTTGATCTTAGCAACACTTCCGGTGCACGATACCTGTTAAGAATTGTGGATGGTGTGATTGTATAACTGAAAAATATTGTCTTTTACGACTCTAATCTCTCAAATGGATTAAGGAGCTTTAATAGGATTAACAACCAACTTAAGATTGGATTACGTACAGATTGGCACAGATTTGTATTGTCTTTCTCGTCTCCAACCTCCCAAATGGATTAAGGAGCTTTAATAGGATCGATAACCAGCTTAAATAGGATTAGATTACGTGCAGATTGGCTCAGATTTGGCGATTTACTTTTGGGATTACTGATAAATTATTTAAAAAGTACTAAATGCCATGGTGAATGGCCCAAATAACTAAATAGCTCTGAAATGAATTGCTTTAAAGATTAAAGACACGACGCATTTCGTCAGAACACTCCTCAGGTGTCAACGTCTGATAATAGTATTCACATTGTAAACAGTTCTTTTCAGAAGTATTACGTCATTTCTGCCAATCACCATGGCAATTGCGATCTTTAAAACAATTTCAGATTCGTCACCACGGCAAAATGTCTATTCTATTATGGATAAGGAAATTTTTCAAAAAAAATTCCATTTATTCATGTTGCTTAGAGACGGAAAAATAAGAAATTTTTACCATCTAGTTGATACGTAGTCTGTAAATGGTGGTCGAGATCTGATCTCTCTTGCTAATCCGAAATCGGCAATCTTTACTTGTTCAGGCCCGCTGCATAACAAATTCTCAGGTTTGATGTCACGATGAAAGTAACCTGCGTACAGGTAGAGATGGATATCGTTAGTTAAAAACATATCATTAAAACTTGAATACGGCGGAGTTTTAAAATTTTACGACTTTGCTTATACGCGTGGGGAACTGGGGGCAAGTACGGAGGAGGTTGTTTAGTTGAATAGAAATACTTAGCGACAGACTAAGTATTTCTAAGTATTTCATAATGGTAAGTTTAAGACAAAGAGTGCGTAAATTGAGACTGTGGGTGTTTCATCAAAACATAGCTAAATATTGTGAAAAGAGAAAAGAAAAATTAGAACAAAATGCATGACATATATGGCTATGGAAAAACAAAAGAAATTCTTTGAATAATTTTGTATTCGAATTTTGTAACGTCTACATTACAATTATTGTTTGTTTCTTTTAATCGCCATATTGGTATTTGTTAGGAAAGTTTATTTTTCATATCTTATGCTACGAAAGCGATATCATCTTTACGATCAGCAGACATTTCGTCTACACGAACGGAACAATTATAAACAACATATTTAAATGCGTTTTAATTAACGTCTTTGATTTCGATTTAGCAGCGGAAAAAGCAAAAATTTCTTACAATGTTGCAATTTTCGCAAATAATTTATATGATCATTGAAAAAAACGAAACTCAAACCATTTGAAGAACGTTTCAGTAATTACAACATAAAGTACCCATCATCTGTCACACTTTATCAGTTAATTACACATAAAAGTTTATTTGAAACTAGGACACTACGTAACAGGTGCAATGTAGAATAGGTTTCTACATCACCAAGATCCGTTTTTCGGCTTTTCACTCAAAAAGCTTCGTATATTTTTGTTTGTTTCTGTTAAAAATAGCCAGATGCACTTTATTTGTTCAACACAAAGCGCGCCCGTCGCAAACCACAAACGATAAACAAAATATTCCCACAGAATCTAAACAGTTCCTCTTGAAACTTACCATGTTTATGCATAAAAGTTACTCCTTGTAAAATCTGATACATAATGTTTCTTACGGTCTGCTCCGGCAGATAACGATCTCTATTTGTTGAGAAAGAGAAAAATGTGATGAAATATAGCTAATGCATACTTTTTGGGACTGGGTATGAGGTTAAAAAACTTCAATCTTTGGCTTTACGAGGAAAACGATAAAAATTAATTTGGTCAATTTTTTTTCCTTCTAGAACTCGCTCATTTCTAAAATTACACTTGAAATACGACTCCTTACGTATATTTTTAGCGTTGCTATAGAGAGGAGAAACATATTTCTACCTGTTTTTGATCATCTGGTAAAGATTTTCCCTCATGTATTCAAAAACAAAATACAATTGATCATTTTCGCGAATGACTTCTTTCAACTTTACAACGTTCGCATGATTCAGTTTCCGCAACGATTTCACTTCCCGTAAATTAACACATTCTTCCCATGAGTAATATTTCCTTTTCATTCTGAAAATAACAAAGAAACTTACAGTCGTAGTTAGACAATTTTAAATAACAAAGCAAAGACTGCGGTCTGAGCGATGTAGTCAGTGAGTTCACCCAAAGGCCATGCAAAATGGCCAAGATGTGAATCTTCATAGAAATGGCAAATACATGATGTTTCAGATTGGAGCAAGGGTATTACAGCACCAAATCAAAGTAATTTTTTGGACACTTTCATCATTACATAATATAAAAGAAAGCGAAGTTTAGTTTGAAATAAAAACTGTTTACATACAGTACAATTTGATCAACTTTCTTGATGTTGTTTCATGCATATATGAAATGACCCAGGTCGGATTTTCCTTAGCGGTAATCAGAAATTTGCTTCAATCACAAACAATGTAAAGGTTTTGAATTTGTTTAAATATTAAGAACATTGACACAAACATGAATGCCTTTAAAAATGATAATGCAACAGCATTTGATCTAGATTTGTTTACTCGTATGTCGATTACTCGATTTTCCCTGAGTTCAAGATACGTCGTATGTCTCACTAACCAATGAGAATTGCGACAGTTCTTCGACTCTATGTAATCAATTAATCATTTGAGGTAATTTTCACTTAAAATGCTTATAACTTATAATGCACTTAAAGTGATTTTATTTCACGCATAAACTCCTTTAACGAAGCCTCGTTCCTTTCTCGCAACCAACGATCTGTCGATGAGCTGTCAGGCCTTCAATGTATTAAAACAATACGAGCTATTTACATACACGGCTACTCGATATTACAGCGCTACATTTAACAGTAGACGATAGCACTTAACTATTTGACAAATAGACGTTGTTAAGTTTTAAATAAGCTGCACAAAGTGCATAACAAATTATCGACAACAAGGTGGGAAAAACTTATATTCCTCTGCCAAGTTGTAACAACTTATCTTCTTAGCAATGACAGGTAGAAACTCAATCATTTACGCGCACGTCTTGGTATATTTTTAGCGTGGAACGTTTGTACTCAAAATAATGAAAATACGTACCGTTTTATGGCGACGTTCTCTCCGTTTCACAATTCCTGGCCAAACTCACAGAACCGTAGGTTCCATCGCCAAGATTTTTGATAGTTTGATACCTTTTCATTGTTTGTTTAACAAGGATACTATTCAATCCACTTTAGCCAAGTCGATCGACTTGAAGCCCGATTTCTTTGTAGTTCTTGTGTAATCCAAAGAATTTACGAAAGCCATCACTAAAACCAAGCAAAACGCAATGAGCTCCGAAACATTTCAAGTCTTCGATCGTACAAATTAAGAATGATAAGTTTCGCTTTTACTTGTAAGGCAGTCAAGGCTACAGTGACCAAAATATCAGACTCTTACATTACACGTTTGAAACATGACTTGCATTTAAAATAGTAGGAAGCAAGCCTTCTCCCACACAAACCTCTTGCATTATTAGGTTTTCCTTTGGTAAAATGTGTGCACAAAAGAGCAGAAACACGACTACAACTTCACGCTTCTCTTCTATTTGTAAAACGAACGAAAAGCGGCAAATGGCGATCGTCGAATTGTTTATACACACTACGACAGGTCATTGTTGCCTAGCAACGACAAAACAACGGACGACAGCGTAGTCAGCTGTCTCGCATTTATTCAGATTGTTGTATAATCATGTAAAAGCTGTAACTTGAAACTTGTTTTTGAATGAAAAACATTGTAGTCTTTACGACATGTTGATTTCTTTGCTATTTTCACATGTGCGAAAAATAACTTTGAAACATTTCGCAAGCCTTGAAAGCAAATTCCTGTTCGATTTCCATTACAAAGAGCGAGACAAGGAGGGGGGCAGTGATTCGTGAAGGCAGGTGTACTCGTGTACTGATAGTCAACAACTGATCGATGTATTTGTCTGGATCTGGATGTAGTATCACCTTTAATTTGTTATAAAGAAAGAAAAAAACGTTTGTTTTTTGAATTAATACGTGGTGAATGACTTCGTATGATCTAAAAGTAATGAAGCATCGCGACAATTGGCAGGGCAAGTATATTTACATACGTGTTTTGCCGTATTCTTTTGAAATCAATGTTTTTTATATACTTTGACACGCACACATGAATGTTTTCTTTCTAAATTATCGATTTAATCTATAACTTTCTTAGTTTGTGGGTAAATGTGTGCGAAAAAGTCAAGAAGCTTGAATTGACTTTAATGATGTGATAAAATTGTAATTTCAGAAAAAATATTGCTGCCAAAATCTCAATACAATCAACAATGTAACGTGACCGGAACGTAGATAAATAAATTATCATAATAAACCATTGAATTGACATTTATGGCTACTATCGTGTTTTCGGTATAAACTAGCAGCGGAACTCAAATGACCTAGAACTCTGTTTCCTTCTGAAAAAATTTTTCCACTTCTGGTTCATCTAGTTGTAGTCATTTTAGGAGTAAGGAGACCACGCCCCTTTGATGGGTAAAAGAAGAGACTTCTGGTTCAATTAGTTGTAGTCATTGTATGAGTGGGTAGACCACGTTCCACATTTCTCTAAAGGAGAAATGGAAGAAATGTCTTTCAGCAACCGTCTTAAGGCCCGTTCACACGATCTGATTTGCCGGATCAGATTGTTTCGGTTCCGACTTTCGGTTGCTTGTTCAGACGCTCCGGTAATTTTGTTGATATGCATATTCGTTTGAACAGCCATTTGTGCTAACCAGTACATTTATTGATGTATTTATTGTATTTTTTTCTTGTTTCCATGCGTTTTTCAAATCTATGTAATTTGATTAGTCGGCTTCCTTTGATGTTGTCTGATGAAAAGAGAACAAGTTCTATTTCCATCCGATTTTTTGGATTGACGAATCTGATTGTCGGAAAATCACTTTATATGTGTTCACTCGATCCATTTTTTGTGATCTGAGAAAATCGGATGCGACAAATCGGATCGTGTGAACGGGCCTTAAAAATGCCCTTTCCATACTCTTGTCTGAATTTTCAAAAGTAATTAAAGTGCATCAATATTTGCAAGATACTATTACTTTAGAGCTCAATAGGCACTGGCCATGATATAAGTGCAAATACTCGGACGCATCTCACAATAAAATATTTGTGACTCAAATGTAACTTCAAAGTTAGCAAAATATTGGCATGCTTTAATTGTTTCTTGACCCTGGTGTCTTGTAGTGCGTTGCATTGTGCCACATCATTTGATGAATCATAAAGTATACACAGAGTTTGTAAAATGAAGTACTTTACTAGAGGCAACAAATAAAGATGTACAAAAAAGGGCAGGACTGCATACTTGTCGTCGTGTAATACAGGTGAAGTGAAGAAGAAGACGATGAATCATTTTCGAACTCAGTACCAAGAGAATCAACGCAAAAGTGGCTAAGACAAAAGTAGATCAAAAGTACGCTGCTTTTATATTGTCACGGGGGGTGAGCTCTCGTTTTAGTTCCAGCTTTATTAATTTCAACTCTGACGAACTGGATTTGCTTCCACAGGGGAGCTTTATGCCCAGTTTACACAATACCGGATTGCTATCGTAGCAGGTTAAATTGTTCACTGTCAGAAACAACTTTATAGACTAAATCTATCAACTTAATAAGCTTTTACTCCGGACAGTTACCCCTTTAAAGTAAATGAAAATGTCGTGAAGAGCGAATCCAGTATAGTGTAAACGCAGCCTACATATGTTCAGCTACAGATGCGGGAACTTGTACCAAATATATTTACGTGGATCGTGCTTCAAAGCTTACTTTCCATAGTTTTTCCACAGAGACTAGAGCCAACAGCCCTCGTTCTGATGCCCTTCAACCAATTTAGTCAAAGAAGAGAAGCTAAGTTTTGCTCATTGGACAACATCTTCTGGTTGCTCATTTGATATTAATGTTTTGAGTCTAAGACCAGAATCAGTACTTCTTGATTCGGCACACTAGGATTTGTGAAAGAAATCTCTCTACTAAATTCATTGCATATCAAATTCACTCTCGCATTATGTACTCAGAATAAGAATTTGTCAAAGGAAGTTTGTTAATCAAAATTTCATCAACAACAATATTTTGTAAACATTAAATATAAATGTTTGTTTGTCTGTTTTAAAGTTCCTTTGGATTGGTAATCAAACGATTCAGAACAACAACATTTTTTCTGGCATAATTAGCTTCCAAGATTGGTGGAATGACCAACTGAAAAAAGTAAACAAAAAACAATTAAAATGGTAGCTGGAATTAGTAAGTGTTTTCAATTTGGCAATTTTAGGTTTGAGTTAAGCAACAATAGAAGCAAATCATCAAAGATGTCTGCAAAACTAAAGTAAGACATTTTATGAAACTACCCAAGCGAAGAGTTGTTCTTTATATATTATGTAATCCAGAATTTAGAACACATTTCACCATGGCATTTATGTATGCAGTGTTAAAGCTAAGTATCTCTTACAAACTAAATATAACTCTGTAGATCATAAATGACACATTTCAAAGAGAAATAAATTAGTGGCAATAGTAGTTGGACCAATGTTAAAAATTAATTGATATTACATCGCCTTTGTCGCTATATTTTGGAGGCAAAGGCTTATGCAGATTAACTGTAACTACAAACTTTATCTTTAAATAGGCACTATGTATACAACTGCCAGTATCTTGGTCAGTCTAATCTTACTATAGCGATAGATTGTTAAAAGTCGTCCTATTAGCTAGTGCTTGATTGTTAGCATATATGATACTGTTTAAATATGTGATATTGTAAGAATATCTTTAAAAAAAATCAGTCTTGTAAGAATTTTCATTCACAACATATTAAGTTAAATTCGTCCTCTATACGTAGAATCATTCGTTACACTTGCAATTACATTATAATGTGTACAGTAATAGTCTAGCGAGCTTACCAAATGCAAAAATTGCTGCTTGAACCATTCCTGCCCATGTGGACGTGGTCCCTGCTTGTCTCTTAATTGAAAGCAGCCATGCGCTTCGTTTCCCAAGGAGACATTTCTCCGAGGAGACATTTCTACAAGAAAATAATAGATTGTGAGCTCTTCTTTAACAAACCACTCAAATCCCATCGTTAAAAACATAATCTGGCCTTTAGGGAAATGTAAGTAATGAATGGTCACGCAATTTTCCAAAGCACAAGCATCAGCTCGCCATTTCCATGACGTCTTCCTCTTCCGTACAATTCAAGTTGTACTGTATCTATTGTCCGCTGTTAATGTTGTAAAATACATTACATACAGTTTCCCGTGGCAAATTTTCTTTAGAATTGCTAGGTATTCAAACTTTTTATTAAAGAAAAATGTTCAGCTATGTGGGAAGCTTCGAAAATTGATGACGATGTCTTTTCTTACGAAAGCAAAGCACTTGTTTTCTTCAGCGATAGCAGTATATGGTTTATGTGTAGCCATTTTTGAGAAGATGTCAGCGAGTATTGTATGAACTTAGTTAGCGAGTACATTCAATACCCTGAAATACATCGAAACGATTTTGTTGTCCACATTGGCCGCATACTGTTCTTCCGTATGAAATCAAATTGAAGTTGTGTCCATATTTCATGAAATCCTCACATGTTTTGTACAAGGTTCCTCAGAGTTCTTCGTAAAATAATTGCAGCATGCTTCGCCATTTTGTTACATAATGGTTATATCTTCTTCATAAGTCTTCATTACTATGTTACTGTGCATATTGCAAAGCTTTTACATCATCGTAGACGCTATATCTTGCATGCTTTCTACTTTCAAGTAGATATTGCGTGTCACGAGATAGCTATAGCCTAAACAATGCAGCCCTGCTGTGAATTCTGCTTTGGTGGTAACAGTATGAGTGAATTTTATGTAAATCCTATTGAAATATTATGCTTATTATTGATATAAATAATAAATGCAACTGTAAAGTATCTTTCCAATACCAAGAGAAATTGAAGCACTTTTTCGGTCAGCAAGCCGAGCACATGTGTCGTAGTTATTTCTCATACTTTATCAAGATAAAAATATAAAAATGCTTACCCTTTAAGTCAAAATGCTCTTTGGTATGATTGCAAAAGAAAAAAATGAACTTCTGTCTTCTCTTTCGACGATGTTTCAACAAACCCCGCCGGATGAGTGTCAGCAAATCATGGTAACTAGCTTCTTTAAAGGAAATGACAATTTTTTTCACCTTCAGCCACATCCGTCTTGCAAGGCTCTCGGGAACCAATAGTAAACAAAGTTTCTCCAAAGAAAGTCTACTGGCACCAATTCATTTCAGGAAACATATTGATAATTATTTGCCTGAAATCCCATGATTGCTGTGATAATGACACCAAACTATATGCATATGTGTTCCTGTGCCAACCTACAGGGGACATTTTCGACGCTTTCGGGGACGATCCTTTATACAAAATCCATCAGATTTTATTAAGTGTAGTGTTGTAGACACGCCCTTAAAAGTGACAATGACATGTATATAAATAGGAATGAGAAATGTTGTTGAAAAACGGATATTAGAGAGAGCACAATAGATAGATACTAAAGGAAGAAGATGAATTCTAAACATTACATTGGCGACGAGGAATAAAATATCAACGCAAACATGGCAACACTTTTATCTCCCATGCCACATTTCAATCCGGATGAAGAAATCGGAAGAAACATTGCAAATAGATGGCGCACGTGGTTGGCAGATTTTAAAACATTTTTAACAGCCAGTAATATAACAAATAGAACTCGGCAACGGGCTTTACTTCTTTATCAAGCAGGACCCCGAATTCGAGAGATATTTCGACAATTTCCAGACCCGGGAGAAGATGATGATTTTGCTAAAGCGGAAATACTTCTTACGGAGTATTTTGAACCACAGAAAAATTGGTTTTATGAAGTTTACAAATTTCGACAAGCAAAGCAAGTAGAGTCCAAAACAATCGACCAATTTCATACAAGACTGCGCTCATTATCTAAAATTGTGAATTTGCTTATGTAGATTTTGAAATAATGGTTCAAATTATTATTGGTGGACGATCCAGTCGTGTACGAAAACAAACATTAAGAGATCCTAAATATACCTTAAAAGATCTGTTGCTTGAAGCAAGGCGTGAAGAAACAAGTAAAGTACAAGCGGCGGACATCGAAGAGCATTTGGACAGCCACGTTTTACATACACTAAAAAAACCTACAAATAAAAACTCCCAAGCCGATAAACCACAGAAGATATGCTTTTACTGTGGAGGTAACTACCCCCATTTAGACAAACCGTGCCCAGCGAAGAACAAAACATGCGCCAAATGCGGGAAGTTAAATCATTTTGCAAGCCAATGTCCCAGCCGAAACTTGCAGAAAATCAAAACACCCGCTAAACCACGCCAAGACATACCACCGGTAAAGGCTGATGAAGAGAAAGATAGCAGCAGCGACAATAATTCGGAATACTGTTATGCGGTTTGTAACAACAACAAGCCTAAACGTCCTGAAACGTCAATATCGCTCAACGGACTATATGTCAGAATGACAATTGACACTGGCTCAAGCATAAATATAATCGACAAGAAGACTTTCCGGAACTTTCGAAATACTGAGCTTGAACCCACATCCGTGAAAGCATACCCGTTTAACTCAAAAACGCCAGTCAAGATGGAAGGGAAGTTTCGTGTTCTGGCGGAGTCAAAACACAAGTTCACAGTTGCTACTATATATGTGACATCAGACGATGGCGGCTGTTTACTCAGCTCGGAAACAGCGCAAGAACTTGGACTTGTAAGCATAAACTTGAACAAAATTAACACATCGCCAGAAAACTCAACACTTACAACAAAGGATACAAAGCTCCATCACATTTTGGACAAACATGCACCTGTCTTTGACGGACTTGGGAAGTTAAAAAATAAACAAATTAGACTAGCAATTGATGACTCCGTGCTCCCGGTTGCACAACCACAGGGACGAACACCGTTCCACCTACGCCTGAAAGTGGAAAGTGAAATACACAGATTAGAGAACGATGACATCATAGAGAAAATACCTGAAGGCATGCCCACTGACTGGGTCTCTCCGGTGGTAATTGTTCCCAAGCGTGATGGTAACATTCGATTGTGTGTTGATATGCGGATAGCAAATACGGCTATCAAACGAACCAGACATCCAATACCAACTGTGGAAGCTGTATCCATGGAACTCAATGGAGCACGTATATTTTCAAAGCTTGATCTTGCTCAAGCATACCACCAACTAGAGCTATGTCCAGCATCCCGCAGCATCACAACATTCTCAACTCATTGCGGTCTCTATCGTTATAAGCAATTAAACTATGGAACTAATGCCGCAGCTGAATTATTTCAACATAATCTGCAGGAACATTGCTAGGAATTAAAGGGGTCAAGAACATTGCTGACGACATAATCGTATTTGGAAGTAATAGAGCAGACCATGACCGTGCACTGGATGAAGTTCTTACCCGATTACAAGATCACAATCTCACACTTAATTGCCAAAAGTGCAAGTTCCTGAAGAAGAACCTTGAGTTTTTTGGGTTATTATTCTCAGAACATGGGGTCTGCCCGGACCCAAAAAAGGTAGAAACTTTCGTTAAAACTACAATACCCACAACGGTCAGCGAAGTGAGAAGCTTACTGGGGATGGCAAATTACAGCTCTAAGTTTATCCAAAATTATGCTACCATTACAGAACCCCTTCGAAAACTAACACGTAAGTGAGCGCGCTTTGCATGGACGTGGGAACACCAAGCAGCTTATGACAAGTTAAAAAATGCACTAACCAACAGTCCAGTTATGAGTCATTTTGATACATCAAAAGAAACGTCGGTATTAGTGGATGCAAGCCCAGTTGGCTTATCAGCCATATTAACCCAAAGAGATCCTAAAACAAACGCCGATAACGTGATCTGCTATGCTAGTCGGGCTCTTTCTTCAGTAGAACAACGATATTCGCAAACTGAAAAGGAGGCCCTTGCTATCGTGTGGGGTATCGAACACTTTCACATCTACCTATTTGGGGCATCGTTCACCCTGATCACTGATCACAAACCATTACAACTTATCTATAATAATCCTCGGTCCAGACCTCCCGCCAGGATTGAGCGATGGTTATTGAGACTTCAACAATACAATTTTCAAGTCATTTACAGACCAGGTGACACGAGCCCTGCAGACTTCTTATCCAGACACCCACAATTACAGACTCCCAAACGCAACATCGCCGAAGAATACATCACGTTTGTCACGACAAATGCAGCTCAAAATGGCATATCAATTGAAGATTTTGGAGTGTAATGGAGTAAGAAGCTCACAGAAAATAAGACCTTCACACAAACTTTCAATCTTCAATGACTTATGATTACATTCAAACCATCACAGTGTAATCAAGCACATGTTAAACACATACAAAATGGAGACAAAAATTATTCATTGCTTCAGTTGTAACTCCAGATATGGTGGGCTCAGTTCTGGACGGAACCAACTGCATTGACAGATTGAAGTTCACTTTGAGGGAATTTCGAATGATATTCCTCCACTTTGAAAATGAATTTTAACATTCGCTCCCCCTGATTTCTAAAAAAATTTTCAATACAAAAGAGAGCAAGTGAAAACTGCTATCCCAAATCATAAGGTTTTCCATTCAATTTTATGTTTAACTGTATAAGTACACACATTACTATGAAGAAAATCCAACGGAAAGAAACTATTTATTTACATAAACACGAGAAAATGCACTTGAAAAGTTTGAAAAGTTTAACTTTTGTCCTACAGCTACATGCAAGTCAACTACTACACAAACCTTGACCAGGTTTTCAGTCATTAAACGTCGAGTGAAATTTAAGATGCTGGCTGGTGTTTTACTAACATCTTTTTGCAGTTCTATTATGTACATGTAACGACAATATCTCGAACTTTAATAAGTACAAAAAAGAACAGAATTTGAAATACTATCAAATAATGCTATTGCTGATTGAAAGTTTCTAAATACCTTGAACCATGATATTATAACAGGATTGTAAACTATTCAGCAAAAGATTGGAGGCGGCGGCTTGTTTGAATTTGAAAAAAGTTTTCTACTTGAAATACATATTAGAGAGCCCCTTGTTAAAACATTTTGCAATACACCTCTGAGAAATAATGAATATGAATTGATATAAAATAAAAATCCTAAGCAGTTTTATATTGGAAAGAGTAAAGATGAACCCGGGAAAACAGGTGACCCTGCAGGACAAAGATTTTTCCATCGTAGAAATTATTTTTTTGTTCATACTTGATTCCATGTAAGGCAAAATAATATACATAAGTCTTGCTAAATTGAGAGTTCTTAAAGAGTTAAAAAGCTATTCTTCATGCTCTTGGCTCTCGAATATGACTATCGCTAAGGAAAATCAAAACGTCATTCAACACTAACAGTCTTTCTCAGGACTCTACTAACCTGGACCATCTACATCTACAAACATCTACTGATACACGCGGGCTCAAATCATTCTCTTTAATATAGTAAATAAAATCGATTAATAAACATCCAAACCATGACAAAGAACCACTTTCTGCAATACTAGGCATAATTTGTTCCTATTTTTATAAAAGAAAAGCTTATGACTATGTGCATCAATGCATGATAAGTTTAATTTAGCATTGCCTCTTCGGACAGAAATCCACTCGTGGTATAATTCCAGATGATCTTAGATTTACATCGGATGCATTAGTTGTGTCATAACACACATATAGTCAGAGGTGTATCTACAACGATAATTGGAGGGTGTGTATTCATATAATCAGTTGTGCCCTACTGATTTCTTTTGATCAATTCACTTTCAAAAAAGTTCAGTAGGGCACAACGCAATATATAAATATGCACCCCCCCCCAATTAACGTTTTAGTTACGCCTCTGCATGTAGTTCCACATATGCTGACTTATCGACGAATTATCGACTTCGTCAAGGACAAATCACTCTTCTTTATCCCCAATTTATCGGCATCCACTTTAACAATACACTCGTCCTATATCATTAAAAACAACTGCTATCAGTCAATTATAACAATCACCAACCTAGACTATGCATGATTATCCTTACTCTGTTTGCAACTTTACCAGCTTTAGCTAACACATTGAAAAAGTTGTCCAAGCAGATTTCCTTTGTGATTCCATCGAGACGAAATTTTGGAGATTTTATCTTTTCACTTGACTCATACATAAATCCAAATAGATCATGGTTTTCTAAACAAAAACCCATGTCAGTTCTAAGCATATTTTCATGCAGCAACAAAAATCTTAAAAAATTGGCCTGAAAAATCCCGACTAGTAAATCTTAATTTATTGTCAATATTAATGCAAGACCTTTTTACGAAGATGTAAAAAAAGACATTTAGAACCAAGGTGTGGAATGGTCAACCAAAAATTCAAGTGGTAATGACGCCTCATTCACATCTATGTATGAGGAGGTCTGTTTGCACTTGTACTGCTAGTGTAAATTCAAAAGTTATTAGACGTCAAATGTTTAACGAATTTATTGCCTGCTATTAAGTTTTGGACAGATAAAAACAATGTATTTGAGTAAAAAAAATTAAATGCCATATGTGATCTAATAGAATACAGAAACATTTCATAAGAAATTCTCCTCTAAAATAGTTTTTGACACTCATTGTTATCACTTTAAAATCATTACAAGGCAGAATGTTCATGAAAAACTGTGTCCAATGACTTATGAGCGCGCTTAGTACTGTGAACCCCACCGTACTGGTCCCAAAACTAAGGTAAAATTCAAATCTTTTCGAAAACAAAAGAAAAATGTATAGTTAGTGTGAAATCTTTGTTTGAGCAAAAGTGGAAAAATAGCGATTTGGCAAACATTCTTCTTTCGACACTAAAAAGTCCTTCATTCAAAAGAAAATCAAGGGTGAAAAAATACTTGCCGTCTTGCTCTGTGATGTCCAAAATATTTTGCAATTGCGACAATGGGATCAACTCCAGATGATCATAGGGCTTTTTACCATCTGAATCTCTCTTTAGGAAAGATAGGGCATTGCTTTTACTGTGGCGTTTGGTTACCTAAAGTTAAGAAATGAATTCTTTTGTTGCAATGTAATGACGCATGCTCTATTGAAATACTTAACAGCCTGTGGCCCGTTGCACGAAGGCCGGACAGGGCTATCCACTGGATAGCAAATTTTTCTGAACGTTTAAAAAGTCTCTTATAAAAGAAAAGTATACGATTTGAACTGTGCAATCGCTGAAATAAAGTATCGTTTCGAAGATCACAAAATTTTTTTGTCGCAAAAAAAATATAACACCTTTTCTACAAGTTTGACAATTTTTGCCATCTAGTGGATAACGCTATCCAGGCTTCGTGCATCCGCCCCAGATGTATTTTGCTGGAAATATTTTTGGCTACAGATCAACCATTTGAATTCACTATTCCGAAAATGAAGAAGCAGTAAAATCTTTTTACAAGATAACGACAAATGTTGTCTGAACCTAGAAGTGTAGAATTTCTAAGTGTCGTCGTGTACAATCTTATTGCATTGCCTTTTTTGATTGATGAGTACCAATCTACTACATGTTGCGAAGTAAACGCTATTTTGAATTTTAGCAAAGCCTGTCACCTAATCGTGCATGTAATAAACTAATCAAATAACAAAATTGCGATAGTTTCCTGCATGATTCTTTAGAGTCCACTCACTGCATTGTAGATATATATATGTTTTATAGTCAAAATAGACAATTAGTAAACAATCGCTTTCTTTGTAGTTTTGCTATATGAATGCAAAGTGGAAGGGCACTGCCATTTTTCTAAGGAAAATGGGGTCTTAAGCTCCCCTGTTGCCTCCCCCCACGCTTCCAATGTCCCTGTTTCTTATGAAAAGTCTCTTGAGCAATTTCACAATATTCTGACTTTGTAAATACACAAAACATGTAAAATGAAAACGGCCAATTTGGCATAGTTTGAGAATTACAACGTTAACTGGAATGACTTGTGGCGCCGAACAGTTGTAATTTTGCCGCTTGAAGTCATAAGTCTTCGTATGTCTTCGAAATTGTTTCACGCTTTACTGAATCCCTGTTAGCTGAGATCATGTAATATGTTTAATGTTTATTAAAACATTTTATCTTTCAGCTAAACGCTGAATGACATAAAAATTAAAACTTTACAATCATGATGTTGATTTAACATTAGAAGCTAAATTTTTGCTTGAGAAGCATATTGCATAATAAAAGAGTTTCTAAATCTGTTTGTTTTTATTTTCGACAATTATTTTCGGAAAAATTACAAGACTTCAAACAAAGTAACTATAACACATTATTCGAATTAATGTGAACTCAAACACAAATAAAATAGTTCCTATCAACAAAATTTATTTCTCAACATCAAATCATTGATATCAACGTATAGTTTTACAAACCTCAAGACAATCGTTGAACAAAAACAGTGTTACAGGTTGTGCTTTTTTACCAAATTCGTCACTTATTTCGAATCCATCAATTTTTAAAACAAGAGACCGATGAGCAGCTAAAATATTTGGCTAAATAGAATAAAAAAAGAGAAAGTAGTTAAAGCAAAAATTGATAACAGCAAAAAGACATGGTGTTCTGTTACAAAGATGCAATGTCAAGTTATTATATTTTAAGATAGTCTATCAAATCATGTACATTAACCAATTGTATTACCGGGCAGTTTTCAATGTCTCCCATGATTTCAAACATTTGAACTTGACCATCAGACTCTCTTTTACACTCATTAATATGTCTAAAAACAATGCATATTCAACTGTAATGTTCACTTTTTTCCTAGTGAAAATCGAGGTGAAAATCAACACTATCAACAATGATTGAGTTCACCAACGTAATAACACTTTCCAGAGCTGCAATTGCTTTTTCTAAATGAGCAATGTCTGGGTTATTTAAGTCTGCTTTTCTTGTTTCTTTGAGCAATTCTATAAAATAGTAAGAAAGTACGTTTAACGAGCTCCAGTCAATTTTTAAAAGATAAAAAGAAATATACAGTTGATGTAAAATAAAAATAGGAATTTTATTTATTCCTTTGAATCATGAAAAGAAGTGCTTTCATGAAAAAAATTACATGCCTATAAAGGGATAGTTACTTATTCGCTTTTACATGTATCATAACTTAAGAAAATTATCTTTGTTAAGGAGCGCGTATGCATTGATTACCTTTCAAAAGTAGGTTCATCCTAGGAAGTCTTTGAACAGGTAAGATAAGAAGTTCTGCTAACGTCTGACGGTCGCATTCATGTTTACTACGACATATCTGCAGTACGTGAAATATAAGACATCGTGAAAGAAATATCAACAAGTTTTGCGCACTATTAAAACAACAAAGTTGTACATTGAACAATATACCTCAAGAAATGCGTGAAACCGTGGTTTTCTTTGGTCACATTGCACTACAGATTCTCTTCTCATATCAAAAAAATTTATGTATTTAGGATACACGGTCCTGAGCTCATCAGTCTGAAACACGTAAACACCGATGACAATCATTCATTAACATAAATTGTACTTCTCAGAAGCTTACATATTTCAAAATCACTTTTCCAATACACTTATCTTCTGTCCAAAACCGTAACAGATTCTGCAATTCGACCTACAATTGAAAGCATCTATCGTAAGTGTGGCCATGAAATTATGCTGCATACAACATATACAATGATCTAAAAATACCTGATAATATAATTTTTTTAATTATAATACAAACCATTATTTCATGATGAACTTTTTTGATATCAGGTAAATTTCCAAATGTTGTTTTAATTTCCACTGGTTCCAAGATTGGTCCATCCGTCTCATCTATTTTCTCCAAAGGACTCTTAAAATTCTAGATTAATAACAAGTGTATGACTGAGTTTATTTAATGATGTCTTATTCAGTGCTGCAAATCTACCAGAGAAAATGAACAGTTAAAGAAACGTCACTAAAGTTACCAGCGCACTAGATCAGAAAACATCTTTAATGGAATAGGTAAATTGGACTTCCAATATTTTTCAATTCAACGTAAAATTTTTGCAATTGGAAAACATAGAGTATGGTAACATATATAGCACATTTTGCTTGGGCTAGCAAAATTTCGAGAAATTTGGCTAAAGCGTACAGCCATATTCTTGGCATCCAAATCACAGATAATTTTGTATTTTTCTGTTTTAATGCCATTTTTAAAAACCATCTGAACAACGTGTGCCATATTTTTACCCTATGTGTTGCAATTGCTTTTTAGTAGCTTCGTTTATGTTCACGACCTATCAAAAGTAATTCTCGGTAACACAATTCTCATTCTAAAAATTTTTATTATTTGCTACATTTTTGCTGTCAGATAAATCATTGGAAGTCCAACTAAGTATACCCACTAATAGTTTTAGCAAACCTTGCGAACTGATGACTTTAGTAACGTTTTCCTAACTGTTTAGTTGTTTTTTTATACACCCTGTATAAAGTGCACCCACTAAATCACTCTACGTGGATCTAATTGAGGAATAGACCGAAAGGATCCAGCGTAACAAGAACTTTAACCAACCAGAATTGTGTCAATTTTTTTCACATAGTTCTGCTCAGTTTGTAGCAATTCTGAGGCAACTTGTTCACGCACTGTTTTGGCATTAGGAGGTGAAAACGCTGTTACTGGTGTAACCTTCATATTTTGAGACATTAATTGTACTTCTAGCCGAGAACTGTCTAGAAAATAAAAAAACCATCATAGCTCTTGTAGTGTTCAGTTTCTCATAAAGAACCTTATTTTGTCTTCAATGGCGTACAAGAGGATCGATGATGGGGAGAGAGGGGAATACTCATATATGTACGGTATAATCCTTTGAAAACAATAGATTTTAAAAGAACTTAACACTGCATATCATGCATATATGATTGTAAGACCCCCTCCCAATGCTCGATCTTCCTTTGCCCATGTTTGTCTTGTTATACCTTCACGTCGTGTACCAGGAAATGTCATAGTGTACTTAGGTAAAGAGGCTGGAAATGAATTTTCTGATAAAATATCATTGTTCTTTCTTTTTGGTGCGTGACTAAGAGAATTTGCTGGTAATATTTCATCGACTTCGTCTGTGTCTCGACGTCGTTTTCGACTATTTTGATTAACCAGTGACGATGTATTAGAGGTTGACTGAATGAGATTGGTATGAACAAATTAGTCATCACATACATTATTTTATACAGATCAAATTTGCACCTGTTTATGAAGGGACGAGCCCGAACCACCACGCGCATCGCCTTGAATGCTCGCCCAAAACAACTAAAAAAGGGATTTAAGAATTATTGTGTCTATAAAAATAGTAGGGAACGAGGGGCATGGCAATAAAGAAAATCAGGGAAGCTGAACGGCAGGTGACACCGTGAAAATTTTTACACATATAGAGACTAAGTATATGAATGAACTACCTCTTGTTTGACAACTTTTACATTCTTCACTTCCAACGCATCTTGAGGAATCTCTTTATCGCTATACTTCACAACAATATGCGTCAACTTCTTACTTTCAAGATTGCAGATTTTCCCTCCTGAAGAATATGGATGAAAACGCCAAATCAACTAAATAATCACATAAAGACGTCATTTTCTTTCCTCATGTTTTCTCGTAATGTAGATAGAACATGTGACTTTTTGTTATGACGTCATCATTTTCTTTAACTCGTGTTTTCTCGTGGTGTTTAATGAAGACCTCTTTATGTACCAGTATAAAAAGTCAAAAAATAACGGTAAAACATCTCACTGTCATCATGCACTATTTACACACGGATTAATGTATAAATAATTAGTCAATCATCAATAATACTAATAATAGTCAATAATATCATCAATAATACTATAAATGAACGAATCAAGTTTGGGAGTAATTTTTGTAGGTAAGAACCCGAACGCCAATTTGATAAAAGTACAGTTTTTATTTCTACCATGTTCAATAGCCGTTTTCTCCATGCGAGCTTTCTCTTTCTCTGAAAATTCCCAAAAGCAAAGCAGCACTCAGAAAATGGCGGTAGTTTTTGTTCCATCTAAAAAGACGTTACAATTTTCATGTAAAATTGTACGAACACAGAAAAACATGAAAATTAAGTAAAAAGTAATGAAAATGGCGAACATCTACGCTGCTAAAAGAAAAGATCTTTGAAGACGAAAAAATTTCTTAGAGCATGACCATGCGAGTTGCGCCTTTGTACGTAGAAAATATTTAGTCGTAAGATGTTGCGAGGCAACACTGAGTAAAATATGGAGCAACACACGAAACATGACATTTTGTTAGTTAGAATTTGTCCAAAATCAAATGCTTTCATGTAAACATACAAAAAGGTAAAATGTCTATATTTTTAATGATTGAATAATTTCAATAAAGATTTTTAGTCATGATTAGCATGACTGGCTACGCCACTGTCAAATTTTCAGCATCTACCTGCAATAAAGACGCGGAAGTAGATTTTTCGACCGCATCAAAGTATCAATATACAGAGAAATTTGACCAGGGAAAACTTGAGTTAACTCTGAAATTTGTTCGAGTTCAGTGTGAAATTCGGGTTAACCGAGCTCGAGTTGTAAGATTGTTTACTATTTAAAATTTTTACACTTAAAACGTAACGACGTATTACGCGACAATTCAAAGAGCGAAGAAATAGTTTGAATTTCGTAGAAAAAATATTGTGAATCTTGGCATTAGCAATGATTAGGCTTTTGATAGAGCGGATATAAAGTGAAAATATCAATTAAGTTACATCTTCTTTAATAGACATGAAATTTTATCGAATCTTATCTATATAAGCACAGCCATCATTAATGACTTCATGCCAAAAGTATAAATAAAGAAGAACATACTTACTTGTGTCTTATTCGTCGCGTTGATTGTTTCTAAATTAGTTTTCCAGTTGGCGCTGTGGAAGTTTTAAGGAGTTTATTTTATTGATCGAGTTCTTTCTTTATAACTTATAAAGTATAAAGACATTTTCTCTTGAAACCTCCTATTTATGTTCTTACAAAATACAAAATAAACGACGCTTAAGAATAGTAATGAATGATAGGTATTTCTCCAAATACTTTTAATTGTGTATAGAAGGCAGGTGTATCTATAATAAAGAAAAAAATGCCTTTGTTCCAGCTTTGCATGCTGTGCGTAAGTGAAATTTGTTACGGCAATTCATATAATTCTCAAAGCATCCATATAAATCTTATCATGTTTTACTAAAGTAAAAGCAAGCGATGTCATTTTGTTAAGATCAATAAAATTAAACCGCTTTTCCTAATAGCGTGTTGTTGCGAACTTACCCCTTCCCCCTCAATATATATAATGTCGTTGTTTCAGCGTTCCTTAAATGGTTCCCAAATTGCATAATTTGTTGAATTAATTAACCTGAAAGCTAAAGTGTTTTGTTTTAAAGTATATGACTGTTCTTAGTACGATATATCAAGATTTTACAACTTTGTGTTTTTGCTTATGGACTGTTCTGTTCAGGTGCCATGCATGATGCATGCTTGGGCTACCATGTCTCTCCAACGTTGACGGTTACGAGCACAGGCAAAGATTTCTGCAGTGTTGGCGATTCCGGTAACTTTCTTAACTCTGTCCAAATACGTTATGCGTTGACGGCCTCGTGCTCTTTTCCTTCGATTTTCCTTGCAGCGCAACACATTCCAGGCCTTCCTTCCGAACTACGTGGCCAAGAAAACGAAGTTGTCTCTCGATTATTACGGAGAGTAGTTCTCTTCACACCGGCTCTTCTCATAACCTCTTCATTTGAGACGTGATCAATAAATGACACTTTCAACATCCTTCTCAAAAACCACATTTCTGCTGCTTCTAAGTTTTTCTCCAGGTCAGCAGTTAGAGTCCAGGCTTCACAGCCGTAAGTCAAGATTGACCAAATGTAGCATTTGAGTAATCGTATTTTGAGTGGCATTGATAAGTTTCGGTTGACAAAGATGGATCGCAAGTCTTGAAATTTCAATTTTGCAACAGCAATTCTCTTCTTCACTTCCTTTTGCATCTCACATCGGTCGTCAGCAGACTTCCAAGGTAGTTGAAGCTTTCCTTCTCCTCAATATGGTCGTTGCCAATTCTCAAGTAACAGTGGGGCTTTTCTGCAAGTTTGCTGACTACCATCGATTTGGTTTTATCACAATTGATAGTCAGGCCCATTTCAGCTCCTTCCACAACCTGGTCTAATAGTGCTTGCAGTTGTTCTTCAGTGGTTGCAATCAAAACAGTGTCATCTGCATAACGAAGATTATTGAAATTCACACCGCCAACCTTCAGTCCGACCATGTCTATGATGGTGCGGAGGATCATCTCACTGTAAAGATTAAAAAAGTCGCTTATGGACTAAGATCTTCTTTAAATCTAGTGATGATAAAAACCTTTTGATAAGGACATTCTTATTTTGCTTTATATGTCGAGCAGTTCAGGTGGCTTTAGTTGATCGTAGCATTTTACGATGACATAACAAATGGACGCAACATCATTCAGGGCACGCAAACACCGTTTAAGTATTCTTCTGGAGAATGAACTCGATATGTCTACGTCACCGGGCTGCGTAAAACAGAAAGGCAGCTTCAAAATTTTTGTAATGTAATCAAATTGTTCAAATTAACAAATCGAACTCCACCTGAGTTGAATAGGAAAATTTATAAAATAACGACGAACTACTCAACTACATCAAGTTAAAACCTATAAAGAAATCTGACGACTTTAGCTGCCACTAGCTGCTTTCTTATCTTTCTCAATATCTATAGAAATTTTTGGATCTGGTTGTTGACCACAGAAAAACAAAAGCCTGCATACCTTTAATCTGACATACTCCTACAAAGGGTGCGGGAAGCGGCCAAGGACGAGACAAATTGTTGATCTTGTCATTTTAGGAGTAATGAGACCATGCTCTTTAAAGGTTAAGAGGAGACACTTCGTTGAAGAAGAAGACGAAAATCATCTTCAAACACTGCAAAAAAATTTAAAAGTGGCTCAGGCCAAGGTGAATCAAAAGCGCGTTGATTTTATATCGTCGTGTGTGGCGAGCTCGTTCTACTTCCAGCTTTAGTAATTTAAAATCTGACGGACTAGACTTGCTTCCACTGACGAGGTTAAGAGTTCAGCTGCAGATCCGGGGACTTTGCACCAAATATATTTACGATGATTGTGATGTAAAGCTTACTTCCATAGTTTTTCATAAAACTGCAGCCAATAGCACTTGCTCTGATGCCCTTCAACACAATTAGTAAAAAGAGAAGCTAAGTTTTGCTCTTTCCTGGGGCCATGAAAGTTGGACAAAGAGCTCAAAATTATTACCAAGAGACGAGGATTTTGAATGAAATCTCTTACACTGAACTTATCTTGGATCGAACCAACGGCCATTTAAGAGATCACACATCTGAGAAACAGTGAGTAGTTTTATTAAATATCAACATGAAGGCAGTGTTACAAGTACTATCAGCAAAAGTATGAAAGCTAAATCCTCTTAAATGCTAAATTACAGTGCTATAATCTCTCAAGCAAAGGAAGCTGTAAAAAGTTGTAAACAACAAAGTCCGAATATCGATGATATTTGTTGCTTTCATACAGAAATTTAAAATTATATATCACACCATGCATTATGTTGAGGCGGAGCTTTGCCTTTTGTGCGTATGGATTTCGCATCCTTCATTATTTGAAAAGGATGGCTTCACTGTTAGTATTGTCGAAGAATTATATTTTGTCACCCCTTGCAGCCCCCTTTTTGTGAAAGCGCAAAGCATTCTGGGTCAAAAAGTCGATTTCTCGACACCGCAAGCCAAAACCTCTATTCGTGCCCCTTCAGAGCACGAGTAATTAAAAAGAAGACAGTTTATGACTAAGCGCATGATAAGTTTAATTTAGCATTTAGCCTTATCTGACAACAATCTACACTTGGTATGATTCCAGATGATCCAGTACTCACATAAGATGCATTAGCTGTGTCATAAAACACTTACACACATACGTTTTTAAATTGTAATGACATATGTACTGACATATCGACCAATTTTTGACTATTTCATCTAGGATAGATCACTCTTCTTTATTTTCAATTCATTAGCATCCCTTTTGATAATACACTCGTCCTATATCATAAAAAACCAACAGTTATCATTCGATCACATTTATCACTTAACTTTGGCTATAATTATCCTTACTCTGTTTGCAACTGAAGCAACGTTAGCTAAGGAAGTGACAAAATTGTCCAACCACTCTTCCTTTGTGATTTCATTTGATTCGAGACGAAATTTTGGAAAGTTTTTCTCATCACTTGATGAATACATAAATCCAAATAGATTGTGATTTTCTAAACAGAAAACAATCACTTTTAAGCACATTCTACGCAGCAACAACAATGTGGAAATCCTGACAGCATTCCCACCGAAAAATTTTTCTCTATTGTCATCTCCAAATGTTACTTAGGGACATTAGAGAGATTTAGCAAACATGCACGACGTATCGTCTAAGACGTCATAAAAATGGCGTGATATTCCCATATATGGTTGGGTCAACGCCATATTTACGCCATTTTCACGGCGTCTTAGACAATATACGTCGTGTTTCCTAAATCTCTCAATTGATTGAGTAAGGAGTTGTAAAAGAAAACAATTTGAAACAACGTAGGTGTGAACTTAAATATTTTGGAGATTAGTTGGTACAACAATGGAACAAGCACTTTTGCATATACATTTGCCTTCTAATGTTAATAGTTTGATGGCAAAAATTGGACACATGTGGAAGAAATATTTTATTGATACATTTATTAAATGCATGCATAAAGTCGATGCCCGCGATCTTACAACAGCAGTTATTCACACTACAGAATGATATAATAAGTACGGTGAACTCCCCCCCTGTAATGGTCCCAAAATAAAATACAATAGACTAAGGACGTCACGGTAAAATGCCAACTTCAGTATCATACAAAACAAAAACGCAGTGTTTGTTTATGTGTTTTTGCGATGGGTGTACCAGTTCTGTTTGAGTTTATTTCAAAACATGAACTGCGTAACATGTACGAAAAAGTGTAAAAATAGCGATTTTGCAAACATCTTACGTTCATTGGAAAAGAAAATTGACGATGAAAAAAAATACTTGCCGCCTTGCTCTGTGATGTCAACGACTTTACACAATTCTGACAGTCGAATAAACTTCAAATGTTCATAAGGCTTTCTGCGAACTGAACCTTTCATTCGGAAAGATGCGACTTTACTGCGGCGTTTTGTCACCTAAAGTTAAGAAATATCAGACTGTTACTTACGAGAGTCGTTTTGCCTGCTTCACCATAGGCTGCCCAATAAATCACTTAGCTAGCTAAATTGTATAAACAAACGATAACTCGCCCCATTCCATCGTAACAGATCGTGCGCCGCAAACTTTGTATTAATTGATTATACATATTTTCAATATGAACATAATAGCCCAACACAATACTTTTAAAAAAGCCATCACAATAATAAAATAGAGAAGGATTTATTAATTACGTTTCGTCTTTAACTTAAGACATCTTCAGATTAATGAGTTAATATATATACACGAGGTTTTAAATACAAGCATAAAATATGGGGTGTTAAATTACATGTGAGAGGAGTAGGAAGTTTAGATGACGGAATTAAGTGAGAATGGCGGTATATTAAAGAAGGTGAAGGGGGATTGAGTTGCCTTGGGTGTTAAGAGAGGGTTTAAGTTTGGATATAGGAAGGCTTTCATGAATCATAAGGTATTAATTGTCGGAGGAGGAAGAGAGAATTGAGAAATCATTAAAATCGGCAGGGTGAGATGTATTTCTTATATGAGAGAGAACTGCAGATGGTGGTGGACATAAGGAAGATATAAGGGAGATCCAGACTGGAAAGTATGCAAACTGCGCAAGCTAGATCAATTTTTTTTAGAAATTTTGCGCGGCGGATTTTCAATTTTGCGCGGCGGATTTTCGACTTTGCGCTGCGAAGCCATAAAATATTCGCGAGATGCCAGTTTTATTTTTTCCGTATCACACTCCATTTTTGATAGTTTGCAATTGCAAATAGTTATGAAACATAACATAAAAGATGATACATGTGTATAGCTGTAGCTTACCTTAAGTTGGAGCTTGCAACTCTCCTTTTACAACGTGAGGATGTGTCATGTGTAATCACAAAAAAATGCCACTTTACCTTAGGTATTATGTAACGAGTCGAACGACCAACGTACCACGTATGTTTATCATTCATCTGTTTCGTCGTTTCATCACAGCGTATGATACGATAAAAGGTAGGCACCAAATAGATTTGATTTACTGACGTCGTCAAATACGTCGTCAAAAAAAAACAAATCAATCAGGAACCATCTTTTGTATAATCAGCAGCCAGATTGTGGAGTAGAAGGTTTTTCAGTCAATAATTGTTTATAATCAGCAGGCAGATGGTGGACAAAAAAGGTTTTCAGTTAATAATTGTTTATAATCAGCAGCCAGATTGTGGAGTAGAAGGTTTTTCAGTTAATAACTGTTTATAATCAGCAGGCAGATGGTGGACAAAAAAGGTTTTTCAGTTACTAATTGCTTATAATCAGCAGCCAGATGGTAGAGTAGAAGGTTTTTCAGTTAATAATTGTTTATAATCAGCAGCCAGATTGTGGAGTAGAAAGTTTTTCAGTTAATAATTGTTTATAATCAGCAGGCAGATGGTGGATAAAAAAGGTTTTTCAGTTACTAATTGCTTATAATCAGCAGCCAGATGGTAAGCAGGGGAGGTTTTCAGTTGATAAATATTTATAATCTGCAGCCAGATGGTGGACAAAAAAGGTTTTTCAGTTAATAATTGTTTATAATCAGCAGGTAGATGGTAAGCAAGGGAGGTTTTCAGTTGATAAATATTTATAATCTGCAGCCAGATGGTGGACAAAAAAGGTTTTTCAATTAATTGTTTATAATCAGCAGGCAGATGGTGGACAAAAAGGTTTTCAGTTAATAATTGTTTATCATCAGCAGCCAGGTGTTAGACGAAAAGGTTTTCAGTTAATTATTGTTTATAATCAGTAGCCAGGTGGTGGACAAAAAGGTTTTCAGTTAATCTTTGTTCATAATCTGTAGCCAGGTGGTGGACAAAAAGGTTTTCAGTTAATCTTTGTTTATAATCAGCAGGCAGGTGGTGGACAAAAAAGATTTTTCAGTTAATCTTTGTTTATAATCAGCAGCCAGATTGTGGACAGAAAAGATTTTCAGTTAATAATTGTTTATAATCAGCAGGCAGATGGTAAGCAAGGGAGCTTTTCAATTGATAAACAATTACGATCTGCTGCCAGATTTGGATTGAAAACTTTTTGATTATAACTGCACGAAGCATACTGGTTGACGCTTGACTAAGGTTACAAGAGGAAAGGTAGCTTAGGGCGTGATGTTATGATGCGTTGCAAAACCTTGGACATCTCTCCTTCGTGTTTTGCCATGCTCGTCGGTCTCTAAAACAGGAATCATATGTCTGGACAAACCACGTTCCTTGTCCCCATTGATGTAAAGTTTTGCCATTTCGTTCAGTGCTGCGTCGCATTGAAGTACAGATGGTAAACTCAATCAACTTTAGCACGATTCATTAGCACTTTTATGCTTTGCCCACCATCCATTTCTTGCTTATCCACCACCCGGTAAAAAGATTCGGCAACAGCCTCAGTTCCGCATTTCGCATAAAATATGTCAAAGACGAGACAAAACTCTTGGCCGACAGCTGAATAAAATGAGGAATCGTTATATAAAGATTCAATAACGGCCTCTTTTTAAAAGAACGTCAATCATTTTACCATTGTTGAGCGTCACTTTGAAGACCTCAGAAAGGGTGAACTGCCTTGGTGTACCTTCTTGGAACCTAGTCACAAAGACTCCTTCCTCGAAAACCACATCCTGCAAGGAAAAATTCCTTCGTCATCGAGAGAGATCTTCTTGAAAAATTAGGAAGTGAGTGTGTAGCATATCACCCCAAACAACGGCAATGAGTGTTTTCTTTTGACGCCAAAACACTGTGGATGATAGCTCGCTACAAAGCTCAAAATTCTTTTCAGAAACATGTGGCATCTGTGAGGAAAAGTTTACACATCGTCTAAACTCCTTAGCTTCAAGTTCAGAAAACTCCCTGTTGTTTACTGGACTTTTTTCTTCCGAACGATAACCGCATAAACCACGAAAAAGTCGTCCAAAGTCAAAACACTTTGATAGCATTCTGTTGAGGTCAGAAAAGCTATTGGTGTAGCGAACATCAATCTGACTAATGACATCCGCAGCCAGCTTCTCTAGATCATGAACACTGTCCTGCATTTCTCTTGCTACCCAATCCACTGGCACTTTACCGTCGCCTTCTCTAACGACAAACCAACCAGTTTCCAACTCACTTTGCCCAAAGCGGTAATCTCGAATTTCATGAACTCGCTGGCTTAATCTTGGGCAAACAAAGTCATCAGGATCAATTTTAGATACTTCCTCGATGTAACGTTGCATCTGTCGTTTTACCAAAGGAACATGAGAGCACAACTTCCAACCAGGATACCACTCAGCCTGCGCTTGCAGCATCAGGACGACCAAGGGCCACAACAAATCGAGTACACCAAGCAAATCATGGACAAAGTCTTGACCACATAACTTGTAACCCATCTCTTCTCTATTGTCGTGGTCCTTGAAAGTCTCGATGTACACTTCCAAACTATCTGCAAGATTCTTTAAAGATAGATAGCTGGAGCTCAAAAACCGCTGATGTGCAAATGCGTTGGTTACTCGAAACGGAAGATTCAAGTCCTTAGCAGTATGACGCGCTACGCTGTGCATTTTACCACGACTAAAAGTTGATGATAAAGTGCAATCCTTCTCAGCAAACGATCAACGAAAGGCGAGTCCTTGAGCTGACTAAATACTTTATCTAACCAATGGGCAGGGTCCCATTGGACAGGCCACCAGAATCTTTCTTTGCAGGACAGATCATCATGCAAAGTTCAAATACAGGCTCGTTCATGCCTGCAATGAACGGCTCGTTGACGTATTGTCCATCCATCACTCGCCCTTGCACTTGCAGTAGCCGATTATCCTTAATACCAACATGCACGTCAAGATCTTTAAAAATGGATGCAGCTAGAGCATCACCTGTACCACCAGTTGCATCAGAGTTACTGTAAACCTCCCTTGCGTCAAGGACAATGCCTCGGCGACTACCATTTACAACTGGACAAACGATAGTAACCTGATTAGTGATGCGATGATTGGTAGATTTATCAGCTGTAACATAAAATGTGGGGCATTCCTGTGTTTGGAAGAGGGTAGAAAGAAAATTGGCTGCTCTCATGTCGATGTAAGCACATGCTGCTTTGATCATGTCTGGAAACAATTTTCGAGAATGACAAAAATCACCAACATCCGCACCAGCAGCTTGAAGCTCAGCAATTCGTGCTTCATAATGAACTGCAGCTGACTTTGTTTTCACAACACCAAGAGCTGCACGGAGTTGATTCTTTGCAACAAGTACTTCCCTTGACCTCCCTTGCTTTACCATCTTCATGTGGTCATCAGCGTTTTGTGGGTCAAAGAAAGAAGATGTCGATGACACGCTTGCTTTTGGCTGTACCATTTTTCACACTTGCCTGCAATTAGCTGTTCATACAAGGCATCTGACATATGTAAACCAGATGCCAAAGATCCGTCTGCTTTGCCAGTAGGTCGATTAAAAGATGACGAAAAGGAAACACGGGAAGAGTTTAAAATTCGACACACGTTCGACACTGCAGCACCCAGCTGTTCTCTTCTTTTAGTATTTCAAAATCTTCCACTTCATCCACAAGCTCAATCAAATTGGAAGATCGAAGTGCGGTACTCGATGTGGGATTGTATGTAGTTGTTGAACTTGTTGATTGGGCTGATTTAGGGTTACCACTCAACTTTTGTGCCACCTTAGTAGCAATTTTTCCGCAAGTTCGTCCACATCAAATGGCAGGTCGCCTTGCTCACTTGATAAAATTGAAGGAAGAAAACTTCCAAGCGAGCTTTGATAGCTAAGACGGCTGGTGTTTGAAATAGAGGCAGCCTTACTCGTCTTACTTACTGCATTAACTCTCACAATCTCTTCGCTGTAACAATGAAAGTGTTAAAAGCCAACATTAAAATTTTCTTGCAAACTGTGTGAAAAGTATATGTACTAAGAAATTCAACAGAAGACGTTGAAATACTTAATGATTTCATCGTTAATATTAAACGACTTAAGAAATTTGTAATGTAGAAATTACTTATCCGAACAAGTGAATTATTGGAAGCCTTGAACTAAAAAGTCAACACTTTCAACCACTATGGCATAAATTTCACAAAATATCGTGACAAAATGTCGTAAAATCTGATACTATAATGCAAGAAAAATGCCGTATTTCACTAACAAACCTCTCATCTTTTTTCATCGGTTTCCTCCCAACTTTCAGATTCACTGACACCAGAAACGATTTTGCACGAAAGTTCGTCAGTTGCATGTCCAGCCGTATCCTTACCAAGCTCTCTGAAACAATTTAATATTCATAATTTTAAAAAAGCTATCACTGTATATGTAAAAGAAATGTATTATATAACATGTATGCAGTTTGTGATATTCGGTTATTTTATGGTTCACGCAGGGGAATGAGCAATTTAGCTACCTTTCATCGACTTCCATAATTTCTATCCGTTCTCCCATTCCGTCGCCACCACACTTTTGTTGCACTTGGCTTGTACTGAAAATACAATTAACATAGAAAACATACACAATGTAAGTGCAGTTCTCAATTTGGGAATTGGGAACTTGATTTTCATTTACCTAGCCGATTTAAGCATTTTGTACGCCTGTAGCGCAGATTTAGCAAGAGGGAATCTTCTCTAATAGCGTCATTTGCTAAGGTCTTTTCGCCCTTGTCGCTGTGAGTTTTAAATGGTTTGCTAGAGAGGACTTGTTCCCTCTAGCAAGCCAAAATTGCGTTTGCCTTGCCTAAAACAAAGTAAGCAAAGCCCATTGGGGTTTTCTCGTGTCCACTCTTTGCTCGCTTTGCTTCTGGTCCTGTTTTCTGCTGCTTGCTATGTCTTTTAAACATGTTGGCAAACTGAAACTCTATAACACACAATTTTATGGTTACAAATGTGTCGATAGCCAATCTTGGTTGTTTACTATTGTTTTTATAAAACCCACTGACAATGTCATGCCACTTTTCTTTGTGACGCAAACACGATCACTCTTACACACGACTAACATTCTAACACTAGATAATTGTTCTGTTACCTTCCTTAGACAGTGTTTGCTGCTTATTTTAGCCACTGCTGCTGTCTCAGTTTTGCACAGCCACTACACAAGACCTGGGCACCAAAACCTTCATCATCACCTGCTGATGTTGAGCAAGGCGGAATTGCGTGGCACGTTTTTGCAAACTTTGCAAAATGGCTTCCACATTCCTTCTTGCATGAAACGCAAACTAGTAATTAGGCAACAACAATGAAAACATAAGTTAAGATAATGTAATGAACGTTTTTGGTATCAAAGGCAAGCAGCACTAGTTTTAGCAACACACAAATGTTGGTTTGGTACTCTTAGTGAGAAGTGAATATTGTCGAGGAATCACCGAATCAGCTCCTGCAATCAACCAATGGCTGATATATATTGTGTATATTGTTGTTAGGAAAATTTTCGGCTATTGTAACGCGTGAATTTACCTGATTTAACTGCTTGAATCTCAGCCATCTAGTAAAAATAAATAAACAATTAGATAAAAAGTTTGTCAAAAAATCTCGCTTTATCACCAAACAATAGCGAGCTAAGCCCTGTTAGTTCGTTAGCAAACCGGTTTTAATTATAAATTGCTTCATTTATCAATATGTTTTATGTAAGGATTGTGAATTTTATTTGCCTTAAATGTATTAAAACATGCTTTGTAGTTTGTAATACAAGAAATCCTTTCGTACCACTACTTTTAGGTTACACAAAAAACATAACTGTTAAATAATAACTTGTTTCCCGAGCGTTTAGTGTTAGAAGCGTTAATGCTTTCAGAATTTTTATCATTTGTAATTTTGTATCAGTACTTTTGATTTTACTAAACCATTACGTGTACTCACCTTACAAATTTGAACACCCCAAGTTGGTTTAATTAAATATCACGTATCACCGTAGAATACACCGAAGAATCGATATGGTTTGCCTTGAAGTCACTTAAAAAGAGAAAGCTCGAAAACGAAAGCAAAGAATGTGTAGTTAATCTGCTCAGATATCATATTTCTAGTCATCAAACGCTTATTGGCTTACCAACCAATTAACGGAACTTGCCTGTCAAAACAGCTTGTAAGATTGACATTCAACAGGCAACAATTTTTTTCAACGGAAACAACAGCGCTGCAGCGCACATGTGCTGATATTGCGCAATAATTTCTCGCGCTGCGCGGCAAATTTCACAAATGCGCGGCGAACAAGAAATTTTTTAAAATTTGCGCGTCAGGACGCGCATTTCTCCCGAAATTGCGCAAGCTAGATCTAGGTTGCGCAAGACATACTTTCCAGTCTGGAGGGAGATATAATTAATAGGGAAGCCTTCCTTATGTCCACCACCATCTGCAGTTCTTTCTCATATAAGAAATACATCTCACCCTGCCGATTTTAATGATTTCTCAATTCTCTCTTCCTCCTCCGACAATTATGACCTTATGATTCATGAAAGCCTTCTTATATCCAAACTTAAACCCTCTCTTAACACCCAAGGCAACTCAATCCCCCTTCACCTTCTTTAATATACCGCCATTCTCACTTAATTCCGTCATCTAAACTTCCTACTCCTCTCACATGTAATTTAACACCCCATATTATATGCTTGTATTTAAAACCTCGTGTATATATATTAACTCATTAATCTGAAGATGTCTTAAGTTAAAGACGAAACGTAATTAATAAATCCTTCTCTATTTTATTATTGTGATGGCTTTTTTAAAAGTATTATGTTGGGCTATTATGTTCATATTGAAAATTCGCTTTCCGCCTGGCAAATCTCTGGCCACGATTATACATATGTTATATATATTTACCAAAGGTAGGCAACTATCATCGCAGTTACGAACACATATCTTTATATAAAGTAATAATACCTAAAAAACAAACATAAATTCAAAATAATAATTATATCACTAAAAATAGGATAGTTTTTCTACATGAATCCATACTTAGCTTTTAAAAAGGAGGACGATAATCCCGACATATATGCGTGAACTTTTCAACTTGCTTGAAAAATTTTTCTGTCTCCATGCTGGATGCATCGAAGTGGTGCATACGCCATTATTTTCAAAAAGACTCTCAACTGTAATTGGCTAATTTAATCTTTTAATTTTTTCAAACAAGTTGAAAAGTTCACGCGTATTTGACGGATATTTCATCCTCTTTTTTAAAAGCTAAGCACGGATTCATGTAGAAAAATTATCTTATTTTTGTGTGATATAATTATTATTTTGAGTTCATGTTTGTTTTTTTACGTATTATTACTTTATATAAAAATATGTGTTCGTAACTGCGATAATAGTTGCCTACCTTTGGTAAATATATATGATATATATATAATCAATTAATACAAAGTTTGCGGCGCACGGTCTATTACGATGGAATGGGGCGAGTTATCGTTTGTTTATACAATTTAGCTAGCTAAGTGATTTATTGGGCGGTGTGAGATTGCAAATTTTATTGCAAAATAATCATACAAAATTTCTTCAAAACGTAAATTCAGGAGACACCCTCGGCGTACGCTAAGGTGAATTCAGTATGGCAAAACGCAGCTTCTTGCGTTAGTGGAGTGTAAATAAAATACAGAATAAAAGATTCAGAATCGATAAGTAAAATAAAACACATTGTAGCTATAACTCATTAACTTCAATGACTACATGAACTCAAACACAAATAACGTAATCTCTTAACATTAAATCAAATCATGAAGATAGTTTTACAAACCTCGAGACTATCGTTGAACAAAAACAATGTTACAGGTTGTGCTTTTTCACCAAATTCATCACTTAATCTGAATCCATCTATTTTTACAACAAAAGACCGACCATTACTTGAAATGTCTTGCTATATAGAATAACAACAGAGAAGGTCAAACAAAAATTGAAAACACACAAAAAGGTATGTTGTATTGTACTGTCAGATAGATTGCAATGTCAAGCTAATTTTGAGATTTATCAAATAATGTTTTCTTATATTACCGGGCAGTTTTCAATGTCTTGCATGATTTGAGACAAAATGAACATTTGGGCTTCACTATCAGCCTCTTTTTTACATTCATTAATATGTCTAAAAACAATACATTAACAGTTACATGGGAAAAATGTACTTTCAACTTCAATGTTAGCATGATTTGTTCCTCGTGAAACACAGTTATTACACCAAAGACACAATTCACTAACGTAAGGACACTTTCGAGAGCTTCAATCGCTTTTTCTAGATGAACAATGTCTGGATTATTTGAGTTTGCTTTTCTTGTTTCCTTGAGCAATCCTATAAAAAAAGTAACAAAAAAGCTACTTCAATGAGCTGTAGTCATTTCTTTAATGATGAAAAGAAATGTACAGTTGATGTAAAAGCAAATATAGAAATTTTATCATTCCTTTAACTCTACATTTTCATTGGCAAATAGCTATACGTATATGCCTTCACATGTACCATAACATAAGCAAAATAGTGTACGCGTATGCATTAATTACTTTTCAAAATGAGGTTCATGCTCGGTAGTTTTTGAACGGGTTTGATAAGAAGTTCTGGAAATTTCTGACGACCAAATTCTGGTTGACTGAGACATATCTAAAATACGTTAAAGATAAGTCGTGAAAGAAATGCAAACAAATTTTGTGCACAAACACAACGATGATATAACAAATGAACAGTACCTTTTGAAATTCCTTAAATCTTTGATTTCCTTTGTCACATTTCACAGCAGTTTCTTTTCGCATTTGAAAGGAATTTACATATTCAGGGTAGGCATTCCTGAGCTCAACAACCTAAAAGGTAAAATACAATAAATGCAAATATCCACTAGAATCATTCATTATCTTGAATTGTTTCTTCAGAAGCTTATTACATGTTTCAAAATCACATTTCCAATACACATATCTTCTGTCCAAGACGATATTAGATTTTGCAATTCAACCTACAATTGAAAACATCTATCGTAGCTGTGGCCATGAACTTATATTGCTTAAAATATACATAATGATCGCAATCAATGTACCTGATAAAATAAATTTTTGTATTTACGTAAATATAATGCAAATATAATACGTAAATATAATATCATACAAATTCGTGTGCGGGATGTAATTCCCGTTAGGTTAGACAGCTCGTCATCTCTCAACACGCATCAAAGAGCACACACATTCCGACAAAAACTCACATATTTATAAACACCTCCACACTTCCCCACAATGTAAAACAATAACAATCATTCTTGTTTTCGCATCCTAGACACCGCTAACTCTTCTTTCTCTTTGAAACTCAAGGAAGTCCTCTACATAAAAAAAACTCAAACTCGACCTCAATAAACAAATACATCACATCACCACGATATTCAACTTGTAAATAATTTCATCACCTAGTAATTCAATACACTTTCACTTAAATAATATAAATAAAATTGTAAATAGATATCATAATAATTCCTTGTACTGAAGATGGCATAAGCATGCCGAAACATGTTTACAAAAATTGTCGTTCACTTGAAATACCTGATATATATAGACAATATAGTGCTTTTAAGAAATTATGGAAATAATACAAACCATCATTTCATAATGAATTTTTTTGATATGGGGTAAATTTCCAAGTATTCTATCGATTTTCCCTTGTGCCAAGATTGCTCCATCTGTCGCATCTCTTTGTTCCAAAGCACTCTTAAAATCCCAGAATAATAATTAGTGTGTAAGACTGAGTGTAATTATCTTACTGGGAAATAGACCAAAAGTATCCCGCGCAACAAAAGTTTTAAGGTACCATAATTGTATCGAGTGTTTCCACATAGTCCTGTTCATTTTTTAACAATTCTAAAGCAACTTTTTCGCGCATTGTCTTGGGTTTCGGAGGCGAAACGTCTTTCACTGGTGCAGCATGTCTATTTTGTGACACCAATTCATTTGTTGGCGGAGAAATCATGCCTAGAAAATGCACAAGAAACCTCATAGTCTTTAGGGCTCAGTTTTTCACGAAGAATTCTGTTTTGTCTTGCTATATCTTCACGTAGTGTACCTAGAAATGCCATTGTGTGCTTAGGTAACAAACCTGAGTATGAACTTTCTGATAAAATATCATTACTCTTTTTTTTAGGTGGGTGACAAGAAGAATCTTCTGTTTCTTTTTCTCGACTTCGTTTTCGATTATTTCGCTAGATCAATGATGTTGTGTCAGAGGTTAACTGAATGAGACATGTTTTATATAATTAAACGTCGCATGCATTAATCATTTGTTAGTAGATGCAGATCTCCAAGTTAGTGTAAAGTCTTACTGACTTGAACAGTTGAGTTAGTATAGACCTACTAATATGGACGATCTACAATAAGAATCCCTATTGCAAATTTGCAAGATAAAAAATTGCTAGATGAGCTTGCTAAACTTAGCGCACAATCGATTCACGACGATTTAAATAGTGAGGCAGCCAAAAACGACAAATGTTTCATGATCTACGACAAATGTTTCATGTCAAACTAAGTTTGACTTAAATGAAAATTTATGTGATTGTATTGTTTAAAAAAGTTGTTAAACATGTTCTACTTGTTTATTTCTTGCTTCTTGCTTCATCTACATCTACAAACATGTACGATACTCCCATGTTCAAACCATTCACATACATTATTTCAAACAGATAAAATTTTTACCTTTTTAAGAAGGGACGAGCCCGAATCACCACGTGCATCGTCTTGAATGCTCGCCCGAAACAACTAAAACAGGGAGTAGCTACATTTGAAAATCATTACTTACACTGCAAGAAATTCTGAGTGTATGGGACTCAAAATACTGAGTAAATGTACACAGCAGCACCCATAGTGACTCTTGCATGATTCTGCGTTATTCTGACTCAAACATAAGCGTTGTTTATGCGCATATTTTTGACTAAACGCCACTCAAAATGAAGAGTGTTTGTTCATGAGTTTGGACGTAAGGCTTACTCAAAACATGAGTATCGTGTACGAAAAAGTGAGTGCACCTTACTCAAGTGAAATGCACCCATAAAGGCAATCCGAGAGGCGGGACGTAGGTGACATGGTAACAAATTGCTGCATATATAGAGACTAAATATATAAATGAACTACCTCTTGTTTGACAATTTTTACATTCTTCACTTCCAACGCATCTTGAGGAATCTCTTTATCGCTACCCTTCACAACAATATGCGTAAACTTCTTACTTTCAAGATTGCAGATTTTCCCTCCTGAAGAATATGGATGAAAAACACTCAATCAACTAAATAATCACATAAATACGACATTTTCTTTCCTCGTGTTTTCTTGTGTTGTAGAACAGGCGATTTTTGGATAAAACGTCGTCATTTTCTTCAACCCGTGTTTTCTCGTTGTGTTTAATGAGAAAATGTGACTGTTAGTTAGTCATGGCATAGATCTCTTCATGCACCGTTACAAAAAGTCACAAAATAAGTCTAAAATGTGTCACTATTATCATGCGTGTTTATAAACTTAAACGTATAAATAATTAGTAATTCATCTAACACTAGTTGAACAAATTAAATTCATGAGTAGCTTGTAGGTAAGAACGTGATCGGCAAATTGATAGAAACAAAATATTTGCTGTGCAATTTTTATCGGTACCATGTTGAATAGCCTTTTCCTCCATGCGAGCTTTCTCTTCCTCTGAAAATCCCACAAAAGTGAAGCAGCACTTAGAAAATGGCGGAAGTTTTTGTTCCATCTGCAAAGACGTGACAATTTTCATATAAAATAAACACGAAAGTGAGCAAGAAGTAAAAAGAAATGGTGAACACCAACGATGCCGAAATGAAAGATATTTTAAGCGACGAAGTTTCTTAGAGCATGTGTTACAAGATGTTGCGAGGCAACATAAAGTAAAATAAAAAACAACACACGCGTAACACATTTTGTTTGTTGCAATTCGTCCGAAATCAAATGGTTTTTTTATGTAAATGTATAAAAGACTATCAGTCATAACAATCTAAAATGACTATATTATTAATGATTAAATAACTTCAATGAAAACTTTTAGTCATTATTAGCATGACTGGCAAGTACAGCTAGCTACGTCACTGTAACGTGCTAATCATGCATCAATATTGACGCGGAAGTAGATTTTTTGATTGCGTCAAAGTATCAATATACGGGGAAATTTTGAATTACATCTGAAATTCGTTCGAGTTTGTGAGAAAGTCAGGTTAACCGAGCTCGAGTTGTTGAGCTGTTTGGTATTCGGAAATTTTTGCACTTTTTAAAACGACAACTACGTACTATGCGACGATTCAAAGAGCGATGAAATATTTTGAGTTTCGTAGAAAAACATTGTAAACCTTTGCATTAGCATTGATTAGGCTTTTGATAGAGCAGTTTAAAGGGAAAATATCAATTAGGTTACAACTTTATCAATAGAGATTTTATTGAATCTTATTTAAAAGCATCCACCATCATGATTGACTTTATACCAAAAGTACTATAAATGAAGAACATACTTACTTCGACGCGTTACTTGTTTCTGAATCACTTTTCCAGGTAGCGCTGTGGAAGTTTTATCGAGTTGATTTTATTAATCGAGTTCTTTGTTTATATCTTATAAAGTATAAAGACGTTTCTTCCCTAGTTATGTTCTTACAAAATACAAAGTAAACGACGACTCAATAAGAATAGTAATGAACGAGTGGAATTACAACATTCTCCAAACTATCTTTAACTGTGTTTACGTATTAAATGCATGTAAAATATGGAAAAAATGTCTTTGTTCTAGCATTGCATGCTGTGTGTAAATGAATTATGTTACAGCAGTTATATAACTCTCAAAGCATCCAATATAATCTTTTCATCTTTTACTAAAGTAAGAGCAAGCGATGTCATTTTGTCGAGATCAATAAAATTTAAGCGCTTTTCCTTGTTGCGTGTTGTTGCGAAATTACCCCCCTCCCCTCCCCCGCAGCATTTGTTGAAGTAATTAACCAGAAAGCTAAAGTGTTTTGTTTTTAAGTATATGACTGTTCTTAGTAAGATCTGTCAAGATTTTACAACTTTGCGTTTTTGCTCACGGATTTAAGTTGTACTTAAAATCTAGTGAATGCAAAAACCTTTTGATAAGGACATTCTTATTTCCATTGTATGTCGAGCAGTTCAGGTGGCTTTAGTTGATGGCTTTAGTTGATTAAAAGTTCCTTGACGTAGCATTTACACATTTAACGCTAAATTTAGTTCATAGTAAATGGATTCTGGCTTTTTTCGTCATTCAGGGCAAGCATTTAAACGAACGTTTCAGCGTTCGTTTGTAAACGAGAAAAGGATATGGTTCAAAGTCACAGAGCATTGTTGCGAGTTTGCAACAGAAACGCGGCTTCAAAATTTTTGCAATGCAAATCAAATTGTTCAAATTCCAAGTGAAATCAAACTCCACCGGAGTTAAATAACGAAAATTTTCTGCAATAAAGACGAACTACGTTCAACAAAAGCCCTGGAAGAAATCTGACGACTGAAATAAGCTTTATGCCAGTAGCTGCCTTCTTATCTTTCTCAATATAAACAACTGTAGAATTAGCCATGGCCAAAATCTGATATCTTCCTTAAAGAAGTGTTTAGGAGCAGGCTGGTCAGGGACGTGACAATTTGTTCATTTTTTGACAGGCCCCTTACACCTGCCAAAAGAGTATGAAGTTATTTGAAAGTTAAACAAGGAAGTTATAGTTGAAAAATATGCACACATTGATGAGACTCCGTCGATTTCGACGTATGAGGGTTCCACAAAGTGGAACATCCGGGTCTCTTATAGTGAAGGCAGCTGACCAGACTACAATCACTCGTACCCTTCACGCAACCACAACGCTGATACAAAGGCTGCAACATTGCAGATGCAGATACAATCCATCCGAGGACACAGCTTCCTCTACCAAATTTCCCTCACATGGCTTTGGTCAACCCGGGCTAGGTTTACAGACACATTGCCAAATGTGCCACGAGCCGGGATTGAACCCGCGCCATCTGGCTTACAGTTCACGAAATTAACCATTCAGCCACCCGCCCCGTCCCAAGCGGCTACAACGTAAAGAAATGGTAAATACTCTCGATTTTTTTGCCGACAAAAATGGCCATAAGACCGAAAGCAATGCTATCAAACACAGCAATGGATGAAAATATTGACGAGATTCAAATGGTTTCTTGAGTAACTAAATACATTCAAATATTACAAAATGCTCTAGAGTTAATATACAACAGTTAAAATATGGAAGTACTGAGAAGCCTAGAAGAAAATTATAATTCGACAACAACACTTCGCAACTGACTTACGAACAATTGGATATAAAACATGGCCGCAGTTATCAGTCATGATAAAAAATAAAATTGTAAACTATCTTTGGGTGGGTCACATATTTCCGAAAGATTTTGCATTGAAATTAAGGCATATGTTTACAAAACTAGACTACAGTCTCCTAGGGTACATTCTCCTAGGGTACATTCTCCTAGGTTACAGTCTCCTAGGGTTCCGTCTCCTAGGGAACAATCTCCTAAGGTACAAACTCCTAGTGTACAGTCTCATAGGGTACAACCTCCTAGGATATTGATTCAAGAGTGTAGCATCCATTAAAAAAGACAATTCACTATTATCTACACTTTCAGCAGTTTTTTCAGTTGCTCCAGGGCATCTTGGGAAAATTTTTCAGACTCTTCCAATTTCTCCAACATCAGTTTCTCCTTCATTGAAAGATGAACAAATTGTGGAATGTGAAAAAATAATTTATCAAAATGACAAACTTTGATTAAAATGTATGAAAAATACTGTAGGACATTCATGATATCCCTAATACAAATTATTTTATGGTTATTTATTAAAAAATCTTGCAATGATTAACTTTTCCATTACTTTCACTGCACTAAGACAGATTTTTCCCTCATTAACCATTAAGTATAATGAAAGAAAGCATGTTTCAGCCACTTTTAAGGAAAAGTATTGGAAATATATTGCAATATACTTTAGTAATAATTCTATAGCATTGTTTCTCTTACATACCACTCTTGTTTGCTGACTTTCCATTTCCATTTTGATAAATTCTTCCACAGTAAGTTTTCCTTCAACTTTTCCTTTCTTTGCAAATGAGCAGTTTGGTGAATGGCTTCGATGTTCTTCCCTGGGTAAATATGAGTCATTAAGAGTATTGTTTGTGAAGATTAAGACAAGAATGTGTCTCTACATTGTAATGTTGAACAATACAGAATGTAAAGATGTGAATTGTGATGTACATAAGTGCCAAATTTTGGCAGCTAGGTAAATTCTTTGCTCTTCAATTTTATCTTCCATTTAAATGAGACTTTGCAAGTGTGGCCGACTGGAAAGTGAAGTTAGATTCAGGAGGGGAGGGGGTTGTTTAGCAATTTGTCATTGTCAATTGTACAAAAATAAAGTATACACAAATTATGTTGGGGGAAGGTTGTTTAGCAAGTTGGCATTGTTATTTGTACCATAATGAACTAAATGAGATTTGGGGATCGTGGGGAGGGTGTTAATCATACTCTTATAAACTTCGTAGGTGAAGAATGAAATGAAGTACCATGGATCATCATGAGGTTCCCAACCCTCAAGTTCTTTGAAACAAACGTAGCATCGTACGGAATCTGGTGAAATTTCCGTCGCACAGGAGTAAAAGCCAGCTTCGGCCATCTGAAATCATACATAAGTCTGTTTTACAGCACGGTTTAAATAACAACACGCTTTTAATGAAAAATTTGCCTTCTGAGCTGTACATATATGTTCTTGTCCTTCATCTTGAAATGGCCAATTATGAAAGGAAGCCAGGCGATGCTTTTGCAAGCACATTTTGGAAAGTTCAGGATTGTCTAATCGAGTAAAACCTGCCATTTTTCTACAAGAAATTTGAATTCTACCGCCAAAAAATATCAATATTTCCAAACTGTTGAAAATGATAAAGTTGGATCACGCAATATCTGCCGTGAAAGCTCGGTCTCATCCCGCGCAATCTCCGGAATACTTGTCGGATTCTGATTGGTTCAATAACGTCCCGAGCTTTCGCCAAGAACAAAGCTTCGGATGACATCGTCAACAATCTGATCTTTTTAATTGTTGTATCTTGCAACTTGCAACACAATAAACACAATAAAAATTGAGTTTGTAAATACACAAGTGCAGTTTTTAAATCCCTTTCATCATGGAGAACATCACTACAGTAAACGGCACGTTAAACGAGACTGCAAAGAATGCGACAGGCAGAGAAGCGGCAACGACACAAGGCCTATTTGTGGCATATTCAAGTTTGATAATCATGGCTGTTTTGCCGATATTTTTCGGCTCTTTTCGGTCAGTGTTACACTATCGTAAGCAGAAGGTCAGTTCGTTTTGTCGTTATATGAAAACTGTGTGTATTAAATGAGAACAATAATCAATCGAGGTCTTTACTTGAGATTTTTTTCAAATCTTGAGTAAACGGTAAAATATTTTTGTAATTTGAAGACACACACGTGTGTTTACTTTTGCATATAATCAACTGATAATTTAAGAATATTTCCTTTGAAAATCCTGCCATACATGATGTGTAGAGCGTCCTTTTTGCTTCTCTTAGATAGAATTGTTTAGTTTCTGTTTAATACACCTGTCTGCGAGCATTTTTTATCGAAATGCCCCCCAGCAGACAGCTGTCCCATACAGATATATTGATCATGATTAAAATAATGTATTTAATATGTACATTAATATACTCGGTTTGTCATCAGTTATCTACAACCAAAGAAAGTAAATACCATCTTCAAAGAACTTTCTTTTTGATGGATAGACAAGTGGCTTTGGTGTATTTAATTAAGCACTAAAAATTTTTAGAACTGCATGCACAGTGGGAAGTTACCAAGCTGTACACACGTAGGACCATTGTCCATAGGCCTCTGGAGGTGGTTTTTTAGGAAACAGTTATTAAAAAATCAAAAGATTTTCTAGGAAGTAGCATAGCAACCACTTCATGTCAATAAGATAATTTGGAATAAGCCAAATGTTTTTCTAATACTTCATGTATTTTTTTTGATATAGGAGAGTGGTGAAAAGCCAGAAAGCATGACACATAAGGATGCCATGATGTTTCCAATTATTGCAAGTGGAGCACTTTTTGGATTGTATATTGTTTTTAAGGTAATGTAAATGACACATATGCTTGTTTGCTCACCATTTCTTGCTGTCCAGCTCTTGTTTTATTTTTGGTTAAATTCATGCGATATTTAACAAGGCGCTATCTTTATTTGTTTATGTACGTAGCTCAAAATCCTTTCCCAACCGATGATTTTCAAAAAATATAACATGTTACTTTATTCTGATAAACAAAGACACATTGCAAACTTAAGATATCAGTTATATGAAAAAATAATTCAAGATGTATTCATTTGTTGGCCTATGTTTTACCCTATACAGGTGTTAATTATTACATAGTTTGATGGTTTTTTCTACATTTAGATTTTTAACAAAGACTATCTTAATCTCTTATTGGCTCTATATTTCTTTGTTCTTGGTGTCCTGGCGTTGACACACTTGTTAAGGTATTGAATGATCATAAAATTTTAGACTGACTTAGGTCTTGTAATTCCTTTCATAAACCAATGTTCAGCCATTGCTGTTTCATTTTTTCCCAATGTAGGCACCTTACATTATTCTTTTCATAGACCCAATGTTGAGCCATTGCTATTGCCTTTTGTACCCAATATACCTTACAAGTTGACATGCACTGAGGGGACTGGAGACAAGAAAGTTGGTGAGCTGCTTGTATTAGATTTCACTAACAATGTGTTCAGAACTTAAATCGTTGCAGGCTCTGTAATACGTAATTATTAGTGATAAAAATCATTGTTCAAAGACTTTATGACTCCTCAATGGGTGGTCTAATGCAAAATTCACCCAGTGCATGCAACTGGGTTTACTCTGTGTGTACAGTGGCATGGTTTGCCAGTTTTTTTTGCTTCAAAACTTACGTATGCAAATAATTGATATCTGGAATTGATAACTGGAATTGACAGGGAATGGCTAGAAATATTGGCTAGTTTTGCTATCATGTGTATGTATATAGAATTACACATACCCATTCATTGCAATCACCACATTATACTAACAAAGTAACAAACAATTACTGATTTCAAGTGACCATTCTTACAAGATTTATGTCATCTGAAATTATTCATATTTTTTGATCAGAAATAATGAATTTTGAATTTGATCGTATTGATCAGGTATGTATTCAAAAAGTGCGTAGGAGCTTGTTTGTGAATGAAGACTTTTGTCTACAAAACTTTTGTGCATTTTTAGTGTTAATAAATAGTCCTTTACTTTTAGCACTGGATTGCAAACAATGTGATAGGAGGGGGAATTTGCTGTTAATGGAGTTGAAATTCTTCAACTAAATAGGTCAAATGGGTTTTAATAATTCTTTGCAAATTAAGTAAAGAATTCAAATCATGGCCCAAAGAACTGCAGCCGTATTTGCGGCGAACAAATATACTTAGATAGTTACACATCTATAGAAAAGTTTCCTTAGAACTCATTCAAGATCAAAGTATTTGGAGTTTTTGTTTGTAGGTAGAAATGGATGGTTGGGGTAGCATTTAAATTGAAAATGCTTTTGGTTTAGGGGGGGGGGGAATGTACATCCAGAGTTGGGTAATGCCTTTCATTCGGTAAACATGTACGTAGACTGAAATGGTCTCTAGTTGATTTTTTAAGTAATTTATCCAAAGTTGCATAATGATTACATTCTGAAACTGATCTATTTTTTCCGTAGCGTGTTAACTGGATGCATATTGCTTGGTGGCTTGTTTGTATATGACATATTCTAGGTAAGATTACTAGTCAAAATGACCACAACTTAACGTGTATATTTGTACGTCGAAATAATACAGCCATTTAGAGTTGATTGGTTAAAAAGTGTTCAAGTTTGAATTTAGGTCTTTGGTACAGATTTAATGGTCACTGTAGCAAAATCCATTGAAGCTCTAATTAAATGTTTGTATTTTTGACTGATTTTTATATTATTGCAAGATATTGTTCTTTATATCATGAAGTTCCTTTCTTCAATCTTGTTTTTTGTTGTTTAAATTGACAGTAATATTCCCAATGGATATTTTGGAACGTGGTTTGGCAGCTAAGAATTTCGCAATGCTTGGCTTGGGTGACATTGTTAGTCCAGGCTGGTTGAAAGATCAGTGGAAAAAATTACCCTCCCCCCTTAATAACAAATGATCCCCGGTCCTTTGGAAAAGTGATGTTTTTTTCTGAAAGTTCAAGTCACAAGTCCATGTCAATTTTTTATATAGGAATTTTTATTGCATTACTTTTACGTTTCGATCGTAATGTTGTGTTGTTTTACTTTACTGTATTTTAGCTAAATGTTCATCAAATCTAATGTTTTTGAAAATATTATAACTTTTAGAAATGTTAGCCAAGAATCCAAGAGTCCTGTGTATTTCTACCTGACAATGATCGCGTATTTTTTCCGTTTGGTATTAACTGTTCTTGTAATGCACGTGTTCAAGGCTGCACAACCTGCATTGCTCTACCTTGTGCCCGCATGCCTTGGAACACCACTCTTCCTTGCATTTGTCAGGGGTGATATCAAAAATCTTTTTCTGTAAGTTTTAACCTTGATCTCTATCATAGTTAAGAAATAAAAGATACTTACTGTGTTTACACAGGCTTATGCAAACCGAGGAGAGCTTTGGGAGAATTTGATTGTAAATCAGTGCAAATCTGAGACCAAAGGTCGCGGCTTGCACAAGCTTCAGAGTTTTCACAAGCGCCCGTCAATTTGCATAAGCCAGTGTAAACACATTAAACATCTAATAAAGTAAATGGTTTGAATCCGCGAGTATCGTTACATGTTTGTAAATGTCGATCGTCCAGGTTGGTATAGTCCTGAGAAGGACTGTTTTTGTTGATGTTGACTGACGTTTCGACCACCTTAGCGGTAGTCATCTTCAGAGTCAAATGAAAATACTAAGGTTGTCGAAACTTCAGTCAACAACAACAAAAATAGTCCTTCTCAGGACTATACTAACCTGGACGATCTACATTTACAAACATGTAACATTAAACATCTTTTATTTCTTTTACAAAATAACAGTAATTCGAGACAGATGAATTAAAAATAGATGTTTTATTAAACCTCTTATTTTATTATACGTCTTTAAAGCTAGTATCATGTGTAATATCATCGCATTAAATACTCATTGCTGTGAATAACTTTGTTTGCAAGTACGTAACTACGTTAACGTTAGTCCGTCACTTTGTGGGGTCGCTTTATGAGTGACTACGAAGTTTCATCTTCCGCTAAAGTAGCTCATTGTGACTTAAACTATTTATATTTTTTCTAAACTTCAAGTGCTATTTTTAGTAGTGTTTTACTAAAACTGGAAATAGTTCCCTCAAAAGCAATTTTTTCCAGCCTTTCAGCTGTACTGAAGATGACATCACAAGATGTTGAAATATTCGTTGTCATGTTTATTAAATGCGTATTGACGATTCGGCTTCTACGTGGGCAAAATTGCTTTATCTATGCTGTTGTATGATTTATATCATCTGTTTTTTGTATCTATCAAGATCATACAGAAGAAAAGTTAAAGGAAAAGACTGAGGATGATGCCAGTAAAAGAGATGGCAAAGAATCCGATAGCAATGTGCTGGAAAGTAACGATGAAAGCTCTGTAAAGAAAACATTGTAAATAATGTTTCTCACGTGGAATATTAAAGTCAGAAAATAATGCTATGGCAAAATATAGAGTTTGAAATTTGAAACGATATAATCTGTGTAATGCAAAAGTATTTTACCGTTGGGTGGGGGTGAGATGAGGCGGGTGGAGGGCAGTCAGGCACTAAATAGTACTTAGTAATATGACCGATTTTCCAATTGGTCAATCAGACCATAGGCGTCTCAAAAAATCATTTAGTTTAAACAAATACATTAAACTCTCCTCATTTCATCGTAACAGACCGCGCATCGCAAACTTCTGTTTCAATGTTATGGTCTGTTGCAATGAAATGGGAGAGAGTTATCGTTTATTTATACCATTTAGCTAGCTATGTGATTTTTTGGGCCACCTATGATCAGACCATACCGATAAACAACTATTTTCTCTATGCATTTTTCTCAGCTTTAGGAAGTATATGTATAGGGAGGGTAGCGAGTGGAAGAACAATGGAATTTTTGCCTTGTTGGATGAGAATTTCCTTTGTAAATAAGGAAAATCCTTATTTTCAAAATCGTTCAACATTCATGTAACGTCCAAGCGGCCATTTTGTTAGGTTACTTTAAAGAACCGATGCTCAACAGAACCTTGAAATCAACATAACTTTTTTCGCTGTATGTGTTTTTCAAAAAAAAAGTCAACCGATAAAAAACATCTCATCCATGTCATGTGCGCAGCAAAAATAGGTAGACACTAGACACTCAAATTGGGGAATGAACTAAACTCTACCATGAAGTGAGATTTAATACGTTATTAATATCAACTGCTACGTATAAATTGTTATTCCTTTATAGTAAATTGTCATCCATTATATAAATTATTCTGAAGGTCGTATACTGATAGAATGTTTCAACAGGATTGATGGAAATGGGGAAAGACTTATCGAACAGTTTTCTGGTTATTTTACAAAATATAACGAACAGTTTTCTGGTTATTTTACAATTTAATTGTGTTTAAGTCATTGAACTAAATAGAACTATTTAATTCAATGGTTTAAATGCGCTTAAATCAATTTGTTAAATTATTTTAGCACATCACGTGACCTAACTTTGGTGTTTTTCAAAATGGCGGTAAATTTTGAAGCTCTTTGTAGTCGAAGACATACAAACCGTATTTATGTGAAAATGTGAGCCTTTTCATTTAGCTTTTGAAATGTCAGTGATAAATATTCGTGGTGTGGAAATTACTTTTCCGTTTAAGCCTTACGATTGTCAAATAAAGTACATGGAAAAGGTCATTCAGTGTTTGGAAGAGGTAAAAGTTTGACAATGTCGTAATTACGTAATGAACGATGATTTATTGGAGTAAAAAACGATTTCTGAGAAAACATTGAGTCAACAACGACAAAATTTCAAGTATTTCACAAACACATATATATTGCTCATCATAAATTTTTTGATTGTTTTTGTGTGTGCACCATGAAATTTAATTTTCACACCAGCACACCAATAATTTCATTGTGCCCTCCGGAGATCTTGTCAAAGAATGGCATACTTTCCAGACTTGCATGTATTCATTCAAATTCAATGATTTCAGGGTAAGAATGGCATTCTCGAATCTCCAACTGGTACTGGTAAAACACTGTGCTTGCTCTGTGCAACATTGGCTTGGCGTGACACATACAAAGCACATTTGCAACTGAATACCAAAGTACAACAGAAAAAAGCAAATGGCAGGTTTTATGAAAACTTAAAGGAAAACTTAGGTCAAGCCGCTATTGGTTGGTCAGATGATGATGATGGAAACCCAGGTTGGTTTTTTAGTTTGTGTTATTTTTCTTACTTTCCCAGTTTGACATATTCATATTAAGATCTTCATATTGAATGACCATCTAGACTGGAAGGTTTGTATTGGGCACATAGAATGTGCAACTTTGAGAAAATAGTTTTACATGTGCACATTTTCAATCTCAGGTGTGCGGTTTACAAACTTTCTGTCTGTATGACCGTAAGGTTTTTAAAGTTTCAACTTTTACAAATGGCTGATTGCTGAAGTTCCTGTCGTTATATTACAATGATATGTATATATGTGTGTGCGGTAAATTACAGCCTATACAAATGGGAATTTTTGGGATAAGGTGCCTAAATAACCTCAAAGTGACCATGTATTGTGTATAATTTGACAATGTTTACAAATAACAATTCACCTGTTTTACTCTGTGTATCCTTAGTCATTTCCTTCAACATTTCAACCTGTTTTCAGACTACGAAGTGCCAAAAATCATATATACCTCAAGAACACATTCTCAGCTTACACAGGCGGTTAAAGAACTCAAAAACACCATTTATAAGTGAGTATCAATTTTCCTGTATGCATTCTTGTCAGGCATCATGTCTGAACTTCCAAATCTTGGTTCTGTTTGTTTTATTTTGAAACTATAGAATGATTCAGTCTAACTGTTGAGTTTATAAAGTAAATGGTTCGAACCCGGGAGTATTGTTACATGTTTGTAGATGTAGATCGTCCATGTTGGTAAGCAGATAACAAATACGGCTAACCTGGCGTTTACTCTACATTTGACTCTGAAGATGACTACCGCAAAGGTTGTCGAAACGTCAGTCAACACCAACAAAAATAGTCTTTGAAGGATTATACTAACCTGGATGATCTACATTTACAAACATGTTTAGTTTATGAAATGTTCATTAGTTGTTGCTTTTCTAGACCTAAAGTTTGTGTCTTGGGATCTAGAGAACAACTTTGCATTCATCCACAAGTTGTACAACAAGAAACCCATTCTGCTAAGGTTAGTTAAAAGTTAGTAGTCCAAGGTTGGTTATTAATTTCAGTTTACTCTCAATACTGCCATGTACATTTAATTAGCATTTATGTCTCAATTAAGATACTGTGGCCATCTGACCTTTGTTTTATCAAGACACTCTGCCTGTATCCAAGAATTATGCTTAAATGTGCAACTCTCTGTATCTCTTCAAACTTTTCAGATGCAGTTGTGTCGTGCTAAAGTTGAAAGCAAGAAATGTCACTACTATAATAATTTAGAAAAAGGTAAAAAGATTAAAAGAAACTATGAAAGAGTTTTTGGCTAAAAGAAACTACGTAGAACTGTGTTTTAAAATATCATCATAGTCCACAGTTGAACTTCTAGTTCAGTTGGTAGAACATTGAAGACAATGATTATCTTGTTACTATACCTGAGTACATAACAACTACGTGATGTTATTAACGATGATATTAAGGTATGACAGAAACTAGAACTGTACTGTCTTCATAAGTCCAGTGTGTGAGTTAACGGTGTGCAATGTGCAATTTGCACATCGTTTTAGCTAAAATGAAAACAATTGCACATCACTTTTTCAAAAGATTTGCAAAAAACGTCTTTATTTATTACTACCATATAAATTGAAAAAAGTTTTCAAGCTTAATCTTTACTGATCTTTACTTTATGAGTGTGCTGCACGACATTAAAATCCATGTTGGCACAATGTCATCAAATTCAAAGACGTTGTCACTTTGAGACTTGGAAGTCTGTCAACAGTCAACATACATGGTGCTTATATGCTTATGACAATAGGGATGTAACACATTATTAATGTCAATTTTTGCATTTGCGTTGTTTTGTAAACCGTTACGTACTGTTTTTGGCATCATAGCTATTTTGAGTATTTTCAGTAAAATCAGGAAATATTTTGATTTTGATTCTTAGAAGACGACAAAAGACTTAAATAAGCCAAATTTGAAAAATAAACTAAAGGGAATTTTGATAACGTGAGAAAAAGAAGCCAAATTTGATTATGCCTCTAAAGAAACACTTGTGTCAAAAAAAATTGCACATCGTTTTTTCTCAACTAATTCGCTCACTGTTCTTAACGCATAATTTTGATTTTTTCTGTAGAGGAAAGCGATAGCAAACAATATCTTTCAGATATATTGGACATTGAAGATTTAGTTAGTCTAGGCAAAAAACAAAGGTATTTATGTCATTAAACTCTCTTTTAGTTCGACTTTACCATTTCCTTATTATTACTGTCTTTAAAACTTTATTCAACATGTCTTGACAGTTGCTGTCCGTATTATTTATCTCGTCAACAGAAGAAATCTGCTGATATAATATTTATGCCATATAATTACTTAATTGATAGCAAGGTTGGTTTTTAACTTTGAACAAATGTGTTATTTTTCATCATTGTAAACCATTTGTAAACTGTTGACACTGAACTATATACATGTGTGACGTCAACCTCAGCCCTCGTACACCCTAATCAGGCGTTAGGTGTTTGTTAGGTGTAGATTTTCCAGATTATTTCAGTCCTGAGAAGGACTGTTGGTGTTGATGGTGACTGATGTTTTGGCAACCTTAGCGGTAGTCATGAGTTGAGTGAGGAGTAAATGTATGGTTAGACAACAAATACGGCTAACCTGACGTTTGCTTCTCACTTGACTCTGTAGATGACTACCGCTAAGATTGTTGAAACGTCAGTCAACATCTACACCAACAGTCTTTCTAAAGACTCGACTAACTTGGACGATCTACAACAAGAAACATGTAACTAACGATATTCCCGGGCTCAAACCATTCACTTTACTAATCGGGCGTCTTGGTGCGCAAAGATAATGAAAATTTAGCAAGATGTCATTTTCATCATCTAATGAAATCTTCTGAGTGGGTTGCATGTTTTGGCTTCACATTGTGATCTGAAGTTGATTTTCGTTGTATATAGTTCAGTGGATAGTTGAAGATGTAACTTCACGAGATGATCACTAAAGTTAGCTAAAGCTTGTTTACGTTAAGAATTTATTATACTCTTGTTTATACTCGGGTTCATGAGGAACGAAATACTTAAATGACGTAGCCAGCCGTTTATTTAGTCGCGCTGTGCATATTATTCGCTCACTTACTTCGAGAATAGAGAACAGCAACATTTTTAATGAAATCAAAAGTAATAATGTTCTGAGATTGATAACGTCTTGGTTAGAATTGGGGGTATATATAGATACCAGTGGGGATTGTAATGGATTGAATTTCATACTTTGATTCTTTCATTTCAGGCTAGAAACATGAACGGTATCGAAATATCCAAGAGCATTATTTTATTTGACGAAGCTCACAATATAGTAAGACGTTTTTCTTCCTTGCATACATCATCCACACATATACATATGTCTGTCACGGCTTTTCTTTCTCTTTCAAAACTTCAATGGGTTAGATTATAAATTTTGACAAACCTTTAATACGAAATCATAACCACCGCAGAATTATTCAAGTTTAAGGATTATGATCAAAATAGTCTAGCTTTGCTTAGATTAGAACTAAATCCACCTTTCCGACGGTTGACACACGGGTCAAAAATACGAGATCAAATCACAAAATTCGGACATAGTATTGTTTATGTAGAATAGTGGCAATAAAATGGTTAAGAGATGCTTTTGAGTTTTGGGGTATCTGTGAATTTTGAAAGAAGGCATAACAGTAAATATGAACTATTTTGCGTTAGAAAAAAGCATAGCTATCAAAGGAAAGCTTGAATACTGGTATGTTGTCGTGCAAATGTTTTTTCGTAAGGATCGTTACGGGCTTTTAAGGCCTGACTTAAATGCAGCTAAAATCGGATCTGGGTATTCTTGGAATGAATTGCATACTACATGCACGTACGTGATAAATTAGACAGCTGTCTCTATGACATAAGGGTTCAACTTAGACGATACAAATGGCTTGTAAAAACTATTATAAAAAAGTAGATAATCCTTTTTTTCCACGAAGCCCATGGATGCTTTCGTTCATGATGGGAAGCTCTCGTTCATACGAGAACTTTTATTGTAAAAGGTGACAATTAAAAACGTATACACCACAGGCAGAAGTTGTTCGAACCTTTGCAGTATCCTCGGATGTTTTAGTTTCTTTTATGAGAAGAACTCTTGTAAACGAAAAGATATAAATCGAAAAAAGACAAAATTTGAAAACAAAATATCACGTTTTCGGTCCATGCCTCCCGATACCCCGAGATAGTTGAGCACTAGAGCGTCTCATATTAATTAAGGGAACCAGATAATCTTGTCTGGCATGAAGCCCATGGAGGGTTTGCTCGTGATACATGAGAAACGGTAAATGAGAGAGTTACACAAGAAAGATATAAACCAATCAAAAATGTATAAAACATGTTTAAGGTTGTATTAAATTATAAATGTCAGAAAAAGGCACAGGGTCATAAGAAGTTAATTGAAACATTGCTTGGTTTGTTTTATGAGAAGAAAACAAAAAGACAAAATTCGAAAGCAAAAAACCCCGTTTTCGGGCCATGCTTCCCGATACCTTCTTATATGTAAGGTACTAGAACGCCGCATGTTAACGTTTCGGTAGGAGATTTCGGCCCCTCCACGCTATCCTACTTGGGAGATGCCAATAGCAAGTTTCCGCCCATCAGACACTGAGATCACCTGCGATAGGCTTTGCTCAGGGTACGCAGGGAGAGTGCGGTCGCCACCGAAGTGTGGGCCCCTAAGCCACTGCATACTATATCGCACCCAGCAAAGTTGAATTCATTCTGTTTTTGAATGCGTTGTTTTGCTCTCTCAAACTCCAGCCTTCAAGATCACTGCAATAAAGCGGTGATTTTCTCATTCAAAATCCCTGTTTTGATAGGAATCCTATCCCTTCTTCTTCAACAAAGTAAATAGACAGAAATTACGGTGTTTTCAAGCATTGGAGAAGTAACTATCTTTTATTGACAGCAGCCATGTTTCTTTTCTCAACAAAAAGCGGACCAGTGCAATTTCCGCCACGTTAAAAAGCCTTCAACATGCGCCCGAGCATTTTACTCAATGCATAAAATGCAGTTCCGTGGAAATTAGCCTTTAGAGCTCAGGTTCATCCTTTAACTGACTTCTTAAGAACATGACCCCTACAAGTGTTCATCTGGTCACATGAATTATTAGGTGAAAAAGGAAAAAATGTATCTGTTTTCACTGCAAGCGTACTTCGCTAATGACTTCCCTTTTGCTGTATTCTTTTATCTAAATACTGCGTGCTAACCACACGGGGTCTCGTACCCAGCTCCGCCTGCGGCTCCTTGCTTATGAATCTCATGTTAATATTTTACTGGTCATCTAAAAGCGGTCGCTTTCACTGATGTTTTAAATTCCCACACATCCAAAGAACATTCTTTCCCCTAACATGTAGCAAGATCTTATAATCTCTTAATTTCCCAGGAACAATCATGTGAGGAAGCGATGTCTTTCGATCTAACGTCTTATGATATAGCGAGTTGTATTGAAGATCTAGATAGATGTCTTGACATCTTGACTCAGATGGAAGAGGACGGAACCCTTGCATTAGTTGACGACGTCGGAAATTCAAGTAAGACGTGTTGCGTATGAACGGTGGGGTTGTGAATTTTAATCATAAGATGTGGTTGATTGAAGATTGCAGGGTAAAAGCAAATAAAATAGGTTTCTCGATTTGTCTATCCTTGAATATACGTATATAAAAATGGCTTTTGTAGATATTCAGGGATAGAGAAAAATGTATAAAAGTTGTGATTGCAATTTTTCAAAAGATCTGCTGTAGTTTAACAAAAAATTCACATAAAATTTATTTTTGCCGACTTCTAAGTTCTGCTTATCGGTTATTGTATTAGAGTTGTGGAGTTGTTTAGAAGCATCCTAAGGCTACGGTAGCTATCATTTCTGCCAGGTAGTAATATACAGTAGAACTTGTATTAAGCGGTAACCCTTGGGGATTTCTCGTGTGACCGTTTAATGCAGGTTGACCGTTTAATACAGGTCTCCAGACGAGCTACGTGTAATATTTCATACAACTAAAGTTGAACCAATCGGTATTGTTCCTTAGCATATATGCCAAATAACAACACTATATATAAAACAATTTTTTCTTAGCTTGAACTAGAAATTAAAAATAGTATACATAAAAATGTCTGGGCTCAAACTGTTAAAAAATAATCAATGGCAAGCGTGTCAACAGAGAAGGTGGCTTGTAACTTATAAGTTCCATGTGTATGTCCCTTTCTTGGAGATATGTTTTCTTGTCAGTGGCTGAAGGAACGTAAGAAAAGTTTAAATTTCTGGTGTAATTCGTCCACACAAACAGAAAATATTGTTCGCTCTTTTAAGTCATTACGGAAGATAAATACCATATAAAGACATGTATACAATATAAGTGACGTGTTCCAGAAAAAATATTTAATTATATATTTTATTATGGCATGTATTTACTTAACCTGACCGTTAATTACAGTTTCAAAACAATGAAAAATTAAGTTTGGGACATAGGAAAAAGTGACCGCCTCCGCTTAATAGAGGTGACCGTTTAATAAAGATCACTTTAATAGTATTTATACTATGAAATTTTCAGGACTTTGCATTAATACGGTGCCGCTTAATACAGGTTCTACTATATTTTCAACTCAAATTGGAATACTGTTCTTTTTGATTTCAGATTGCTCGTTAGAGTTTCTTTCTTCCTTTTTTGTAGTTGAAATTTGACTAACGGTAGAAAATTTATCCGACTTTTCAATCTTCAAACTTTCTTGTAAGGCAGCTCACCCCCACGCTCCCGTTTCGTACGCTTATCGGAACATCGGCTTGTTTACTTTCGCATTCGATTTTTATTGCGTGAAATTGTTGTGTGAACTACAAATAAAAGCATTAACGCTCGAACTTTCACTAAAGTTTGCAAGCCGTCTTATTCGTGTTTTAGCTACCATTGTATTGTTTGCTTTTGTGATGCTCGCGTCATTTAGTCTTTAACATACACAATTTTTTTAAAATATTTTTCTTTTGTTGTAGACGATGTTGGATTGGATAAAAAGGAGATTGCCTTTATGAAAGGTTATACAGACGAATTTATTTTTAAGACTTGTTTTTCAATGCATTTTGTTGGTTCTGAGAGGAATTTCGGCAACATCAACTACACCATGAGATTCAAAAATTGATGTCAGCGTGAAAAACTTAAACAACACAATCAACATCTATTGCATGTGTAAGCTGATAAATATCTTTTGTTATCAAGGTCTGTTGTTAATGCTAGAGGAAGAACTCAGTGGAATAATTTCCAAGACTGCCGAAGGCATCACAAAACCTGGCAGGTAGAGTTAACAAATCTAAGTGCATGTTGTTAATGCTATAGGAAGAACTCAGTCAAATAATTTCCGAGACTGCTGAAGGCATCACAAAACCTGGCAGGTAGAGTTAACAAATCTAAGTAGATGTTTGTGGATGTAGATCGTCCAGGTTAGTATAGTCCTGAGAGGGACTGTTGATGTTGATGTAGACTGACGTTTCGACAACCTTAGCGGTAGTAATCTTCAGAGACTTCGGAGTCAAATCTAAGTCGAGTTACCAAACCTTCTAAGTACAGCTACCCAACCTGGCAATTTTGAAATTCGGCTGGCAGAAAAACGAAAAATTCTCGCATGTCGATTCGTGTATCGGAAAGAAAAACTCAACTTTTAACTTAGAAGTTGATAGAACTTTTGATTTAAAAATGTTTCGATACGTTTCGATGAATCATATGTCAGGTGGAAGATGATATTTCTATTCGTTATCAAGTTGTAAATGAATTCACAAATATTTCATACATTTTCAGTTACATGTTTGAACTGTTGGAAAAAGTGAAGATAACTCGTGGCACTCAAAGTCAAGTTGTTGATCAGATCGAGAAAATTTGCACATTTCTTGTGGCAAGTACGTAGCTAAGAAACGAAGTATATAATTAAGGCACAGTGTTGGAAATAGCATGTTTCGAGGGCGTGACAATCTTTTGTAAACAAGTAAATAATTAAGGCTCATTGTTGGAAATAGCATGTTTCGAGGGCGTGAGAATCTTTTGTAAACAAGTAAATAATTAAGGCTCATTGTTGGAAATAGCATGTTTCGAGGGCGAGACAATCTTTGTAAACAAGTAAATAATTAAGGCACAGTGTTGGAAATAGCATGTTTCGAGGGCGAGACAATCTTTTGTAAACAAGTAAATAATTAAGGCACAGTGTTGGAAATAGCATGTTTCGAGGGCGAGACAATCTTTTGTAAACAAGTAAATAATTAAGACACAGTGTTGGAAATAGCATGTTTCGAGGGCGAGACAATCTTTTGTAAACAAGTAAATAATTAAGGCACAGTGTTGGAAATAGCATGTTTCGAGGGCGAGACAATCCTTTTGTAAACACCTTTCGCTCAGTTACGCTGGCAAGAGGTGAACGTCTTGGGCAATCTCTTCTTCATAATAATATTTCAATACTTTGGTCCTTATTTTGTACAATTGAAATGTCTAAGTAAAATATGTAAGTGGGCTTTTTTACTATTTCCGCTCCCCTCCCCCCCTAAAAAAAAACCCCCATCTTACCAGCACCGTTCTTCTTTCACATGTATGTGTCCTGGGAAGACATGCAGCTTTGCATGGTCAAATTATAACCGGTGTGACTTTCCACTTTTCATGAACTTACTTAAAATTTTATCAAATTTCAGATGGAAATAACGGTATGAAGCCAAAACAACTTTTACTCGACAAGTTTTCCAACGCTCTAAAAGTACGTTTTAAATTGTTGTTTTGTCAATAAATTATATTCCTATGTCGTCTTTGTAGTGTACGTTAATAAAACGAGGGGGAGGGTGGCTACGACAGAGGGCTCAGCAAAGAGGTCAACAAAACAGGTCAACCGTCCAAACTAATGAATGTCCAAACCGTGCATTTAGTCCAGTAAACATGAAAGCTTACGGCTTTCATGTTTACATGTGCCGCTGTCCGGAATGTTCGTGGGCACGATCATATATCGGGCTTAGACAATAGTATTCGGAAATTTCATTTGTCCTCTTTAGATTATCTTCCAAGGAAGTTCTCCAAGTGACTCGGGTAAATCCTCCGGTCATTATAAGGTAGATTATACTAAAATTTTCGCCTACAGTGCCATAGAGGGATTTGTTTAAGGTGAAAGCTTTTTTATTCTGTCCAGATTATTAAGGTGTAAAATGACAATTGAGTAGTTTTTGAAAGAACTGTTGAAAACCAAAATAAAAGTAGCTATAAAATAGAATGACGCGATGCATTTTCGGTAATTTTATAGCTATCTTTATTTTGACATCACTCCGACGAGAAAGTAATTTTATAGCTATCTTTATTTTGGTTATCAAAAGAACTACTTGATTATCATTCACCATGACAAATACGCTGCTCAAAGCAATACTTATGTTTGTAAACAACAACCATGCGAGTCTTTGTTTTACAGTTCTGTAACTGACAGTTTAAGTAGTAGATTTTATCTTGTGCTTTGTTTATTTAGGTTCATATTCAATCTCGAGAGATTTTAAATTACCGAAGAAATCAAATTGATGTATGGTCAACTAGTAAGACATCCGTTTAAAGGGTGATCATTGTCATATTTTGTTGGCCTGTCCTGTCTTGTGGTTTTGCCCGTACAGCGAATCGTGTGTGGCGCAAAGAAATTGGTGTTCTGGTTCACCATATATTTTTATGGCGCTTTACTCTTTTCCGACACGTTATTTTAGTTGCATATTTAAGGTATTTGAACTCCATTATCCCTATAGCCTGTGTTGTGTATTTAGTACACTCCACGTCTTTGTATATAAATTGCCATTCACCCCAATTCGTGCGGAGTTATTCTCTGGGATATTGGTGTTTTTTCCTCATTGGTAGACGGTAGAAAGATTTGGTGAAACACGAACTAAGATCGATGATTTTAACCAGCGGGACATTGACACCTTTAAAATCATTCAAAGCCGAGCTACAAATGTAAGAATACGAGTAGAGATTTAGAATACTCTAGATTAACAGCTGGCATCTGAAGTGTATATTTTGTTCTGCGTTTTTTTAATAACTTGACTATAGAAATTAAATTAATAAAGACTGAGAAATTCACGCATTAGAAGAAACGGTAGGTTTTCCAGAAAGCATATACCTACGTACGTATTACATAATATAAATTCTAACACGGTTTTATTGCACGAAAAACGCAGACGGTTTAAAAACTCGCATTATAGTCCGCCGCTCTACCTGTTGACTACCTGCGGGAGATGTAGTTGAGTCAAGTCTTTCTTTTTAAACTACTTATGGACGAGAGATTCTCGCCATAGCAGTTTACTGGATGGCACCGTGTTTCGACTTTATTCCAAAGCCATCAGAGGTTATACATGATATAAATCCTAACACGGTTTTTATATGATGGTTTTGAAATAAAGTCGAAACACGGTGCCATCAAAATTTCCCATTTGATTTCATAAATGAAATAGACACATTTCATGTATGAAGTGTTTCAATTTCACATAAGTTTCACGTATCATTTCATATATGAAATCAAATGTGAAATTTTCGTCAGGGTTAAACTACAGCCATTAACATTCATATAGCGTATTGTTTTTCATAGTGTTTTCAACCAACCATGATGCTTGATCATTTAGATTTTTTTCTCATCCTGAATAAAATGATTCATCCAACAGCGTATTGCATGACAAACTAAAATTCCTTGTATCTATACAGAGACATTCCTGTGGACTGGAAAATCCTCGATTATAAGTAAACATCAGATGTTTGTTGGTGTACTGAAGAAGTTGGACCTGATTCTATCAAATTCGAAAATTCATCTTATAAAACAGGTGTGCTTTTTATTACGGTCAATGCCTTGGTACTTACCAATTCAGGTGTATAGTGGGCAGGAGATGTAGTATGTTGCATTGTTCAATGTTCATGTTGTATCATTTGAGTTTCCTCAGCAAAAATGATTTTTTTTATCTGTTTCAAATCTTTTAAAACTTTGTGATGTTTTTATAGGAACAATGAAAGATACCTTTCTAGTTTGGGCAACGCATTGGGTAAAGTATTTACCTAAGATTTTCTACAGAGAGTAGCCTCTCTGTTGTAAAGTTTTCTACAGGGAGTAGACCCTCTGTTGTAAAGTTTTCTACAGGGAGTAGACCCTCTGTTGTAAAGTTTTCTACAGGGTGTAGACCCTCTGTTGTAAAGTTTTCTACAGAGAGTAGCCTCTCTGCTGTAAAGTTTTCTACAGGGAGTAGACCCTCTTTTGTAAAGTTTTCTACAGTTAGTAGCCCCTCTGTTGAAGAGTACTCTAACTTTAACATTTTTCTTTTCTTCAGTAAACTTTGCTGGACATTGTCTGATGGAATGTTGGTGTTTTCCATCCCTACCTCGCTTGAGGTCGCTGTTTAAAACTGGAAGGTCCTGAATATCGCTTTTCATAAATCCATATGTATTATTGATCACATCGTCTCATATACATTTTTCTTTATCTATACCTTACAGACCAAAGATGGTGGTCAAGACTGAACAACGTAAACCTATATTCGTCGAACCTCAGAACAAATGTTGGGTTTGCGGAGGTGATAGATTTTCATTTGTTCAGATCGTCTCAGATGTGCTATAATATATTAATAATTAGTTCTAATATTGTATTTTCAGACTATGGATGGCTTTTATGAAAAAGTGAAAAGCACCGAGTTTAAAGGAGCGATGTTTTTGGCTGTATGCAGAGGAAAGGTATGTGAGGCAAATATTGTCCGATACAATGTTTTGGAGCACTAGCTTTCTTTATAAATATTATAGTCCACAGTTAATCTTGCAGTTTAGTTGATCGAACATTGAAGACAATGATCAAGTTAATCCTGTAGTTTAAGTTGATAGAACATTGCAGTAATGATTATCTTGTTACTATACCTGGTATACAACAGCATTGTGTTATTATCTATGATATTAAAGTATAGAAAGAAACTAGAACTGTGTTTTGAAAGATCATCATAATTCAATGTGAGTGTTGTTAGTTCAGTTGGTGTTGAGAATGATTATCTTGTTGCTATACCGAGTACATCCACAACGTAATGTTAATGTCTATGATACGAGATGAAGAAACTAGAACTGTGTTGAAATATCATGGTAACGGAAATCACGGATATGATGGATTTCAAATAGGCCATTAAAGGCATTGATTTAAATATAATAGCAAGTATGATTCCCTTTACTTGCAAACAAGAAACTCCTCACCTCTCCCCTCCTTACCGATTGCTCCACATTCGTTTAATGACTCTGATCTTAAATCCATGATCAGTATGTTTAATAAAATGTGGTAGATCAAATGTTTCTAAGTGGGCCTTGCGTATTAGTTTGCTACAGATACATGGTCTTATATGGTCTTTTATAATCTTGTAGTTTAGTTGATAGAATATTTCAAACAATAATTATCTTGTTACTATACCAGAGTACATCACAACAACGTTATGTTATTATCTGTGATATTAAGATATGAAAGAAACTAGAGGTCTCAGTCGACGTACTAACTACAAATCTCAGTCGTTTGTAAACGGGATTTTAACGTAATTCTTGTCGTTGTAGGTCAGCGAAGGTGTCAATTTCAGTGACATCAACGGTCGTGCGGTTGTCATAACTGGTCTACCATACCCCCCTGCTTACGATGCCCGAGTGAGTTTTAACATATATTACCATTGTCATTGCTATGATATGATGATGCGATGCTATGATATGATGATGAGATTTTCTGTATCTTTATCAATTGGGCTGTTTGAACTATCTTCCTTCCAAATAAATTGATGGTCAAAAAAATTACCCAAGTCTACCAAAAGTTTCCTTCTTTCCTTATCACTCCTAAAGTGAGAATCATTGTAGTCATGTATTATTAAAGCTGAATTTCGTCACGAATGTTTAAAAACGAGCTTTCAGCCCAAAAAGGAAGGACACCCACAAATTATGTAGTGTGGGTTTACCTTAAAGGAAGAACACCCACAGTTTTTGTAGTGTGGGTCTACCTTAAAGGAAGGACACCCACAATTTTTGTAGTGAGGGTGTACCTTAAAGGAAGAACACCCACAATTTTGTAGTGAGGGTGTACCTTAAAGGAAGAAGACCCACAATTTTGTAGTGAGGGTGTACCTTAAAGAAAGAACACCTACAATTTTGTAGTGAGGGTGTACCTTAAAGGAAGAACACCCACAAATTTAGCTTCTCACTTCAACGTTTATGATAAGTATACCAAATTTTCAAATTATTGAACGGGCACCTGGAACCAGGGAAATTTTAAATAGTTTGAACAGTTACGTAATGACGGAAATGTGCAAGTTTAATTTTAATTTTGTTTTTAATGATTTCCTACGGTAGTTGTGCTTTATATGCAATGCAAGGTCTTTCTCATCATTAATTTTTTTTAAATATATCCTTGAAAAGTGCTTGAATTTCACTATCTTAGCATTGTACGAACCCTGGTTCATACTAAATTAACTTATCATTGTAGGTAAAATTAAAGCAGCAATTTCTGGATGAAGTTAAAAACAAAAAATCATTTGTGGTTTGTCGTTTCACTTTGAATGTCCGTTTTTCTTTTCGATTACAGCTTTTACTTCCGGGTGTTTCAACGTATTTTGCCTTCATTTAGGGTCTGACGGGCAGACAGTGGTATCAACAGCAGGCGTCACGGGCTGTCAATCAGGCTGTGGGTCGTGTGTTACGTCATAAGGAAGATTTTGGCGCCATTATCTTTTGCGATGAAAGGTTGAAAATATATATAATCGATCTTCTTAATGCTATTTACTGAATTGCAATTACCATTATGCTTTGCAATACAATTGCACGTTCGAAAAGCATTCTGGTCATTGTATTAAAGTTGCTTAATGAACTAGATTAGTCAGTGGAGCGAAAGATAGTCTTAAATAACAAAATCTTTTGACAGCTGACAAGGTTTTGGTAATTAAAAAACAAGGAGTTTGAAATTGTAAATAAAACTACTTAATTTCATAGCTTTCAGACTAAAATACATTTTTGTTATTTGTAGATTCGCGTTTCCCATGCACACGGCTGAACTTCCCAAATGGATGAAGCCGTATATTCGTGGATTTGAAAACTTCGGATCAATTCTTAAAGAGCTGCTGGCATTTTTCAGACGAGCCGTTGAACTGGTAAGTGTATAGTCAGTAAAAGTTTTATCTTCAATTGTTCAAAGCAGCTTGTAGCTTAGCTTTGGGCCAACATTTGTCATTTTTTGTAGAAATTTACTTTGTTTACAAGAACGCGATGGTATTTATACTTTGTGTTCCCTATAAATTGCGGCTTACATCTTGACAGAAATCATCTGTCAAGCTGAGCATTGAACTACCATCAACTTTCCCTTTCTGCTTGGCCAGTCCTGTCTTGATGGGCACAGTAAAGAAGCCAGACTTAGAAGTTTTTGGTCTTGCTATGTAAATTTCAAATCATTATCATTATTCATTTCCATAGAAATCTATTGTTTCTAGCTACATTAAGTGATAAAATTAAATAACAGGACTAAATAATCGGGCTGTCTACGCCACTGACCGTACAAAACTTGCGAGCAGACTGGATTACTACGACTTGTGGGTTAACAAATAAATTCAACTCGCCGCATTTTTTACAAGGTTTTTCTTCCTATCATTTTCTGTCCTACTTTTGAGGTTTGATTTTATCGTTTGTAGTGCGATGAGTCCTCTATGAAAGTGAAGAAACAGACCAATGACGTCACTGTAAATGACGTCGAGACTTTATCTCATGTCAATCCAGCTTCATTACAAAAGAAATATCGTCCCGTTGTTGTCAGCCATCATTCAGCAGGAGTTCTTCCGAGAAACATTCCTCCAGCTCGATTTCACAAAAATCGTGCGAAAATTCGTAAGTGTACACTCAATGGTTACAGTATAAAGATTTCTTCAAGTACTGGTCATACACACATGAAAGACAGACAGGCTTAAGACCATCTTTATCATCTCATTATTTGTCATTTATTTGTCTTTGTGTTCAATTTTCTTGTGATTACATCAAACTCTTCTATATGAGAGGGTTTCATTAAATCCTTGTTTAACACACATGAAAGACAAATAGACTAAAGAATATCTTTATCATCTCATTATTTGTCCTTCTTTTATCTTAGTGTTCAATTCTTTTGTGTTTACATCAAACTCTCCAATATAGGAAGATTTCCTTAAATCCTTGTAATTCAAGTATATTTCTTTACCATCATGTAGTCCATTGCGTTTACTGCAACGTAATCTCTATGATTCAGAAATGCAGAATACCATTTTATAAACATAAGTGTAAAGTTCTACTATCTCTACAACTCCTGCCTATCAAAATACACCCCTCCCTCCCCCCACAGTATCTTAACCCAAGAGCCTGGAAACTACCCTAGTTGTGGCAGCATCTTTTTTACCCATATAACCACAATATATCGTCTAAATATTAGATATTTTAGGTCCTTTAATTGTGTGTTTTTTTTTATATTCCCATAGATCTTGACGAATTACCTGAAACTCCCGTTAAGATTCAATATGAAATTACATCGTCAAATGATGGGAAGGAAAACACTTCAAAGAAAACGACTTCAAACACTAGCGAGATGTCGAATGGATTTTTTGACTCCTTACAAAAATACGAGGTATGTCCATTTACTTTGTTCTCATGCAACCGAATTTCACGCTTAAATTATGTGTATTATGTTCATAATTTATTGTAATAATACAAAAACATAATTTATGTTTTTGTTATTAAGGTTTCAATGTTATAAATTTTTAAGAAGAACAACTCTACTGAAGGATTTTAAAATCTCAGACGAAATGTACTTTGTTATTATTTCAGTAAAATTTCATCTTAATTGTCATTTTGGAAGTTGAAATTAACAAACATAACATCTAACGAAATTTTTTTTGGAGGATGAAACATATAATGTAAATTGCTTTGCTTTTTCGATGAAAAATATTGTCCTCAGGTCTCCAAAAGAGTCCGAAGCCACAGCCACATTTTGTTGAAGATAATAGTTTTAAACGAGTGGAGCGGCAATAAAACCAATTAACTGAATCATTGAATATTTTTTTGAATTTTAGGCGAAGAAAGCAACCGTAGCTGTGAGAAAAACGGTAGGACGAATAAATATTCGATTATGTATTTTCGCGTGCTTGAAAAACTTTTAAAGGAACTCTTCGTATGCACATTACCAGCTTCCCTCGAGCTCAAATGTAGAGCTGTATGCTTCCTCTTCGGATGTAAAAAAACCGACTGTGATGAAAAAGAAATTAAAGGTGAGATCTATAGTTTGCATGAGTTTAAATGTAAGGTATTTTTTCTCAGTAGTCGTAGATTGGTTGTTGGGGCAAATTTTTCTCGTACCCGATTGATTGTAGGGGTAAGTTTTTCTCGGTACTTGATTGGTTGTTGTCGCAAGTTTTTCTCAGTACTTGATTGGTTGTTGGAGCAAGTTTTTCACAGAACTTGATTGGTTGTTGGCGAAAGTTTTTCACAGTACTTGATTGGTTGTTGTCGCAAGTTTTTCTCAGTACTTGAGTGGTTGCTGTCGCATGTTTTTCTCAGTACTTGATTGGTTGTTGGAGCAAGTTTTTCACAGTACTTGATTGGTTGCTGGCGCAAGTTTTTCTCAGTACTTGATTGGTTGTTGGCGCAAGTTTTTCTCAGTGCCGAGTGGTTTTGCTGTCATGTTTTCCACGTACTTGATTGGTTGTTGAGACAGTTTTTCGCAGTACCAGTTGGTTGCTGGCGCAAGTTTTCCTCAATTACTTAGGTGGTTGTTGTCGCAAGTTTTCTCAATTACTTGAGTGGTTGTTGGCGCAAGTTTTTCTCAGTACTTGAGTGGTTGCTGTCGCATGTTTTTCTCCGTACTTGATTGGTTGTTGGAGCAAGTTTTTCGCAGTACTTGATTGGTTGCTGGCGCAAGTTTTTCTCAGTACTTGAGTGGTTGCTCGCATGTTTTCCTCAGTGAGCTGAGTGGTTGCTGTCGCATGTTTTCTCCGTACTTGACTGGTTGGTTGTTATGCAAGTTTTTTCTCCAATTGATTGGTTGTTTGGCGCAATTTTTCTCAATACTTGATTGGTTGTTGTCGCAAAGTTTCTCAGTATTTGAGTGGTTGTTGTCGCAAGTTTTCTCAGTACTTGATTGGTTTGTTGACGCAAGTTTTTCTCAATTGAGTGGTTTGCTGGCTGGGATTTTCTCAGTCGCTTGATTCGTTGCTGGCGTAAAGTTTTCCGCAATTGACTTGATTGCTGGCGCAAGTTTTTCTCAGTACTTGAGTGGTTGTTGTCGAAGTTTTCTCAGTACTTGATTGGTTGTTGGCGCAAGTTTTTCTCAGTACTTGATTGGTTGCTGGCGCAAGTTTTTCTCAGTACTTCATTTGTTGCTGGCGCAAGTTTTCTCAGTACTTGGTGGTTGCTGGCGCAAGTTTTTCTCAGTAGTTGAGTGGATGTTGTTGTCGAAGTTTTCTCAGTACTTGATTGGTTGCTGGCGCAAGTTTTTCTCAGTACTTGATTGGTTGCTGGCGCAAGTTTTTCTCAGTACTTGATTGGTTGCTGGCGCAAGTTTTTCTCAGTACTTGATTGGTTGCTGGCGCAAGTTTTCTCAGTACTTGAGTGGTTGTTGGCGCAAGTTTTTCTCAGTACTTGAGTGGTTGTTGTCGCAAGTTTTTCTCAGAACTTGGTGGTTGTTGGCGCAAGTTTTTCTCAGTACTTGATTGGTTGCTGCGTAAGTGTTTCTTAGTACTTGATTGGTTGTTGGCGCAATTTTTCTCAGTACTTGATTGGTTGCTGGCGCAAGTTTTTCTCAGTACTTGATTGGTTGCTGGCGTAAGTTTTTCTCAGTACTTGAGTTGTTGTTGTCGCAAGTTTTTCTCAGTACTTGATTGGTTGTTGGAGCAAGTTTTTCTCAGTACTTGATTGGTTGCTGGCGCAAGTTTTTCTCAGTACTTGAGTGGTTGTTGGCGTAAGTTTTTCTCAGTACTTGAGTGGTTGTTGTCGCAAGTTTTTCTCAGTACTTAATTGGTTGTTGGCGCAAGTTTTTCTCAGTACTTGATTGGTTGCTGGCGTAAGTGTTTCTCAGTACTTGATTGGTTGTTGGCGCAAGTTTTTCTCAGTACTTGATTGGTTGCTGGCGCAAGTTTTTCTCAGTACTTGATTGGTTGCTGGCGTAAGTTTTCTCAGTACTTGAGTGGTTGTTGTCGCAAGTTTTTCTCAGTACTTGAGTGGTTGTTGTCGCAAGTTTTTCTCAGTACTTGATTGGTTGCTGGCGCAAGTTTTTCTCAGTACTTGATTGGTTGTTGGCGCAAGATTTTCTCAGTATTTGAGTGGTTGTTGTCGCAAGTTTTTCTCAGTACTTGATTGGTTGTTGGCGCAAGTTTTTCTTAGTACTTGATTGGTTGCTGGCGCAAGTTTTTCTCAGTGCTTGATTCGTTGCTGGCGTAAGTTTTCGCAGTATTGATTGGTTGCTAGCGCAAGTTTTCTCAGTACTTGAGTGGTTGTTGTCGAAAGTTTTTCTCAGTACTTGATTGGTTGCTGGCGCAAGTTTTTCTCAATACTTGATTGGTTGCTGGCGCAAGTTTTTCTCAGTACTTGATTGGTTGCTGGCGCAAGTTTTTCTCAGTACTTGATTGGTTGCTGGCGCAAGTTTTTCTCAGTAGTTGAGTGGATGTTGTCGAAAGTTTTCTCAGTACTTGATTGGTTGCTGGCGCAAGTTTTTCTCAGTACTTGATTGGTTGCTGGCGCAAGTTTTCTCAGTATTTGATTGGTTGCTGGCGCAAGTTTTTCTCAGTACCAGATTGGTTGCTGGCGCAAGTTTTCTCAGTACTTGAGTGGTTGTTGGCGCAAGTTTTTCTCAGTACTTGAGTGGTTGTTGTCGCAAGTTTTTCTTAGTTTTTGAGTGGTTGTTGTCGCAAGTTTTTCTCAGTACTTGATTGGTTGTTGGCGCAAGTTTTTCTCCGTACGTGATTGGTTGCTGGCGCAAGTTTTTCTCAGTATTTGAGTGGTTGTTGTCGAAAGTTTTCTCAGTACTTGATTGGTTGCTGGCGCAAGTTTTTCTCAGTACTTGATTGGTTGTTGGCGCAAGTTTTTCTCAGTACTTGATTGGTTGCTGGCGTAAGTTTTTCTTAGTACTTGAGTGGTTGTTGTCGCAAGTTTTTCTCAGTACTTGAGTGGTTGTTGTCGCAAGTTTTTCTCAGTACTTAATTGGTTGTTGGCGCAGGTTTTTCTCAGTACTTGATTGGTTGCTGGCGTAAGTTCTTCTCAGTACTTGATTGGTTGTTGGCGCAAGTTTTTCTCAGTACTTGATTGGTTGCTGGCGCAAGTTTTTCTCAGTGCTTGATTCGTTGCTGGCGTAAGTTTTTCGCAGTACTTGATTGGTAGCTAGCGCAAGTTTTTCTCAGTACTTGATTGGTTGCTGGCGCAAGTTTTTCTCAGTGCTTGATTCGTTGCTGGCGTAAGTTTTTCGCAGTACTTGATTGGTAGCTAGCGCAAGTTTTTCTCAGTACTTGAGTGGTTGTTGTCGAAAGTTTTTCTCAGTACTTGATTGGTTGCTGGCGCAAGTTTTTCTCAGTACTTGATTGGTTGCTGACGCAAGTTTTTCTCAGTACTTGATTGGTTGCTGGCGCAAGTTTTTCTCAGTAGTTGAGTGGATGTTGTCGAAAGTTTTTCTCAGTACTTGATTGGTTGCTGGCGCAAGTTTTTCTCAGTACTTGATTGGTTGCTGGCGCAAGTTTTTCTCAGTATTTGATTGGTTGCTGGCGCAAGTTTTTCTCAGTACTTGATTGGTTGCTGGCGCAAGTTTTTCTCAGTACTTGAGTGGTTGTTGGCGCAAGTTTTTCTCAGTACTTGAGTGGTTGTTGTCGCAAGTTTTTCTTAGTTTTTGAGTGGTTGTTGTCGCAAGTTTTTCTCAGTACTTGATTGGTTGTTGGCGCAAGTTTTTCTCAGTACTTGAGTGGTTGTTGTCGCAAGTTTTTCTCAGTTTTGAGTGGTTGTTGTCGCAAGTTTTTCTCAGTACTTGATTGGTTGTTGGCGCAAGTTTTTCTCAGTACTTGATTGGTTGCTGGCGCAAGTTTTTCTCAGTGCTTGATTCGTTGCTGGCGTAAGTTTTTCGCAGTACTTGATTGGTTGCTGGCGCAAGTTTTTCTCAGTATTTGAGTGGTTGTTGTCGAAAGTTTTTCGCAGTACTTGATTGGTTGCTGGCGCAAGTTTTTCTCAGTACTTGATTGGTTGTTGGCGCAAGTTTTTCTCAGTACTTGATTGGTTGCTGGCGTAAGTTTTTCTTAGTACTTGAGTGGTTGTTGTCGCAAGTTTTTCTCAGTACTTGAGTGGTTCTTGGGGCACGTTTTTCACGGTACTTTCACGGCACGTAGGAAGCTAATGAACCTAAGGTTAGCTTATTCTAATGTTGTCACGTGACTTTATATGTATGAGGCTAAATGGATACACCAAACCACCTTTCCGACGGTAGACACACGTGTCAAAAGTACGAGATGAAACTGCAAAGTTCGGACATTCAAATGGTCGGTCATAGTATTGTTTATGTAAAATGGTGGCAGTAAAATGGTTAGGAGATGCTTTTGAGTTTTGGGCTGTTTGTGAATTTGATTCCAGCTGTTTAGAACGATTATTTATAAAGGCATAAGGCACAACAGTAAGCATGAACTATTTTGCGTTAAAAAACATAACGATCAAAGGAAAGCTTGAATACTGGCATGTTGTCGCGCTAATGACTTTTTTGTAAGGATTGTTACGGCCTTTAAGGCCTGACTTTTAGAAGCAGCTAAAATCAGATCTTGGAATGAAATGCATACTACATGCATGTACGTGATAAATTTAGACGGCTGTCTCTATGCGATCAAAAAATTCTTTTGAATCCGAAAAGTGTACTGTTTAATTGCAGAATTACTCGAGAAGAGAAATTACTTTGTAGATTGAATCATGAAAATATTGTAAGAAAAAAGAAATTTACTATCCAAAATGAATGAAAATTTGTAACATAAGGGTTGAAAGCGAGCTTCTATTTAAGCGATACGAATTGCTTGGCTTATTAAATGTTATCTTTGTAAAAACTATTATGAAAAAGTAGACATTCCCTTTTTTTCATGAAGTCTATGGGTGCTTTCGTTCATGAGGAGAGAGTTATATTGTATAAGGAGGCTCTCGTTCATCACGAGAGAGTTATGAGAAAGTTACGTTGTAAAGATTACAAGTAAAAAAGGCAGAAATTGTTTGAAACTTTGCAGTATGCTAGAATGCTCTAGTTTCTTTTATAAGAAACTCTTGTACACAAAAAGATAAAATTCAAAAGCAAAAAACCCCGTTTTCGGTCCATGCTTCCCGATACCTTCTTAAGCCTAAGGCACTAGAACGCCGCATGTTAACGTTTCGATAAGAGATTTCGGCCCCTCCGCGCTATCCTACTTGGGGATGCCAATACGTAGCAAGCTTCCGCCCATCGGACCCCGAGATCACCTGCGATAGGCTTTGCTCGGGGTACGCAGGGAGAGTGCGGTCGCGACCGAAGTCTGGGCCCCTAAGCCACTGCATACTATATCGCACCCAGCTTCCACTGCTAGTTGACATCTACTATATAACATATTAGCTTTATATATATCTACATAAATTCAAAGGCTCACAATAGTTGTGGTATTATTAAAGTCACTACTGCGCACGCCCAGATGATTTCTTTAATAATTTGCGACTAAGTAAGCAATTTAGCCCAAAGGTAGTGCAGGTAGTTACAGTTGGTCGTTTCCATGACTATGAACAATTAGTCAAATTGACTGCGCACGCTCAAGCGCATGCGCAGATGATTTCTTTATTAAATTGTTACTAAGCATGCTATTTACTTCAAAATCGGTACTAATCAATGAAGTCTACAACAACTGGAAGGCTAACTTGGACGCCATCTTTGAAGCCTGCATGAGCGCCGCCATTGAAGGTACGGAAGCGAAATACATCACTTCGAAATTGCCGGATTTTTTGCAAAAAACAGTGGTCTTCAAGCCAGCTTAATGTTTAAAAATCTTAAACAATGTTTGGACTTTAATATAAAACAATTTTGAACGACATTTGTACATGTTTAAGCTTCTTTTTAGAAGGATGAAAAGCAAACTTTGTTTTGACACGTGAAAGCATGCCTTATAACTTGAATACAAAACTGACACCCCTCGATTTTTTTCATTAAAAGGATGTAAAACATACTTGTCTATCCTTGTAATATTGCTTGAATCTTTGAAAATGAAGCTGTCAGGGCAAAAAAACGCTGTTTTTTGGTAATTTTTGTGTGTCCGAGCAAAATTAGCTCGCCCCAGTCCTTTTTGAAAGTTCAGAGCGTAAACAAAAAGAAAAACACTTTGCAGAATATTTCATAAAGTTAGCAAAAAAATATTTTGAGTTCGTTTTAAAAAAAACTGTTATGCCATATTATTGTGTTATTATTAATTGCACCATTAAGGAGTCGAAAGGGATAATACCCAATTAAAAAAAAAAAGACAAAAACACAATTGACACTCCATATTCATAACTTTTGAAACACTTAAGTAAAAATTGTAATGTAATTCAAGTATTAAAAAGATTATTAGCCTAATATTATAGAATCATCATATATTTTCACAAATATGACCAAACATTTTAAACACACATCCTAAAATTTAATATATTACATATACATTTATCATCATATGTATTACAAGAAAAAACTAATTTTATATTCAATATGATATACTATAAAATATACTATGATACATGATATAGCTTTGCTTGCTTTATAATCATTTTAAAACCCTGGTTCAAACCACTGAGGATGAGGGTTGATTTTTGGCCTTTATGTAGAGCAGGTTATATTAGCAATACTTGTCATAGTGTACACTTGGCTATTTATTTATAAACATGAACTTGCTGATAAAATGCTCAATACATAAATATGGATGCATGTCAAATCTTCCACCAGTTCTTAAGAAGTGAGAGAAGTAAACGACAAGAACCAACAATCATCCACAATTCAAAATTTCAAATCATCAGTTTCACACATTACAAAAAGAGCATGTGAAATTCTTACAAAGCAAGTCTAACTTTGAAAGCAATAAAATTGTTATGAAACATGTTACATTAAGTGGATTGTGTGTATTTTGCACAGCATTCAAAGATACAGACTACCTGTTATCAGTTTATCTTAAATTTTTGGTCTTTCGACGACAAATGAGAAATTCATATTTCGAAACAAGTTCTCCCTTTTATGTTTTATATAATACAGCGTTACGTATACAAAACATGTCTTGGAACGTCCACAATGCATCTTAACACATTAATAACCAAATTTTGCTAACAGTTTTGAAAAAAATAAAGCATTTAGGCAAGCAGTTTTTGCAAAACAATCCGTCACGCAAATAAAACAGTCCACGCGAGATACACGCGAAGCGGCAAATCAGCTTCTATGTGGCTTCAAACATGACTAGGTTTGTTTATAATGAGTTAGCCTTCCAGTTGTTGTAGAGTTTACTGGTACTAATAGATGTAGTTGGTCCGTTGTCATGACCATTGAGCTCTATAAGACCTGGAGGGGCAAAGGGGCCTGGGCCTCGTGGTCAAAAACATGGCGGTAATGGCGGATTTTGGTGGTCAAAACTTCCACTTTAAAAATTTTTTTCAATATTCACTCCCTCCTGATTTCTAATACTGTTTGTATGGACGAAAACAAGTGAGAAAAAAAAACAATTACGATACCGACAGCATATCATGTGAAAATAATGCTTCAGCATTGCGTGAAAAACACAGTACAGACACATCAAAATAAAGAAGATCGACGGTAGAGAAACGCATATTTTGGATGTAACATTTAAGTTATTTTATGACATTTTAGCCTTTTAAAAGTGAAAATCAAACGGCATTCTTTACTAGACCTGTCAATCTCGTCAAACTTATACATTATTTCATGCTTTTGTGTGTTTGACTGTTTGTCAACAGTTTGGTGCACCTATTTTCTTGCTTCAAATGGATAAATCTGTGTAAAAATGCTCCTAAGGAAGCGAGAAAATGTTTGCTTCAGTCCTACGACATAAGTCAACTAAAAATTTACCATGGTTAAGTATCATAAGTGTATTGTCATTACCTGATAAATCTACTGAAAACTCATAAAGAAAGTATGTTGAACTAGAAGAGCTACAAAAAAGAAAAAAATTCAAAACACCATGACACTGTTGCTTGGTAATTTGTATTTTGTAAACAGCTTGGCAGAATCTTGGATCTATTACTGAACAGAACTACATTAATTTTCCATTGAAATTACAAACTTGGAAACTAAAGTGCATTGGTTTCTCTGACAAAAACACTGTCTATTGCTGCATGAAGGCAAAATAGTTATCTGACAGTGTAGGTGAAGAAATTTATCAAGTTCTATAGATATTATTGTGCATTACTTACAGTTTTTTGGAATTGTGTAATATATGTCATGAACAAGATATAATTTTTCAAAAATGCTAACCCCTTCGAGCACTACTACTCTTCTGTTTTGCTTAAACAACTTACAGCTACCAATACTAATTATTTATATGTACAAACTAACATTTGGGAATTAAATGATAAACAACTTGTTAAATCTTTGTATTTTACATCAAGCCTTTGAATTAGTTCCTTTTATCTTTTGGTAAAAAAATATTAATGAAAGACTTACAAATCAAGTTTCTTGAAAATAGTATTTTGTACAAAGAAACTAAATAATTGGAAAGGTCACATGTTGAAGACAGACTTTGCTTCTTTGACTAGGTTGCTTGACCATGAGCAAATTTAAATTTGTTTACAATTTGTTTAAAGAATTCTTTTTATAAATTTCTACTAATTCTTCATAAGACACAAAGAATTTCTTTGCCATCTATTTTTGCTTCTTCTACATCCAACTTCATTGTAACCAATGCATCCGATGTGAATTTGTGGATCACCTGGAATCATAACAAGTATGGATTTGATGAGATGAGACAATAATATGTTTAATTTTTCATGCATATTGATATAATCATAATATGCAACAAATCTTAGCACATTGCTCAACACACTACTTTTATCTTGGTTTTGAAGTAGTAACCAGTTTACTATAACAATAAATACTTCATTTACAGAAACGCTAAGTAGTACTTTAAAACTGTTTGCATAAATCCAACTTTCCAACCCATTATAATTGTCTACACTATACATTCAGTCAAATTGAGCAGGCAAACAGTTTAATAGTTATTTTATTATACAACATATACCATAGTTCTCATTAATTTTGCATGGCACTGCATTCAATTTCAACACAACTCTGTTGTAAACTTTCCCTTCATCTTTTCAAAAACATGAACAAATTATGCCCATTTTGGGAGGTAAACTCAATTCAAATCAGGAGAGTTTAGCTTGATGCCTTGAACATGATACAAGATGGATGCAAAACTCGATAAAAATTGACAGCTTCGACATGTCTGGCGAGCGATTAAGTGAAGAACAAACAAGACTGGACCAAAATAACTTTAAATTAAAACTTAGTAGTAGAAACACTCTTCAAGTATCGTGTTAAAAACAAAATAGTAAAACTAATACTGTGCTACTTACCGGAGTCAAGAAATGTTCCCTTTTCTGTCGCTATTTCAGCATCCGCAAACCACAGAAGTTGGCAGTTTAATAAATAAAATTTTAATAAAGTGTTTATGTTAGGAAAATAAATAGTTTTGATATTTTCTAAACTCGCAATTGTGGTGGTCAAATCAGGGTGGGCGACAAAAATTTTATTTCATGAGCCCGCGTCTCTCCGCTGACTTTGACCACCAAAATCCGCCATGTTTTTGACCACGCGGCTGCGCGCTGATAATTTATAGTAATTTTGCTGACGTTTCCCCTCCAGGTCTTATAGAACTCAATGGTCATGACCACGAACTTGGGCAGCTAGTCAAGTGGACTGCACTTGCTCAAGAAAACTGCGCATGCGCAGATGATTGATCTGAAAATTTTTTGACTGAGCGAGCTAATTATTCCATTAATTGGTGCTACTACATCCAATTAGTCGTTGCCATAACCATGAACATGGAGAGTTGGTGGAGTTGACTACGGATGCTTAGATGCATTTTCAATTAATTTGAAATTAGCGCTTTTAGATGCGCTTATCAAGTTTTCAATCATTTATTTTTGCTTGTTTTGACAAATGCAAATCAAACCCATAAATACTTTGTTATGGCTCTTGCAATATCTGTGACAGCGTTAGAGATGTTTTTATTTACTCTAACACCTTCTGCCTTTATAATTAGTCGTTGTAGATTTCTAAAATATGATTTACAAACGCCCCAAGAGCATCTTCTTTCTATTTTATTGCCACTATTCTACATATACAATACTATGTCCGACCGTTTGATTGTCCGAATTGATCTCGTATTTTTGACGCGTGTGTTTACCGAGGGAAAGGTTGATTTTTAGATACTTTTTGGAACAGCAAATGGCAGCAGTTTATCTTATTCCTATAGTGTCTGCTGAGATAGCCGATCTGAATGCATGCCATTTTTAACGCCAAGTCGTGCAATTTTTTTAATGTGCTTGCTTCGCTATTTGAGTGATATTTGAGAGGGGCATTTCATATAATGTGTAATTGTTGTACCTCCTACATCCATTTTAAGTTTTATCAACCGCTTTTCTCCACGATTAGAATGTGATATTTGAGAGTGGCATTTCATGTAATGTGTAATTGTTGTACCCCCTACATCCATTTTAAGTTTTATCAACCGCTTTTCTCCACGATTAGAATGTGATGTTTGAGTGGCATTTCATGTAATGTGTAATTGTTTACCCCTACATCCATTTTAAGTTTTATCAACCGCTTTTCTCCACGATTAGAATGTGATGTTTGAGAGTGGCATTTCATGTAATGTGTAATTGTTGTACCTCCTACATCCATTTTAAGTTTTATTAACCGCTTTTCTCCACGACTAGAATGTGATGTTTGAGAGTGGCATTTCATATAATGTGTAATTGTTGTACCTCCTACATCCATTTTAAGTTTTATTAACCGCTTTTCTCCACGATTAGAATGTGATGTTTGAGAGTGGCATTTCATATAATGTGTAATTGTTGTACCTCCTACATCCATTTTAAGTTTTATCAACCGCTTTTCTCCACGATTAGAATGTGATATTTGAGAGTGGCATTTCATGTAATGTGTAATTGTTGTACCCCCTACATCCATTTTAAGTTTTATTAACCGCTTTTCTCCACGATTAGAATCGATCATCGACTGCTTCTAGCAAATCATCGAAAGCTGCCGAGAAAACAGCGTATCTTAAAAAGGTATCGAATCACTTCATTGTTAAAACGTTTCATGGTGGGATGTTAAAATCATTTTTTTGTCATACATACTTGTTAAGGCCCGTTCACACGATCCCATTTTGTCGGATCCGAAAAAAATAGATCGTTTGAACACGTATAAAGTGAGCTTTCGACAGTCGGATTCTTCAATCAAATAGATCACATAGAAATAGAATTTGCTCTATTTTCATCCAGCAAGATCAAAGGAAGCCGACAAGTGAAATTACGTAGATTTGAAAAAGACTTTGAAACAAGACTTGGAAACAAGTACAAAGATACAAAAAATATATCGATAAATGTACTGGATAGCACAAACGGTTGCTCACACGACTTTAAATATCTAAACGAATATATACATCAACAAAATTATCGGACCGTCTAAACAAGCAACCAAACCCGTGTGAACGGGAGGCTTTTATATTTTCCTTTCCAAGAGTTTATTCTATTCCTTCCTGTTTATCCAACGGTATCCTTACGCTTATTTCATTGCTCATCCTTTGTCCTTATGTTTATACCTTGCTATCATTATCTACCCCTAGTCTCGTACTAAACATCAACTTCTACAACAGGCATTAAAGCTTCTTGGAACGGAAAAGTTTAGCGAATTATCGGATGCTATAAAGCAATTTAAACAGGTAAGTTTGTTGGTGTGTTTCTACGGGGGGATGGAGTCTTTTCATTTTACTTTTAGATCTTGCAACACGTTAACAAGATCTTTACCAAACCTGCCCAAGGTTGGTGGTGACAACACACGTCACCACCAACATAACCACATCAACCCGCAAATCAACTAAATTATTCTCTTTCATTTTGACGATATAGAATAATGATTTTGAAAGATTTCTGTTCTTTATGATGACAATGTTGCTCAAAGAAAAGAAGTTTTATGAATTATTTTTGGGTAAGACATCATTACAGCTACGTGAGTATTTCTGTTTGTACGTATAACACCAAGAGTAGACCTCAAGGTCGAGATGAGAACACATTATTTGCCATTGACTCGTGAGAAAAAGATCTGTTGTTTTAATTATGTTGTTTTTAATGATTTCCCGCTTTAGTTGTGCGTTGTGTGCAATTCAAGGTTTTCCTTGTCCTTAAATTTTTAAAAATGTCCTGGAAAAGGCTTAGATTTCATTGCTTTTGCAATGTGCAAACTCTTGATTAGGTGATGACAGCGTTTATGATGTGTGAAACGCCAGTTGTTTGTACATGGTTAAATGTTTGGTAGGGCCTTGAGCTTGTGTTAAGATTGTTTAGACACTCCTGTCGGAGCAGGATGAGATGATTTTAGAATCATCTCATCCTGCTCCGACACATTCGACCTCATGATCCACGAAAGTCTCCTCATCTCCAAACTAAAACCTTCACTTAACACCCTAGGCAGCTCCTTCCCTCTTAAGCTTTTCTAGTCTCAACACCTCACCCTAACAATACATCACATCACACATTCACAGTAATCTGATACCTCAAGCTATGTAAATAACTATATATAGATCTATAATTCTTCTTAACTTCCTTATTAGTCTGAAGATGTCTTGAGTAACGACGAAACGTCTTTATTTTAATAAAATTCATAAAGCCAAATTGTTTATGACTTTGTTTAAAATTATATGTTGTGCTCTAATATTTATATTGAGAATCCGTTTCCCGCCTGGCACTTTATTGCCAACAATATTGTTTAGACACTTGGATACTACCAATTTGACCTTAAGAATTTAATCGTTTCACGAATCATCTACAAAATTGTGCCTTAATTTTCTTCTAGGTTTTGCTGAGAATCTAAGGGGATCAAACAGAGCAAAGTTTCTTGAGAAATTCACTGATATTACTGGCGAAGGTAAAATGTCTGTCTTCATCAACGTTTGAACTTATGTCCGATTGATAATTGTCTTTCTAAAAATTTTCAGCTGTACCGGATGAATATGAAAAAAGAAAGAGATCTGAACCTACACAAGAGCCTGAACCGGACGTTTCTTCTACAAAAATACGTAAACTTAGTTGACATACGTGTACACGAGCTGAGAGAATTTTTCAGGCGATTTAATGAATTTCAAATACTGTGATGCTCTTTCTAAAGATAGTTCAAAAAAATGGCTAATCTATACAACAGATTGCTTGGGATTCGCCCTCTGAAGCCCGTTTCAAATAAACGGTGTATCTGTATACATGCCATCGAAGAAAACGCTTAACTAAACTTTTGAAATTACAACGAAGTATGGCTTTTTGTCATTTTGTCAAAACGCTTCCTAGAACATTTGCCTTTGTACAAAATGTTGAATCAACGGTTGCATTGGCACCACATAAACAATAAAACCTTTCTCTTTACACTAGGTTTGTGTTAACCTTTGCAGTACAAATTTACAATGTTCCTTGATAGATTTGTAGCTATGGAATTCCATAGCATAAGAATTTCACCAATAAAGCGTTTTGCTTATAAAACTGCCGACGGAACCGAACCAGCCTTGGTTCTCTTTGTCCTGCGATTTTTTTACTCGAGCCAATGCCTGCAAAACGAGGGTCCTGCTGAGCATTTTTTATCTAGTTTAAAAAATTTATGATTTGGCGATTTACGCGCCATACCGTTTTGGTTGCTGGAGCTTCGTCGTCTTCTGGAAGATAATCGGGAAGATTTTGACTGCTCAAGAGCGTAGCTTTTGTTTTGGCTTTTGTTGTGACTAACCGACTTGAAACACAAATTCATCTGAAATCAAACAAGGTGGCTTTAGCATAACATCTTCGATAGCCTTAACTAATTTTGAGAAATTGTCGGTGAAATTTATTAGCTCGACGTATATCGGGGATGGTGCCTCGAAAGCACTTCAACCTATACAGTTTTTCAACACAGTTTCTCGTCAAATAACTTGTAAAAACGATACGTCTAAGTTTAACTGTATCCAGATTGATTCTTCAATTAGGCAACAAAATATAGTTTATCTTCTCAAAGAAGCAAGAACTAAGTATGGACAAAACATATTACAAGTCTCCTACCTCTTCGCCTTGTTCATTTTTCACAATTTGTTGTGCTGTGAGTAATTTTGTTTTATTTATGGTCTGACAAATTGTCTCCGCTGTTGTCTCTGGTCTTGCTCGAACTATACAACGTGATTTGGTCATGTCAAAGGTAAAACTCACGAGGCCACGGACAGTGAGCAATTGTTCTTCGCAAATACGTTTCGTTATCTAGTTAATATCGAAATAACATTAAATAAGTCGATATTACGTTCCGTTTTCTTCGATATAATTGCGATCGAGGTTCACGTTTTAATTGAATGGGGGTTTGGAAAAAACCTCTGATTACTTTTGGACCTTATTTTAATTCGGATAGAAACTTGAGCACACTTTATGATTACAATTTACAAAGACATAAGTGCCTGAGGCAAGGTTTAAACAATTTAAAAATTGAGCGTTTTTCATTGTTCTAATATTCAAGATCGATTTTCAAGATGGAGTGAAGTAAAGTGAATGGTTTGAACCAGGGAGTATCGTTACATGTTTGTAAATGTAGATTGTCCAGGTTGGTATAGTCCTGAGAAGGACTGTTTTTGTTGTTGTTGACTGACGTTTCAACAGCCTTAGTGGTAGTCATCTTCAGAGTCAAAGAGTGTTTTTTTTTTACCCTGAAGATGACTGCAGTTGTCTATACATCAGTGAACACCAACAGTCCTTCTCAGGACTCTACTAACCTGGACGAGCTACATCTACAAACATGTAATGGAGTGAATTGTTGTACATAAACAAATGCACCAACCTGACTTGTGAGGCCTTTAATCTGTATGGTATATGTTTTTGTTCTTCGAGACGTGTTCCCTAAGACTGATGGTGGACGACTAAACATTGTTGAAAGAAGAGTTGTCTGTCAATTGTGATATGCTTTAAAGAAATTGGTTTCAGTTCTGGTCACATTATGGTTACAAACAAATATTTGTTGCATTAAATTACCTTGAAATGTTGGTTGTGGGTCGTGCTTGCTGTTGGTGTGAATGGTTCAAGGTGCCATAGATTTCTGTGGCTAATTGTTTGGCTTTAACATCATTCCTGAAGACATTCAGGTAAATTCAATGGGTAAAGTTTAAAATTTATTGCTTGCTTAAACTGAAAACCTCATACTTTTGTACCTGTGCATGATGGCTCTCAAGCTTTCTAACATTCCCAGTTCTTTTTTCATAGCATTTCTGTTAGGCTTGTGTTCAGAGAGATTCTTCAAAGCCTTGATATGTTTTAAAAATTGATGAAGTTAATTTTTTAGCTCAACTGGCAAAATAGAAGTTATTTTAGTAAAAGTTTCATGAAATTGGTAGTGAGTCAAGATAAATAAGAACTTCTAGAAATCTTTTGACTGAATTATTACAATTGCTTGTGTGGAGCTTGTATGTGAAGACATGTTTGTACACCAAGTTTATTATTTATCATGAGAAAATGCATCTACCATCATCCCTCAGTTTAACATCCAAGTACCTGTAAAGCTGTTGTAATCACATACGTATCACTGTTATCAAGGAATAGCACTAGACCGGCAAGACAGCCTCTGTCCTACAATATAACAGACAGTGTAATACGGTCTAAATGAAAAGATAAACATTGCATTTTCATTCACCTTACCTTGACAATCGTTGATCTGTTTTGAGGATCATCAGACAACTGTTTCAAATGGTCGACGAGAGCTCTTGCTTCCATTTCAATTAATAAAGTAATTTCGGCAACAATAGTTGTTCAAAAAGCGAAATTTTTTAAAGATGATGAATGCTTTCTTTGCTCTGTGATGAACAAACGGACATACGAAAATTGAATATACCTCGCTTTGATTTGATTGGTCGTTGAAAAGAAATAGCATTTGTGATTGGTTGAAATATTAAAACACCCTCGCCACGCACGATTTCAAACGGTACACACATCAAATTTCAAAAGCCACGAAAATTCAAACACAATGGAACCCGAAGGTGACTTGAATATTCGCGAGGAAATATTGCATATTTTAAACCATTTATCCGAGATACTTCGACGGCTATGGCAAACAGACGAAGGGGAAACTATATTTATGGTACTTATATTTTATTTTGCTTAATAACATGTTAAAATTCTTTCATTCATGGAATTGTTATCCTCCATTTATCAGAGATGGAAACCGTTGTTTCTTCGAAAAAATGGTGAAAAAAAGAGCGTGTTACGATACGTTAGCAATAAACTACCAGCTGCCATTTTCTTCGCCTTTGATCCGCTATGGTCCTATTCAAGAAGTATTCGGGCGCACATGATGACGAGGAAAAGTTTCATTCGCAAAATTGCCACGAGACTACCTCTTCAACCCAGCAAACGACCATATTTTTATGTGAGTTATTGCGTCAGTTTGCCATTTTAATTTTAAACTTTCGCATTTTTAAATTTGTAAAACTTCTTTCAGTTTACAGCACATTAGGTCTGATTTTATGAACAATTTTGCCAAATTTATCATGTCAACTCAATAATTTCACCAAACGTCCAATAATGTCCAAATTTCTGATTACAGATGCTTCATCAAGCTGGTGTGGGACAACATGGGATGAATTTAAAAAGTGAAAGATTTATTCACAGCACGCCATGTCGTAATACATTAATCACTCCTGATTGTGACGTATGGGACAGTATGGTTGATGATCATGAAGATACTCGTCATGTATCTTTCGCAATTTCTAATGATACTGTGCAGAAAATCACAGCATTGGAAGATGAATTGAGTCGATTGAGAGCACAGATTGCTGGCTTTGTTTTGAAACAAGATGCAAATGATGTTCCTGGTATGAAAGTTATGTTTCAAATGTTTAGAAATGATAGTCGTACTTAAAAAAATGTCATGTGCAATCTTGAGTTGCAGAATTTGCTTTAATATTTGTTGCATGTGTTGCTTTTTATGATACATTAAAGTTGCACATGTTATCTTGAATGTTAAACACATGACTTGACCATGTGACCTCCCTAGAGTTGCACATGTTATCTCAAATGTTAAACACATGACTTGACCATGTGACCTTCCTAGAGTTGCACATGTTATCTCAAATGTTAAACACATGACTTGACCATGTGACCTCCCTTGAGTTGCACATGTTATCTCAAATGTTGAACACATGACTTGACCATGTGACCTCCCTAGAGTTGCACATGTTATCTCAAATGTTAAACACATGATTGACCATGTGACCTCCCTAGAGTTGCTCGTCAAACCCTTGACCTTTTCAACTGTTTCATTTCATGATTATACTCGACCTAGTCCTTTTAATGTCAGTCAAAATATTAAGGGTTGTTTGACCTACCATTGCTTGACTATTTTATTGAAGATGGTCGTTATTCCAACATGACCATTCAACATCATGCTAGCTGTAACAAAAGTTACATTTCACTATAAGCTTTTATTAATGTTTCATTTTTTATATTTCATAGGTAACATGGCACCACCACCTCCGCTACCCCCACCTCCTCCACCTGCACCAACTTCCACCAGCATAGTAGCCACTCCTCAAAAGGTACAGAGCATGATTGTCTTTTAAAGTTTTAATTTATTGTTTTTAGAAGTGTTAGACATACAAAAACATATTTTACAGTAGAATGAAATATCCAAATTGTTGAATATAATTTTTGGTCAAATGCTTGAAGATTATGATCTCTAGGTGTGTCAAAGTTGGTTTACAATAACTATTTACGGCACCCCTCTCAGTCTACAATGACCATTAGGCACAGCACTGTTAATGCTGACCACCACCTTCTTCACTGTTGGTTGACCATGACCACCACCAACTTAAATGTTGGTTGACCATGACCACCACCACCTTCACTGTAAGTTGACCATGACCACCACCTATGTCACTCTTGGTCGTCCATGACCACCACCTACATCACTGTTGGCTGACCATTACCACCACCTTCTTCACTGTTGGTTGACCATGACCACCACCTCGTCACTGTTGGCTGACCATTACCACCACCTTCTTCACTGTTGGTTGACCATGACCACCACCTACGTCACTGTTGGCTGACCATTACCACCACCTTCTTCACTGTTGGTTGACCATGACCACCGCCAACTTAACCTGTTGGTTGACCATGACCACCACCTTCTTCACTGTTGGTTGACCATGACCACCGCCAACTTAAATGTTGGTTGACCATGACCACCACCTTCTTCACTGTTGGTTGACCATGACCACCACCTTCTTCACTGTTGGTTGACCATGACCACCACCTTCTTCACTGTTGGTCAACCATGACCACCACCTTCTTCATTGTTGTTTGACCATGATCACCGCCAACTTAACTGTTGGTCGGGCATGACCACCACCTTCTTCATTGTTGTTTGACCATGACCACCACCTTCTTCACTGTTGGTTGACCATGACCACCACCTTCTTCATTGTTGTTTGACCATGATCACCGCCAACTTAACTGTTGGTCGGGCATGACCACCACCTACGTTACTGTTGGTCGACCATGACCACCACCTACGTCAACGTTGGTCGACCATGACCACCACCTACGTCACTGTTGGTTGAGCATGTATATAACCAGTTTAAGAAGCAGGTTTTATTTGTATACAAACGTTAAGTGGTACCACGCAGTTTTCCTTGAAAAGAAGTTTTTTGACTGCATGTGTATATATATATATATATAACATATACAAAGTGTATATATATACATATATATATACTTGACGTCTGTATGAAAAATATATGAAAAATATTTTTTGAAAGTGCAACACTGGCACTGCATCATTGTAAAATTTCTTTGGTTTTATTTTAGAACACAGTTGAGAAAATTTCTGACAACCGTAAGAATAAAGACAAGGGTGTCCTAAACATGGCTACGATACTAAAAGATTTGAATCAAGTGAAATTGAAAGCAGTTGAACGGTAAACTTTCAAATTTACTACCGGTGTTTTAAGATACTGCATTGATTGTGGCTTTATCTTCGACTCATTGGCCAATGACCTCTTTGCATTAATCGATTAAGCTCAGAGTCACTTCGAAAAATGGATGAGAAACGCTTCTCTTTTTTTAACGATCATTCACTTTTTTACATTTAGCCGAAACAATACATTTAAATTAGTTTAAGTTGTGTGCGCATGCGTGCATTATAAGTTGTTCGTTGTATTTTAGATCATCTGGGGTACACCTATACGTAGAACCGAAAAATACATTTCAATTAGTTTAAGTCGTGTGCGCATGCGTACATTACAGGTTGTTCATTGTATTTTAGATCACCTGGGGGTACACCTATACGTCGAGCCCCGCTTAAAGTGAAGAAAAGTGATCCAGCATCTATTATCGCCGATGCTTTGAAAAACAAGTTTGCCAAGTCAAGAATGGCTACCTACTCACCAGGTATTTTTGTCCTCTTTGTTTGCCGTTATGTTTTATGTTGAATTCATGTGTTAGTACATCGTATCTTAAATATGGAGCTCATGTGTTGAGATAATTTTTTTGCTTTAAGACAAGGAGAACCAAAATATGAACAGTCCAGGAAATTCATTTAACAACACACCAAGTCCACAGCCGTTATTCAAAAAACCACTTTCAAACAAGGTATGTCACATGTACTTCATGTTAGTTACTTCAATGGTTTTCTCTACATTTACGACATACATATACAAAAATTTTGCCTCGAATATGCTACTCATTGCCTACGTATGTGTTTTCAACCTAGAAAAATTTTGAAATTGAACGGCAACCCTCCCGAAGTAGCCACCAAAATGTAATCTAAATACCCTCACACTTCCGTTCAAAATAATTATGGCTCCATAAAAACAAGCGTCAGCTCCGACAAAATTTTCAAGTCCGAAAATTCAACTTTTAACACACTGCTCCTCACTTTCCCGCCAGAGAAAAAACGCTCTCAGATGTTAGATAATTACGTTATCTAATGTCTGGGTTAATAATGACAATTTGGTTCTCATTGTCTTATCTGATGACGGAGGAAACGAAATATTGGAAGTGCGAATTGTGCAACACCGGCCATTTGTTATTGTAGCAGTACCTAAGTTTTTACTTTTTATCTTCGACAATATTTACCGATTTTTTCTTTATCTTTTTGTCGGAGTTTTTACACATTTATTGAATAGGAGTTTCACTTAACTCTCACAACTCTCGCATATAATCACAACCGGAGTTTTAGTTTTAACTGAACAACGTTTCGGGCTTTAGAAAAATACATCATTACTCCGTCTCAACTATGTGCACACCACTGCAACTGAGGGGAGGGTTAATAAAGATCTCATTGTTGGATTCAGTGATAAATATTTATTTTTAGCCAAATCAAAGAAATCTTTCACTGGATGAGGTGAACTCCATACCAATGCGTGTTTAAAATTCTTCTTCGTGCAATATTATTGCGAACAGGAAGGGAATTCCATTTTAATACATCTACAAAATCTAGAGCGATATCGAGATTTGGCCATTTTATCTTGATGGTTAAATAACAGTCTGCATTTTACGTTGCGCGCCACGCAAGTACGATGGAAAGTGCGCCTGCGTTATAACTGTACATACGTAGCATATAATTTGGCAACTTTTGATATAAATACAATTGTGCAGTAAAAGAATTTTGGCCTGTTATATATTTATAGATCAGAGACGTGTGTCCCATAGTCTATGACATTTATACATGTACGTATCCATTGATTATACGGACTTTGGATATTTTGAAAGATCATCCCATCATAATGAAGACTGACAACTGCGTCAACTTTAGTGAATCGATTAAACATTTCTCATCATAGACATTCGCATTGCCATTTTCTCCTGGTTATATGTGTTAGATTTAATTTTGCTAAACTTCTGTCTGGAAAATCTGTCTGCCTAAGCCAGGAATATGAAATCGGGAACTCGTTGATGTTTTTTGATGAGACGTTTTGTCTTCAAGCATGAGTCGTTATGTTATCAAAAATGTCTGAATGAATCAAATCTGATGCTGAAACGCGAGTCCATTACATAGACCAGTCTAGTGTTTTCATTAGGAGTGATCTGATGTTGAAACTTGAGTTCTTATATATTCCAGTCTATTGTCTTCATCAAAAGTGATCTGATGTTGAAACTTGAGTTCTTATATACTCCAGTCTAGTGTCTTCATCAAAAGTGATCTGATGTTGAAACTTGAGTTGTTATACACTACTGTTCTCTTCGGGAGTGATTTTATCGCTTCAATCCTTATACACTCTAATCTGCTATCGCCATTAGAATAAAACTATTCATTAATAGATTTAAGACGTTATCTAAACTGAAGATTTTACCACGTTCAAAAAATTTGAGTTATTAATTATAAGCTTATAGTTCATTACGAATGGAAACATTGGAAACCAAGATATAGTGTTCTTACATGAAAAACGATGTATGTCTGTTTATATGCGAGCATCTTTTTTTCTCTACATGTATATAAGTATTCAAAAAGTCCACAATTTGCTGCTTCTAGCTTAAGGCATTAAAAACAAATTCAAGAGTGAAAATATGACGATAGACAAGAATCCATTACATCTATGACCTGATGAGGAGTATGTGGCAATCCGGGGGGGTTCTGGTCTCAGGTCGGACGAAGACGAAGGATAGGTGTCACACCACGATCGTTGTTGATTTCTCACGGTGTTCAAAATCCTCCAATTAGACGAGTGTGACAATGTACGGATTGGTTTGTCAAGACTGAAATATAAAAGTTTCAAACAACTATAAAAGTGGACAGCACAATCAGTTGAAGGGGAGGATGAGAATAACTGAGTCACTATGAATGACAATTCACAATCTTCAATGAATTTCAATCCATACATCCGAAACTGATTTCATTAATGAAAAAATAATAAACTATTGTAATATGTATATATAAATTATAATATCAAAGAATCTTGGTGTGCACATTATGTAATGGTTGCCATGCTGGATGATTTTAATAAAGCATTTTCCTCATTTACAAAGCCAATGTCACGTGTAAATTTCATTGTTCTTTCACTTCAAGGAAATGGTTGCACAGTACTTATATATCAATATGACTTACCAGTCATGGATTACTTGATGGCAATCGTGTTTATCCAGTTTTATCAAGAGCTCAGTTTCGTCTGCTGAACAGTATGTTGCTTCACAATGGATTTCAGCTATTTGTGAAACACAAACATCTGAAAGAATTCTTTTTCCATTGCTGTATCGGGCTTTGCGCAAAACTGACGTTTGATATGTGAGAGACCTTCTTTGATAATCGTCAAGGAACTCCGCTGGCATCTAAAAATAAGTTGAAAATATCGTTACAGAAACGGTATCTAATATGACATTAATTTCTGATGATGTTTAAAACTGATCGTCTCAATAATTTCATTAACTTATCATTTTAAGAAATTTGTGTTGCATGTAGCGGTCTATATATAATATATTAATCCTAACACGGTTTTATATGCACGTGAAAAACATGTGACTTGGACGAGTTTGAACTCGACCTTCGGAATACTAGTCCGCCGCTCTACCTGTTGAGCTACCAAGCCCACAGGGATGGGAAACGAGTCAAATCTCTTTTTAAACTGCGTATGGACGAGAGATTCTCGTCACTATAGCAGTTTACTGGATGGCACCGTGTTTCGACTTTATTCCAAACCCATCATCAGAGAATATATAAATTATATTATAGGCTTTGGAAGAATGTAACGGTCTTGTAATAATACAAGAAATTCTATTGTCACGGCATGTAAGAAAAATGAAAAACATACATACGAACATGTTTTCAGTTCAAGGTAAAATTTTCATGGTCTATTTTCAAAAAGTACAACTATATCGAAAATTCTTGTTTTTAGAAAGAACGAAGTTATAAGTCTTTTAATTCTTCTCAATCGATCTGTTCCTATTCTAGAACGAAGATAATTTATAGCAGAGAATTAGAAGAAAAGAAACAATTTTCATTCCTTTTTTGTAAATTCCAAATGCACGATCACAAATAGCTATATATTATTCATACACGTGGTTACATACCTTAAACATTGGCTGTGGACAAACACCTCTAACGTATGCATTATTTGCAACACATCGACTGTTTGAACGTTTCCCTTTTATTAACTTTGGGCAAAAGTTGTTCTTCATCAAACTATCGACGAGTGTTGAAGGACAACGAGAGTAAACTTTGTTACACAGCCTGTTGACATCACCATAATTTCGACTGTAATCGCTTTCTGAACATCTTGGGGTCACTTGTGAACATAAGGCTTCTTTAAGAGCATTTATACATGGAAATAAATAACCTGTTTGGCGATAGAAATTGAGTGCTTGTGAAACGATGTCGTTTCGCTGTTGGTAAACTTTGGCGATGTACGTATTCAATGTCCAGTTCAATGTACAAGGACTTGCACTTTGTACGGAAACACATCCCTCTCTTTTCGAAAATACATAAAGTTTTCCATCGGGCGCTTTTCGTTTCACGATGTTGCACAAGGAGACATCGATAAGTAACGTCTGTAGAAGAAAAAGCAAAATTATTTCTTTATAAGAATGTGCCATTATTTTTCAGTGAAGTATAAAGTTGCTCTCAGCACGTCTGTCTGGAAAGATGCACAGAATTCAATATCACAATTACCTTCTATACAGCTATATTGTCACTGTTGCAAAACCATATCCGAAAATCCGTAATTTGCATGATTGCGTGAAAGCGGAAGTCTTCAACGCAAATAATTTTATAGCTAAAGGGATAACGCTGGTGCTTTCTTTACTTCAAGTATAATAAATGACAAAGCTCGAATATTTTCTTTTTTGTAGAATATTCCCACTGATAATCGACCACAAGTATTATCCTGCAACAATTGCAGGAAGAGCTGATGCCAATTTAAGACATTTTGCTCCGAAAAAATACGTTCTTGTAAATGCACGGGTAAATTTTCGTGATTATTAGTTAACTCTTTAATCAAAAAAGCTAGCTGAAATATGCGTATGTATTATTCATATTCAAGTGCGTTTACGACTCTAAGGCTAACTCTAGCTCTAGTTTGTCCAACTAAAACAACATATTCTTTTGGATCAATATCATAACACCCTTAAAATATTTATAAATCTGATGGAATATATGTTAAAATAAACCCACAATATTTGGTCAGTTAAGCCTAGGCCATACTATCGTCCATATCGGCAAAAATTAGAACGAAAACTGCCGCAACGAAAATCTTGAACGAAAACGCAACGAAAGTTTCGTTTTCGTGCATATTAGGAAGAGTTGAACTTTTGACCTTTTTCGTTAACGAAAACGCATGCAATTGACTTATAATCTAAAACTTAACTACACTAAGATGGCGGGGTTGCGTGAAGTATTAATAAATCTGTTGCGAGAAAAAACAATTTGTCGTCACTCGCAAGTATTTTATGAGTCTGTTTTCTTTGTTCTGTTCTCGTAACTCTTTAATCAAATTGTTAAATAATCCAAGTCGATCACGTCGTTTATTAATTGGGTGAATCTAGTATCGGCCTTTGATTGTCTTGCTAAATGCTTCCTTTCAACTTCAGAAGGAGTAACTTCTTGCAAGAGGAAGACACCATTTCTTTTTTCCTTGTTTTGTTACTGCACAACGGCTACTACAAAGACACATCCAACAATAATACTGTTTACGTTTTAGCTGATCTTTGTAAATATGCTTGCAATTTTACGTCGTGTCTGGCATGTTTTCGTGCACGAATTTTCGTTTTGTTTTCGTTTTCGTGAATATAGACGATAGTGTGGCCTAGGCTTTTTAAGGAGAATGACGAAAGATGCAATATGGTGTTGAATTTCAAATAGATGACTTGCATTGTTTACGGTTTGCTGGCAGGCCCGTTTTGTCAATTATTTTCGGACAACACCATCAAGAATGGTTAACCTCTCTTCGGATTAGTCTGCCGGCTAGCAAAAAAACCAAACATGCAGGTCGTCTACAGTGTTTTTTATCAGTCGCCATGTTATAAAGATTTATGTTAATTTCATGCTTTGTTGAGCATTGCGCGATCGGCACTTCGATGTGCTCCCCCAACATGGCCGCTTGACGTCACATGCAAACACACTACATAGAATATGGAAGTTGTCACTTCAAAGTAAACTCTGCGTACAAGATATTTGGTTTGAAAGTTTTCACAAGTTTAAAGCATTTTGCTAAGCTGGAAAATGTATTGGTTCTCTATACATCCACCACAATTTCAGTTAATATTTTAATATAGTGTTGACGTTATTTAAATTCAAATCAACGAAAGATTTTTATCATTTTCATAATACCGATAAAAACAATGGAATTTTACTAAAAAAATTAAAGAATTCCTTTTAGTTAAACATTTGAAAATTGCTCTCGAAAAATTTTATATCGACGAGTGGCAAATTATAGATGATAAATAACGATGACTGTTACAAATTAGTTGTGACGTATGACTCTGACTGTAAAAGGAAACTGAACGTTAAAAAATTAAAAAAAAAACAAAGCAGAACTTAAATCAAGTTAAATAAACATGTGATCACTGACCAAAAAAGTGCATTGTTCGTATCTTGTTAACACAGTGTTTCGGGAGATACACCCGAAAGCCAAGAAACTAAATTAGAAATGAAAGGTCAATTTTTGTCATATTTACGAACATAGGATAATTATATGTTAGGAAAAATGATAATAGTTTGCTTGACTGCAAATACGGATACTGTTTTTTTTTGCTTCGAAACGAAACTGAGGGAAAACTGGCGGATCCAGTAAAAAACCCTCCAACAAAAGAAAGTCCAAAGTTCAAGAAATTTCATTTCTGTTTTTGATGTTTGATTTTTGTTGTCTTTGGTTTTTGTGATCCCAATGATCTATTTTAGCGTACGAAAACGTAGCTAGCTTACACGTGAGAGTCTTTTAAAAGAAAAGACTCTTTTTTACTTCGCCTGCCCACAAATTTTGGCGTTGATACATGCATAAAAAATTTCGATGGAGAATATGAAATAAACCAGCGCATAATGTTAAACAGACTTTTGTATTGATCAAACAAACGAAAAAGGAAAGTAACAACAAATTATATGCCGTAATATACACAATAAACAAAACGTACATGCATATTTACGAAATACAAAAGCACAAAATAACTTAATTAAATAACCGAAGTGACGTCATGACAAAAACGAAAATCATCTTCGATGTCGCAATTTGACTTTCTTCTATTCAAAATTTCTAGATCTTTTTGAGTTAGAGCATCGTTAATAGCTGGTTTTCACTCGTGATTTTTCTCAGAAAATTTAACGTTAGTGAAAAATCGGTTTTATCAAAATGTTTAGCGAAAGTATTTAAGAAGGAAATTTACACATTCTGCCTAACGAAAGTCACAGAGAAACTCTTTTAGTAAGGACGCTTTCTTCTAGGCGTTTCTGTCCAATATGCTTGTTTATCGATAGTCAAATTCCGAGCTTGAAATGTCCTTCGTCCTATAAGCGGGCCTACAAACATACTCGAAAAAAACGTCACAAACGTCAATATAGTGAATGAGCTAGAGTAGAAATCAAATTAAATGCATTTGAAATACAAATAAAATGCATTACCTGTTATTCGTAAGCTGTCCTTACTAATCTGAGCCCTGGTGACTTAGATAGTTGGTGGATTTTAGTTTGTTTTTTTGTATTAAAAACTTTATCGATCATTTTTCTCTCAAAATGTTAAAGAATGCTGTTTGAAAACGACGATCAACATCCTGAAACATTTTAGCATGCATTTTTCAAAATAGTAAAGAGTGAAAGCCAGCTATTTACTCGCAACGCGTGACCTCCTTAAATAAGAAACGTTAATGGAAAGATTCACTCCCAAAAATCCTAATATTTGAGTTGAAATTGTTTTCGTTAATCAATTGTCAAAATAGACCATCGGGATCCATTTTTCATAAAATCGTACTCATGCGCACTAACTTCAACACTTATCTACTCAACTTACGAACCACAATACCGCGATCATGTTGTTCCATAATGGCCTCCTTTAGCTCTTCGTCCTGTACTGCCCGTTTTCATGATCTAGTGCGAATGTTTCCATACACGCGCATAGGCTGTTACACAACGTTCTTTTCCGCACATGGAGTAACGAACATCTTTAACCAGTAAACAGATATCACCAACTGTCCTTTCGCAACCATGATTTTGTCATACAACGTTCTTTCAGTAACTTTATACAATTTATTGTCCATACATAGATTATCGAACTGCTTTATAACCAATAAAGAACAGATATTATTAACATCTCTTTCTCGAACATGCCCTGTAGACTATATTTGAATTTTGGTGTCAAATTGATCAGACGATACGGGAATTCATAAAATGGCACCGGTTTTGGTTCTAAAATAAAACATCTTGTATAAAATATACATGCAGAAACCTCAATAGGAAAGGATGACTTAAGACAGGCTTGCAGACTTTCCCATCCGTCTCAATCTTACACAGAGAAGAAAATTCTTCGATTTATCAACGCGCGAAGATATTTATCCAGCGTGGGTAAAACAGTTTTACAAGTCATGTTTGTGCAGCATATTTCTCGTTAAACACAGTTTTAAGTTCTGAACAAAAGCTTCTTTTTGCTTGTTTTATGTGCTTAAATTATCGTGTCCTTGTAAACATACAGTGATTAAAAGCTCACAATTCAAAGCGTACTCACGTGATGACTGCCACTGACGCAAAGCCAGATGGGAATGGAAACATTTCACTACCCCAGTTTAATAATCGCTCGAAGAATGTTTTCTGTAGAATCGATCCCATGTGAACGTCAGTTGACAACCCAAAAGTGGGCACATATAACAATGGGGCCCATCATCATTATATGCACAAACAACTGACATCCACAAAGAATCCAAACTACAAATGAACATTTTTGGCCATGAATCACCATGACACATGTAAGAGTAATTGAAGTGAATGGCACAGATGGTTATAAGCTGACAAACAAGTAAGAGTAATTGAAGTGAATGGCACAGATGGTTATAAGCTGTCATAACATGGAGGTCACCAAAGAAATAAGAAAAAAATGTAAATGAAATGTTTTTGAGTTAGACTTTGCAGAACGAGTCACTGCGACCAACTTGTTGATTTCCGTTTGAAAACTCCGTACTTATGCACCAACGTTCTTCATTCGTTCATGGGGAACTTCACAATTGATGTAGATCAACCAGGATTTTCTTAATTCATCATCAGCACAGAAACTTTTTCTCAATTTTTTCACAAATTTACAGATGCCGTTTTACTTAGGTTTTTAGTTATCTATAATCAAGCGCATACTTCTTCTTTGAACAGACAGAGTTCATCTTTACAACGTTTAAACGACCCAATATCTTATGGTTGGAGTACGAACACGCGAATTTAAATACTTTTACACTCATCACTTGACGTCATGACAAATATTTTTCTTTGTGATTGGCTCTCGGGAAGCTTGACATCTTTCCAAAAAGTTTCAATGCTTTCCTTCAATGCTTTTAAACAATGGAAATACTTAAATATTAGAATTTGTAAAACCCTTAGAGTTTTTAATGAGATTAATAGATTACATCATGGTTGGTGAGTACGATTTTTATGCACGAGTTGAGAGGGATTAAAAACAAGATGTCATGTAAAAGAATATTTAATCAATGCTGTTGTGAATGCTATAGTTTGGTAAATATCAAGAGATTTGTTGCAAATTAAGAATTAATCAAGTTCTACGAGCAAGCTTGATGTGAAAAGACTGTGAGATGTCAGAGATGATGCATGCATGGCACAGTGAGAATTGTGAGATTTCAACAAAATTATACAACATGTTGTTTTGTTAGCGTCTAAGAACTTGGAAATATTATATCTACAGAGGGAAGATGGCAGGTCGTTTACAGGTTTGTTTTACAAGCTGCTTTTTTTAAGTGTGCAGACTGCAGAGTAAAAACGACATTAAATCGTATTCAATTTTCTCTATAGATTTGGATAAGCGAAATTATATAGGATCTATAGTTACCATACTTCACAGTTCACATGGAGAACAATGCAAAAGTATTTTAATGGTTGACTATGTTCTGGATTTTATAAACATTAATTCTTTTCAATTGTACCATGAATTGACCATCAAATCATTTAAAATTTACTACGGAGTAGCTTAACATAGCTTCAATACAGGCTTAAGAGAATATACGGTTCGTTAGTCAAATCAAAGAAATCTTTCACTGGATGTGATGAACTTCATATCAATGCATGTTTGAAACCCTTATTAGTGTATAATGTTGTCGTGAACGGGCAAATTTCATTTTAGTACAACTACAAAATGTAGAACGATATCGAGATTTAGCCATTTTATATTTGTGATGACATAATCGTCTCGTATTACATTGCCGGCAACAAAAGTACAGTGCAAAGTGCGCCTGCGTTATAATTGTACATAGCAGATAATATGGGAACTTTTGATATGAATACAATTGTGCAGTAAAGAATTTTGGCAGTTATAGATTTAAAGACAGCGGACGTGTGCTCCCAAGTCTTTGATTCCGATGCATATCCATTGACTATACGGATTTTTGATATTTCCAAAGATTACCCCTCCTACTGAAGAAATAGAGAGATCTCATTGTAAAGAGATAACATTCGCTATCCCATCTTCTCCTGGTTATATGTGTTAGATTTAATTTTGCTAAACTCCTTTCTTTCTGGAAAATCTGTCTGCTAGAGCGAGTAATATGGAACCTGGAACTCGTTGATGCTTTTTGATGAGATTTTTTATCGCCATTTGAACCTGGATAAAAGTGCGAATTGAAATGAGCAAAATGCTATGTATATGATATAAACTTAAAGCTTTCTAGTGTCTTCATCAAGAGTGATCTAATGTGAATTAAAACTTGAAATCTTTTATACTAGAGTCTAGTGTCTTTATCAGCTGTGATCGTACGCTGAAAATTGAGCCCTTATATACTCCAGTCTTGTTTTTTCTTCGAGAGTGATTCATCGCTTCAAACGTTAGACACTCCAATCTACTATCGCCATTAGGAGAAAACTATTCATTAATAGATTTAAGATACAGTATTTAGTCACCTTTTCTGACAATTCTTCTGGAGTTAATCTCGAGTCATGTGGTATTGGATCACCGATATAAGTTCTAAAAAATTCAGCATAATCATAAAGCAAAGCAACAAATTATGTTTTTTCTAAAATGAAAAGCAACTACAAAAAGACGCCACAACTGACCTCATTTTTACTGGAAAACCACCGTATATTGGAGCAGCCAATGGACATCGCGTAAATTCATAAAGCAGTTGTAATATTCCTAGAAAAAAAAGCTGCATGCTAAATATATTTTTACTTTAGATAATTGAATGGTGAATTATATTGTCTTACTTCTTCCCATTTTTATTGTCCTAAACATCTCACGTACATTTTGGGTGAAGACAGGTATGATTGTCTGCAAAAGGAATTTCGTTCATTACTTTAAGATTTGTAAAGTATCGAGGATGGTCGGTAGATTTCGTAGACAGTAGCGGATCCAGGGTTAGGCAAAACAAATAACAACCGCTAATTTTAAATATAAAATACCTTAAGTACAAAAGTAATTAGTTATGAATTTCTACAGAATTAATATCAACCAATCAATAAGTTGAAGTAATTCATTTTGCCAATGTTTGTCCGAAGACGTTCATTATTTGAATACTGAATAATTTTCCATGCCCTTCTCTGATTAATGCAGATTTGTGAAAAAACTGTAGCAAATAGTAGAAACAACTAGTACAACAAAGAGTTTTTGCTGTCACAAAAGAGAATATGAACTAAAGTTATAAAGCTTTCCCTTCAAAATGCCTGGAGATTTGCTGTCGGAAGGGAAATATCTTCCATCCTTTATTTCTATCTCCCATCCTCCCCTTCTATCCCCTATTATGAAAATATCTCCCATCCTCCTCTTCTATCTCTTAGTATGAAAATATCTCCCATCCTCTCCTTCTATCCCTTAGTATGAAAATATCCCCCATCCTCCCTCTCTATCCCATGTGCGAAAATATCTTATATCCTCCCTTTTTTCCCCGTAAGCACTCTTGAGACCAGACTGCTCAAAAGAACGATAAAGTGAGTTGTCAACTTGTCTTTTTTATTTAAACGCATGCATTGATGAGCATATTTCTTACCACTTCTGCTTCGTGAGCAACTTTAGCGAAGCCAAGTCTACCATTCCATACGAGTTGATAATGCTCATCAGAAAACAGGGCTTCACGAACGCCACCTGGGGATAAGGCCAGAAGTTCTCCTCTCTTGAAAAAATGAGAGCATGTAGTTTATTTCAATAAAAAGAATGAACGCCATAGTGTTGAGTATTTTAAACCTTCAACATTTTAACACATTCGTCTCTTGTAGGTGAAGATGCCCCGAACACATCAAGCAATATCTTAAATCCTGTAAAGAGATAAAAAGTTAAAACCATGATTACACGTTGTCATCATAATACTGTCTCCAGGATCGTTAGTATGTCAAGCACATCAAAAAAATGGGGGTTTTTCTACACAAAAATGAAAGTCTGTTAGCTCTCTTTGAAGTAACGTTCATTTCCTTGCTCACATTTTAGCTTCGTGCATTTACGTTCCTTTTGAAACGTTTAACTTCTTATTTACTGGGTGTAATAACTATTAAAGACAAAAAGTATATGATTTGCAGTGTATTCGCTACATGAAAATAGTTGAACACAACCATACTTTAAAGCTTCGTTGAATATATATGATTGCTTTGATACATCTCCGTTTTATGGAAGATATGAAAGAAATAAAAGATTTTGACTTGTGTTTGCACAGGCATATAGAAACTGATGATACCTTTGGGAAGAATAGAGAGTTCTCACAAATATTTCCGTGATTTGCATAAGCCTGTGCAAACACGAAAAATATCTTATACTTCTTTTTCAAAAGAGCATTACTGCAGAACTGGTAAATTTAAAACAACTGTTTTAATTATTCATAGAACATGTATTAATGATTGATTTGCAAATTCTTATTATTTGATTTCGTCAACTGAGCTCCAGTGGTTTAGCTCAGGTCGGATCTAATGCAAACTTTGCTGTATAGACCAATCAAAACAAGCGTTTTATTGTTTTTAACATTGAGTGCGGTGAATCTGAATAAATTTCATTCCCTTACCGTACTATGGATCCGGGCAGTACGCATGCGCAAAAAAAAACAAAACGATGCAGCATATTTATACCTGGTAATCTGAAAAGAAAGGTTGCTACGACATTTTTCAACGAACGTTTCTTATACAACAGCATTTTAGCTATAATATAATACATGTCTATAGGCAAAGCACCGTGATAATAAACCAATAATGCAGCTCCTTTGTCCGGGATTTTGTCCAAGCCAATGACTTCATAACCTTGGAAAGAAATATTGAAAAAATAAGTAAAGCATGCTTGATCCTTCAAAGCAGTTTTTGCACACATAAGGAATGTATTGCGTTTGGTTGAATTACATAATGAGATAAAACAGCTTTGAAGAGCTATTTGTCATAGTTATGACGATTATAAACCATTGAACTAAAATACATGGGACGCTATCTGAAGCAAATAATTGAAGCCAAATATTGCACTCAGACATGCGAGATTACACCCAGACACGCGTGTGTCGTGTTTCAAGATTCTCTCGCGGATTGAAAATTGATCGAACTACACACGCGTGTCTGGGTGTAAAATTTGGCTTAAAAAATTTATCAGGCTTTTCTATTACAGGTAGCGTTTCATGTATTTTAGAAAAGTTCAATGCTATAACCTTAGCATAGCTCTGAAATAAAGAATTAAACATGAAATAAAGACAAACTAAACGAGGCGATGCATGAAAATGCTGAAAATAATTAAATTGCTGATATCACTTCTCAATTTGTGCTTACGTCTGTTTTACCAAAAACGAAGAATGTTCTGATATTTATAACCAAAACAAGAGATAATGACGTCACTCCAAAGCGCAGAAATTATGTTTTTTTAAACTGTAAAGTTGTCACCAACTGCATTCTTTCGCTGAATAGCTCTTAACTTTAAATTTTAACAGTTCTTTTCAGAACCATCTAGGTTAAACTTGTCGTTCACCATACCTAATGAACTCTTCAAGACAGTATACTGGTTTGTCAGCACAACTAAGTCTTTGTGACGAAGAAGATAGTTATTGTCTTGTTAGAAGTTATCTTATAGAGTGTTTTTGATAGATTTATACCAAAAACTACTGTACGAGCGACCACTTCAGTATAGCAGAAGTAATGTACTTAATCTAGTTCTGCTAATCATGTAGTGTTAGGCTTGTGACAGAAGTTATCCTTATAGAAGAAGGGTTCCTTCTAGCATTGCTATGAATATTTGTGATAAACAGTTGTCATCTGTCATAACACATTAACTGCAATATAACTGTTGAACGCTATTTTGGGGGGTTAATTGTAGGTGTAAAAAAGGAGTGCCTCTAATCTCCTATCAGTCAAGGTGACACATTGCCCTCATTTTCTCTCATTGAAAAATTGTCACATGCGCTAAAGCTTAAACAAACTTACCATTCCAATACGTAGCTTGAGCATCAAATACAGAGGCAACGGTTTGTTTTGCACCGTCCCAAAAGTTTTCAGAGTAGGCATCGTAAATCTCTCGTCGTCGGTGTTTGTAAACATGCAGAAATAAAACGGTCGCGTACATCATAGCAAGGAGCGTGAGTGGGAACGCGAATACGATCAGGAGAGGATAAAATATAAGCACCGGTGCCAGAACTGTGATAGCATTGTAAGGATCCATTTCGTTCTTCCACAAACCACCGTGTACTCGTTCCCTCGTCCTCTTCAGTTTGGGGAAGGAAGCTTTATGACCCGCGTTAGGAAAGGAACTTTGCAGAAGAATGGTTTGATGTTTGTCATTTGATATGCCATGACACAAGGAAAGCACGGTGTGCAACGGCAAGCAATGTCAGGGTCACAATGAGGAACTCCGTCAACTTATTTCCCATGTGTTGACGTGTAGTCTTTCAGGTCCGTTTCAAAAGGTCGAACTTTTCATGTGCCGAAAAATTTGAAAACAACGAAAATATATAATGAATCTAAACTTGCTTTCTTTTATCTTTCGGGCTTTATTTTGAAAAAGTTTGACGTTTGAAACGGGTCTCGTTGAAGTGTTGAAAAAATTATGGCAATAAGAATAGAAAGCGCTCAATAGCGCTCTTTAGGACTATTTTCGTATTACTTTACTAAAATGTGATATGTTTCTCTGTGAATTGGAGGGTGTGAGAGAGGAGTGCCTATTATACTGTTCAAGGTGAACAAGCCATCTTCGTCATTTTTAGTTTCCACACGGGACTGTAAGAGATTAGTACTGTATTTTTAACGAATGTCGAGTGCACGCGCTAAAAACGTGGAGAAACTCACGAGGCAACTAGATGCACAACTTTGACATTATTTTTACCTTTCTCTAAAATCTATAAGATCCATAGGATGTTTATTGAACAGAGACTAGGAAAAGTTCGGATTACAGGTCGTCATTTTATACATTACTAAGTAGTCGATTCGTTAGCCGTCAAAAATGGGTAATAAAGAATGAATAATGCTAAATAGTAAATAAAGCCGAAATGAGGACGATGCAGAGGACTGGAAAACAGTGAGAATACTGCTGAAATATACAAAATATAGTATACTTTTGCTTGCTATGAAAAATAAAACAGTTTTTAGGAGATATTGTTTTGCAAACATTAAATGTCACATAGACAAAACAACACGATTGTTACGTAAGGCAAAGGTCAATCTCGCAGTCAAAAAGTCTCCAAATTAAATATAACGAGAAATTTAATTCGATGTTTACGATTTATCTTAAAAATTAGGACGCCAACCTTTGACGACCTTCAACAATTTTAAAGCATGAAAAGGAGTCATGTTTAAGGACATCAACGTTGTCTTATCTAAGTCTTTTAAAATCTCACCATCGATTTGCTCGTGACGAAATGTTTCAACGTAACAAGACATGTTTAAAGCATTTAAAAGCTGGCCAAGGCCTTGCACGCTTAGTGATGCTAGGTCTTTTGGAATCGAATCGTGACGTGCATCATCGTTAGTACTGGAACTAGCAAGTTGATTGGGTGGTTTCGTGAAAGTTTCATCGGGGCTTTTTGATATTGTTTTCGTTGATGTAATGTTTGCTACATTTGAATTATCTTCAGCAGATTTGTGATTGGTGGAAATTGAAGGATCAACTGAAGTAATATCTTTCCCTGAAATTCTTTCAGATGTACCTTTATTATTCATTTCGTCCGCTAATGGATCTTCTAAGTCAGTGGGACTTATAACGTATGGGGAACATGAAGGTGGAGAGACGTCTGTTGTTACATACAGCAATGGAAATTCATACTCTTCTTCGGAAGAACTGGGACTAACCTTTTCATTGGCTCGTTCTTGACTACCTTGGCTTTTTTTCGGTTTCTCAGGAGTCATAAATACATCGCCATCGCCATCGCCATCGATTTCCTCGTAGTCTTTATCGCTTATGCTTTCGTAAACATGATAATGCATGTAATCAAGGATTTCCTTTCTCTCTGTCGGGGAAGTGTTTGGGAGACAGTAACCCTCTGTTTTCTTACACGGTTTTGAACTGTTCTCAGTGCGCTCATAACTTTCATCGTTCTCGTAGTCACGTGAGAAACCAGGTATTTTGGCATGTGCCCGCGGCAGCCTGCACATTTGCAGATTGTTTCTTTTGTAGTGAAGGAGTGATGTATTCTTGACAGGAAGCTTTGGTTTGGTTTTGTTCTGGTGTTTAGCATTCACTACGTAGTTAAGAAGTTCTTTCGTTGCTTCGTTTCCCACAACAACGAACTCATCAGACGCATCGAAACCAGAAAAGTCATATCTATCTAAAAAAGTTTTGTTCATAGTTCTGATATTCACGACGTATATCGAGTCATTATCGACGCACTCCGATGGAGGGAATACTTTGATATCGGTGTCTAATGGTATCAATCGACAATTTACGCTGCCTCTCGATAGATTCAAAGCATCATCGTTCATTTTCACTCCGACAACAAATTCTTGTTGAATCTCATGATTGACAATGATTACCTTTTCATCATGTGAAATTGAATTTTCTAGTGAAATCTGAGCAGATATGTTGGAATTTTGCGCTCGCTGTGTAAAATACATCTGTAAAAAGGATATAATGTTTTCAACGGTTGGAAGTTCAAAATAGATAATAGGTTTTTTAAATTTGGATACTCAGCCTTCTTCTCAATATCTTACCCACATGCCACTGTGATATAAACAATTTTTGTAACACTATAAAGTGTTTATATCACCCACAGAGAAATTATCTATTTTATATAGTGCACGATTTGAAGAAAATTTGGAATATAATTTATAAGATAAAAATGTAATCTTCCTTGATGTTTTGGGCCTCAAAG